GATAGTTTCGTGCTGGATCAAATAGTCTTGTTCTTAAGGGTTTGCGTTTGGGACTACAAATGTTGTAGCCAATGTAAAGCTTTCTCTTTTCTTGTCCGTTGTCTCATTTGTAGCAATAACTGACGCTACATGTTGACTCTCCTTACAGATGACCCCGGTGTTGCCCACTCTCAGCATCACCGGAATTTTCTGAAGGAGCATGTTGTTTTTAAGGAGGTAACCCAATATTCCCTTATGCTATTGTGACCAGTTAAAGTAGACCGAACTTAGGGATTATTAGAGACGTTTTCCTTTTATAAGAACAGAATATGCTTACTAGATATATTAGAGAAAGTTTATTTTTTTGCAAGAAAAAGACATGCGCACTATTAATACTTTGAGATTTGTTTGTGACTTTTAGAATTGAGATGGATTGATATTGGATGTTTGGGAAAAAAGTTACTGGGTTCTTTAGTATATCCCTTTTTTTTGCAGGCTATACCAATTAAAGATCCCTTAGTCCTGTCAAAGATACACCAAACGTACAGAATTGGTTACCTGAAGGTCGGATCCCATTTTCTTAAAAAATTTACTTCTCTTTTTCTGTGGTATTAAGCCTCTCACCCTCTGTCACTTTTTACAGGATGTTGTTTTGGCTAGAGTATTAGATGATGCTATAGTCGCAAACTTGAATTCAGTAATCCATGCAAACAATGCCATTGTAAGTTTCCCATGTAAATGCTATGACATTGGAAGCATGTTCCCCATATTTTTGCGTAACTGAAGTGTATCTTCTCCAGGTTGTTTCATTGCTGAAGGACGATAGCACTTTTATCCAAGAATTATTTGCAAGGTTGAGGTCACCTTCTACATCTATGGAATCCAAGAAAAATTTGGTATTTCCTGCCTTCAAGAGGGATTTGTTTGTTTTAAGCTTCAATTGTTTTGTACTCGTGAATGACATTTGTAAAGGTTATTTTAGTTGAAATCTTTTTGGGAGTAAGATTTTATTGGGATCCCCTTTCTCTAGCCCAGCTGTTTAGATGATCTACATCTGAGAACAGATGGAAACATTAGATCTCTGTTAGAAAAATATTGCTGTTGAGTGGAGTTAGTCAGACTGATGTATTTTCATTCTCTTTTAAATAGGTATATTTCTTGCACGAATTTTGTAGCCTAAGCAAGAGCCTCCAAGTGGTGCAGCAGCTGCGGCTTTTTAGGTATGTACTCACCTGAAACTAAATGCAATTGGTGTTGAACAGTTGCGGACTTCGGAACATTTGTAACAGTTATTAGATTATCGTTATAGCCCTCTCTTTGTTAAGTGCTTTAAAAATCGTCTTTAGTGTACTGTTTTTTAATTGGCGTGCTTGCCTTTTCAATGATTTTCCAGGGACCTTATTAATGAAGGAATTTTTCATGTCATAGAGGAAGTCTTGCAGATTCCGGACAAGAAACTCGTATTAACTGGGTATACGAATAAATAGACCTGATAGCTCATTGTGGTTACTGTGGTTCTTTTTCTTGTGCCGTTCAGAAATCTCAGTGTTAATTTGCAAGCTGTATACTCAAGATAACTATCGTTGTGGATGCAGGACAGATATCCTGATTCTTTTCTTGACGCAAGACCCCAACCTTTTGCGTTCGTATATTGTTCGGACGGAAGGAACCCCTCTCCTCGGTCTCCTGGTAATTTTTCTGTAAGCCTATGGATTGTTTTTTCAGTTGCATGGCTGTTCATATTTTTGTTTATGTATATGACAAGTTATAATTCTCTTTCATTTGGGTAACAGGTCAAGGGAATGATGGAAGACTTTGGCGATAAGATGCATTGCCAGTTTCTGGAAATTATCCGAACCTTACTGGATGCAAATGCATTGTCTGGTGGAGCTCAGGTGCATCCTTGTTTCCTTTCATTACCTCAATTTTTGATGATAAGAAAGGCGTGGCAACCTTGCCCATTTTCCCATTCTAATTTGGTAGATAGATATCCTGATTTCTATCGTGTCTTCAATGCATACCATTTTAGCAGAGAGCGAATATCATGGATATTTTCTACGAGAAGCACCTACCTGAGTTAGTGGATGTTATTACTGCCTCATGTCCTGAGAAGTCAGGCAACACATCTGAAGGTGCATCCAGAGGGATTCGCACAAAGCCTGAAGTTCTGTTGAACATATGTGAACTGTTGTGCTTCTGCATCATGCAAGATTCATCCAGAACAAAGTAATCATGTTGATGCTTATTTTGGTGTTTTTCTGTTTTATTCTCATTCTGGAACCCATCTGATATTCGCTGTGGAATTTTTTCTTGTCAACAGATGCAGTTTTCTCCAAAACAATGTGGCTGAAAAGGTTTTGCATCTCACACGGAGAAAGGAAAAATACCTAGTGGTTGCTGGTATACGATTTGTCCGTACTCTCCTATCTGTGCATGTGAGTATGTTTGAACCCGTGAAGATTTGCATTAGTCATCTGAAATAGTTCCTGAATGATCCCTCTAGCTAAAGAATTGAGTTATTTGGTGTAGCTAAAATTGTTTTTTTTTTTGTTTGCTAAATGGTTAGATGAACTTATCCTACTTGGCCAAATTCTTGTAAGTGGTAGGTACCATATCGTAGGATTTCTGTAAGGGGATTAAACTGCTTGTGACAACTGACCTTTTCTCCCGCACTGACGCCGAGCTTTGATTTTCCATCATGACTACAAAAAAAGCTCATTAGATGAAGAAATTTTCTTGAAATTGCTGAAATATATTTCTATTTCAGGATGATTATGTCCAGAATTACGTTGTTAAGAACAACATGTTGAAACCGATAATAGATGTCTTCATTGCCAATGGAAACCGGTACAATCTACTGAACTCTGCCGTCTTGGATCTGCTTGAGCACATACGCAAGGTACTTCTTTCATCTTTTATCCCTTTTGCTTATCTAGCTGCGGATGTTATCGTATTTAGTGATCATTTTGTTATTCTTCTTCCGGTGTGTAGGGAAATGCAACTCTGTTGCTCAAATACATAGTCGATACGTTCTGGGACCAGCTGGCCCCATTTCAGTGCTTGACCTCCATCCAAGCTTTTAAGGTTAAGTATGAACAGGTATTGCTTCTGAATCTTTATTTTTTTTCTGTACTCTGGAAAAAATTGTCTGTATCTTTGTTTAACAATGCGTCTTCAGTGCTTAGAAAATGCCGGACCGAAAAGCACTGCTGATGCGGTTGATCCCAGAAGAAGAGTTGACGAGCGTGCGTTGGATAAAGAGGAGGAAGATTATTTCAACGAAGACAGGTTTATCTCTGGGTGTGTAAACAATTATTTATTTATTTTGTTGTGCTTGAACTTTTCTCACACATTTTAGCACTGACAGCGACGAAGAAGACTCTGCATCTGCTTCTAATACAGAAAAGGAAAAACCTGCTTCTAGTAACATACAGGAAGAACAACCAAAGCCTCACCTTTCAAATGGAGTGGCTGCAAGCCCTGCTTCTTCGAGGTATAGTAGTTCGAAAATGAAAATTTATGAAAGGCATCTGTGATATCTTTGTCTAATGGGTTCGCTTGCTACTTCTGTTAACGATATAGCCCGAGGTCTGGAGGCTTGGTTGATTATGAGTACGATGAAGATGATGAAGAGTATAAACCTCCTCCTCGGAAACAGCCAGAAGCTTCTGAGGAGGAAGGCGAGCTCCTTAGTCTGAAACGCAAATCTCCTTGCGTAGAAAGAGAACAAGAGCCGTCCAAGAAACCAAGGCTGGGTAAAAATTCGAAAAGAGAAAACGTATTTGCTGTGCTATGCTCGACGCTGAGCCATGCAGTGCTTACGGGGAAGAAAAGTCCAGGCAGCGCTGGATCTGCAGTCCGGTCGATTGTAGCCAAGGAACCTGAGGACTCGAGAAGTAGTGAAGAGAAGAATAATAATAGCAGCAGTTCAGATGAAGAAAATCACAAGGAGGACGGAGTTTCGAGTTCAGAACACGGAACATCAGACAATGGAAAGCTAAATGGGGAAGAATCTCTGGTAGTAGCTCCGAAATCATCACCTGAAATGGCCGTAAATGGATCCTGAGATTTTAACACCCTCGACTCCTATAGTTGTGGCTGTGGACGGAAGGCACTCACATGGGTGCTAATAAAAAAGACTGAGAAGGAGACATGAGTAACCGCAAAAAGAATGGTTTGGGAAGCCAACGGAGGAAGAAATGTATAGATAGCGCCAATTTGAGAGAGGTAAAGGGGGTCTTCTCGTCCATAGTGTTTACAGCCGCTTTTATTTATATTCATCTTTGGAAAAACTTAGCAGTCTCTCTCTGGTCTTGTCAATTGCATATTGTAAGACATGGTCTATCAGCAACTAACTTTTTTTCTAAATTCAAGTTCCTAATGGTTTCTTTTAAGGGGAAAATTAGGAGCAATAGCCAAACCAAAAAAGTATAGTTGATGAATTAACCCAAAAGAAAAAATGGACACGATATTTTTTTGTATAATCTATATTAGTACCAGTTCTTGACTGCCACATCTTATTCGTCTCTTTCTAAGTTTACATCCTTCCCAAAGAAGCTTCTCTCACGCCAGGAAGTTGAAGTTATACCTGGGTTGATAGATACAGCTTACATGGGACGAACAGATACATAAAGTTCAGATAATTTACAATTTAAACTCATCTGTTAACAATAGAGTGGCTGTAGTTTAGTGGTAAGAATTCCACGTTGTGGCCGTGGAGACCTGGGCTCGAATCCCAGCAGCCACACCTATTATTTTTGGTTTTTAATGTTTTTATTATATGGGTTGAAATTTGCAATGGAAATGCCTATAAACTAGCCTTCCCTTGTCGAATAGAGCGAAGCCCAACAGTTAACATTTTGTTTTGGTTTTTGTGGTTTTTATTAAATATGCCGAAATTTGCAAAGTGTATACGCACCTGTACCCATTGGTATTATTGTCGATAGAGTTTTGTGATCGACAATACTAACCCACCCCAAATGTGTTTCATTAAATCAAACGGTCGGAGCATTTTCCCTCATCTTAAGTGTCTTTTGCTATATGAAACGAATTTCAAACCAAAGTATAATAAAATAAAGGTCAAGTGAATTCTTCTTATGATCCTAGTAACCCGAATTCCAAGTTCCCTCTGAACAAGTGTTAACAAAGGATGCGAAGTTTTCTTCATGTTAAAAAACAATTACGTGTTAATAATACATTCGACAAAAAACGTGTTAAGCAATTAGAAATGAATCGAAGGTTGTAGCATCTTCGCTTGAAGAGCCTTGTAACAACTGAGACTGCATAGTGGTAGCTTCGACTTTGAATCCCTGTACTTGTAAGCTTTCTCGCAGTTTGGCCCCACACATTTCTCTCGTGGAGGAGGATAACTAAAGAAACGCACACGGTTTTTAAACCACACCATTCTACATACAATGGTTATATGCATTACTCAAATGCTTGCTTACCTGTAAGTGATGGGTTTGAAGATATCCGGAAGGCCAATGTCTTCAGAAAATGTCAGAGTTGTTCCACTTGGACCAATAATCAATCTGACAGTGTTTGATGCGAGTGTACTTGATCTTGCAGCTCTCTCCTGTCAAGATGAAAGACGAAACTCAACACAGTGAGACAGAGAGAGGGAGAGAGAGTCAAAACGAGAGTTTTATAAGGAGTCACATGCAATTTGGGTACCTGAGCTCGTTCTTCCTGTTGTTTTTTAATCTTCTCCTCTTTTTTCTTCCTCCCTGAATCTTGCCCGAGTATTTTCCTGATAGCTTCAGCCTGGTGAACAAGAGAGAGAAGAGCTTAAATCATAATCCTGCTTCTTTTGGCAGTATAAATTAACCTGAGAAAATGTACTAACTTTACCTCGGCTTCTTGGGCAGCCTTCTCGGACTGCATTCGTCGTCTCTGTGCAGTTTCGGCCTTCTTCGATTGCTGCTCTACCTCAGAAAGCTTCTGTTTTTTTCCTGGAGTTGTTCAAGGTTTACACAATCAGCATCTGCAGTTATCATTTTGTTGCGCAAAAGTGAAAAAATGTGCAACTCACTTTTAGAAGACGGGCAAGGTAAGCCATCAGGAAATTCAAGAGGACCTGACCCGATGGGAGAATACGGATCTTTCCAAGATTGGAGAGCCCGAGTACGTGTAGTAGGAACTGGTGCATTTGTTGATCCTTCTGCAACCGAATCAACCGTTCCCACCCTCAGCCTTTTCCTTTCAGTTACAGCATGTTCGTCTGATGAGAGATGTTCTTCATCATCCACGTTGTGTCCATTGCTGTGACCCTCTTTACCTTCATGATAGTCCCTGGTGACCCTTCTAGACTTTAACTTCTCGAGATATCTGATTTCCTCATCTCCATCATCATCACTGTCTTGTTCTGGATCCAATAAACGCTTTTTGAGACCTCGTTTGCGATTCTCGGACATGGATGCTCCACTCAGAGTCTCAGAGGGGTTTACTCTAGATCCAAGATACATAGTTTTCTGAACACATCTCTGCTCCGGTACATTTCCTTTCACCTTATTTTGAAACGGCTTCTGCCCATCATCCTGCATTAGTCTCAACCATTAGAAAACAAACAACTTCTTCACAAAAGCTAATGCATAAATGATGGACAAAAAAAAAATCGAGGCTTTTTTTAACAGACCAGAGTCTTACCGTAGCTTTAGTATAAAAACCGGTCTCTGAGTTGGTTTGGATTGTACGAGTGACACCACCAAGCTTAAGCTTCAGTTTCAGTGGGTTCTCACTTGCAGACCCACAAAGACTTGGGTTACCTTCTTTGCTAGGAGCAATGTTCGCCTGTGTTGAGGGTTTCATAAAAGTGAAACTATGCAAGCTCCGTTTGATGTCGCGGGGTCGACGAATCAGAGAGCTTCTCCTTCTCCTATCTATAAAGCCAGCTAAAGCTGAAGAAGAACCTTCAGACGCCTCCATTATCATCAGATTTGCAGAATACCTAAAACCCAGTGACCCGAGTTATTACGCAGTCATTGAACTATGAGAGCGGCAAGAAGAAGGCTTTGAAAGAGCAATTTTCAAACAAAACCAAGTTTCACATTCTGTTTTCCTCACAAAACCAATGAGATCAGGGAGGCGATAAACCACCTAACATTTTCTCGGAAATCACTTTCAGAGTGATATATCCACAGCAGAAAATCGAGAAACCAGACACTAAAACCCACCTAGCAACACCACAGTAACTCCAATTTTCGAGGGAAATAACCAGGCGACGGAGAGAGAAGAGAGGTAGAGAAAGGGAGCGAACTTACGCAGAGAGACGGAGGAGAGCAGAACCCTAGATGGAATTGGGAAGACGAAGTGTCTCGAAGGAGAGCAAGTATGTGGATTGGCTTTAAGTGAAGGGTAAATGTGGAAGAGATGTTTGTGCCCTTTAGCCCCCAAATCTTTATCTCCTCCATTTTTTCTGATTTTCCCTCCTCCTTCTTCTCTTTCTCTCTTTTTTTTTTTGTTTATTTCTATTTTTTTCCTAATTTTTTAAGGTGCTTCCTCTCATTTCCATGCCGTCCCGTTTAAATATCTCCGGCGAGTTTCCTTGTCGGAGTCAAAGCGTAAGACGAGTAAACAATTTTTCGGTTGGGCCTTAACATTCAGGCCCAACTACAAGAAAGCTATAATATTTATTTTTCTTGAATATGATTTTATCACCAAATTAAACACTCTTCACAACGATTCAATTGATATCACCAAAATGAAAGAAGCGAATCTCTATATCTCCACATATACATTTATGTACGAGAAAAAGACATCCACAGTGAGGAGATACATGCAGAAAAACATCCATCTCTGCTGCTTCTTTTTTTACAGCACAATAAAGCCTAAATAAAACCTTCACCTCTTTATAAATATATCTGGATATTCAAAAACGACGTAGTACCGTGTTCAAACCCATCTAAGGCCCAAAGAAACGATTTAAGAAAAACAACCAACACTTTTCATCCTCATACTCTCAAAACGCTGTCGTATTTACTTGATCAACGTTGAGATTGCGAGACAGTTACTAACCATGTTCGTTAGCTTATCGCCCACTTCAGCCAACGGGTTAGGCTCACCGGATTCCTCAAAACCGTCGTTGCACGTGCTGTAATCGGTCATCGCTGCGCTCAAGTTGGTGTTAACGGTGGCAATGTCACGTGACTTGACGGCGTTAATCGCGTCTTCCAAATTCGCCACCGCGTCGTCGTACAACTCCTGGCAATCGGCGGCGGCTACTTTGTCGACAATGGCCATCGCCGCCTTTGTTGCGTTAATCGAAGACTGAATCGCGAGGACAAGGACGGTGGAAGCGTCGGGTTTCAGTTGAGCCGTTAAGAGAGGACTAACGGAAGATTCGCAAAGAGGAGGGAAATCGGTTTTGCCACAAATGCTTTTGATCTCCGGAGATAACAATGGCTGATTCAAAATGTTTTTGGGCTTATTCATAAATGTTTTCCCAGATGTAGCGGTTGGGGAAGGAACCACGGAGTTTTCCTGAGAAGGTGGATTCGTTGGGGAAACTGAATCGGCGGGAGCTTCTGCTGACGGCGCGGGAGAGACCATATCTATCTCCGCCGGTGATTGAGCAGGGGAGTCTGAATCGGTGGGAGCCTCTAGTGACGGCGGGGGAGAGTCCATATCTATCTCCGCCGGAGGTTGAGCAGGGGAAACTGAATCGGCGGGAGCCTCTGGTGACGGGGCGGGAGAGTCCGTATCTATCTCCGCCGATGGTTGAGCAGGGGAAAATGAACCGGAGAAAGCCTCTGGTGACGGGGCGGGAGAGTCCATATCTATCTCCGCCGCAGGTTTAGGAGAGGAAACTGAACCGGCGAGAGCCTCAGGTGACGGCGCGGGAGAGTCTATCTCCGTTGTCGGAGCATTCGTAGGGGTAATGGAACCGGCGGGAGAGTCTATATCTGTTTCTGTTGGAGGATTTGCCGAGATTGTGATCGGTTTCATAGCTGCCGGTGCTGGAGGTGGAGACTCTGTCTCGGAGGGAGGATTCGAAGGTGGAAAGACATGGAGTAGAGATCTTGCAACGAAGTGCACACCTTTGGATTCTACAGGCGTTAAGATGGTGACCAACGTGACGATCACGATGATCCGGAAGGTCGACCCCATTTTTTGTTTTTCAAATTCTTTCCCTCTTGCTGAGGAAAAAAATTATGGGTTTCTGAAAGATAAAAGGGACCTAATGAAAACAAAGAAGAAAACGGGGATCGGCGGAACGCAAATGGCGATTCAACTTTCAGTATCGTAATGTGAAGTTTTGCGATAAAATAGGTCAACACGTCAACGTTACTAACGTCTCATGTGTTTAAAACATATGTATTCTTTATTAAATCCAAAAATCTATGTATAGCTAGAATTTTGTTACATTACCCGTCACCATTTCAGATTTCATTTCTTCTTCTTTTTCATTTAATCACTGTTGACCCTTGGTTGAAGATTTGAGATGTAATAGTAAAAAGTTTAGTTTGAAATTTGAAAAAGTATGCTTATGTACGATAAAAATATGTTCTTTTTTCAACGGTGGTGATTTGACTTTACCGTAGTAAGTAATTAATAAGATGGGAAGCAACGTAGAAAAGTCACTCTTTTACTCCGCAGACGGTAGCTGTCAAAAAAAGCAACAGAGAAATCAGCGTCACACCAATTGTATTTAACTTATTATTTTAAATTGTTTTCTTTAAAATAATAATTTACTTTGCTCTCTAAAGGTTTGCAAGCAGTATACATTTGCCGCTTCAGGGAGTGCACAAACAGACTAGAAAGAGAGAAAAGGAGGTTTGCATTTCCTGAAATGGACGTTTCGCCGGTGATAGCAGGAATCGGTGGCTACGATCAGAGTTTTCCGGAAGAAGACACCGATAAAGAAGAAGATGAAGACCTTTGCCGGATTTGTCGTTCACCGGAGGAACCAGGAAACCCGTTGAGGTATCCGTGCTTGTGTCGAGGGTCCATCAAGTATGTCCACCAAGATTGTCTTCGTACTTGGCTGAATCGTCGCGGATACAAGAAATGCGAGGCAGCGTTTTCAAACAACTTTGTTTCTACAAGGATTTGGGATTTTTTACATGGATTGCTAAGGGTTTTAGCGTTATCTGGTAGTGTGGGTTTTCCGATTTCCCCTTATTTTTCTGGGTTTAAGAAGAATCTTCAATGGAATGAGTTTTTTTTTTTTTTTTGGGGGGGGGGGGGGGGGGGGGGGGGGTTTAAGATTATGTCATAGTTGTGGTTTCCGATTCGCCCTGGGTCTCAGAAGAATCTTCAATGCAGGGTTGTGAAAAGGGTTTTTACTCGACTGATTTTAGGGTTCAACGTTATTTCATAGTGTGGTTTCTGATTTTTCCTCTCTATCGATCGAATCTGACATACTCTGTATCTCTAAAATTTCCACGGCAGGTATGTGGACGTAGCTACTCTTTTGTTCCGGTTTACTCCGAGAATGCTCCGGAGAGGCTTCCATGTAACGAGTTTCTGATTGCGGTGTTATTGAGAGTAGCACGTTACGTGAAACTGATTGTTCCTTGGATTGTGGTGATTCTCTTCAACACATACTGCAGTTCCTTACATCCCTGGGGCCAAGAAGCTGTTGCTCAGTTCCAGATAGATCTTGGGATGTTTCGGAAGTTCGCTTCCTTGTTTGCTGGCCTGATTTACAGCACTTTGATCTCGTGTTTCATGTCCATCATCACTATTATAAGGGTGGAAGTAGGAGATCTCAATGTTGCTGGTGGGTTTGGCCTACCACAAGGTGTTATTGGTGGAGTTGTGCAGGTCTTGTGGAAGCATATGAAGATCCTTTGTGATTGGTATTATCATACACTCATCCGTTTCTTGGGGGAACCTCGTCGACTAATACTTGTTCCTCCAAACGCACCGATTCATGAATTTGGGTTTATCCGGCGGCTGCTTTTCTTTCTGGATGACGATGCCTTTGCTGTAAGTCCCAAATTTCCGTTTGTTCATCAAATTCTCTTCCTACAAACTAATGGAGAATGTTGATTAACAACTTGTGTTTGTTCTCTACAGTTTCTTGCCATCAGCGGATATGTGTCTCTCATCTTTGTTCTTCTGCCGTTTTGGATTGGATGGATTGTATTAGCAACTTTTGGAAGCAGCTATCTATCCGGAAACTTGGCTGTTATTGTTGGATACATGGTGACGCTGTCTATTTCCTTTGCTTACTTTGGAATCCTCTTCATTCTCCGTCGAACCTCATTTCCACCCGCAGGCCAATGGTTTTCGCTGGGATTTCACTTCATAACAGACTTAACAATGACATTGCCGTGTCTCTTGTGGGGTTTCTCAGTAAAAGCCTGCAAAAACCTATCTGTCATGAAGGATGCTTTCGTCATTTGTTTTAAGATTGGTGTTATGCCTTGGATGATTGGATGTTGGCTATGTGTCTGCACCTCCCCTATGTTTGGAACCAAAGTCTCCCAGATATTCGAGATTCTTTCACGCGTCCCAAGCATGGTTATGCCACAATGGCTGGTAGGATTCTGTTACTTGATGAATGCTGACGCTTACAGGGAACTTATCCAGGGGGTAATAGTTTAATTTTTTTTGTTTCATCCCAACGGAACCTTATTCTTTTTATCAGATTTTCCCTTATTTTCTTCTTCTTCTTCGACAGATTATTCATAAACGAGCCTTTTGGTATCTTCTAGATGTCACAGATCCGGAGTACAAGTTGACCAAACTGAATCTTGGTCACACTCTCTTTGCGTTTGCTTCTCATGGGGTATTGTTGGTGACTTTGTTTCACTTACCAATTAAAGTGATTACATTGATCAGCCCGTCATTTTTCCCTCTTAAGTTCGGGTAAGCTTCTCGTGTTTGCTTCCCGTCTGAGCATTACCCTATATCGTTTGTAATTTCTTGTACATTAAACAAAATGCAGGATCACCGGAGAAATGACTTTGCATGGTGTATACTCAATTTTTTTCAACTCAATTTCGATCAACCTAATAGTATCCGGCCCTGATCGGTTTATCAAACATACCAAACCAGCTATCAAACTAATGGTTCGCAAGTGGATTACCACTGCTAGTTATTGGCTTCAGCTGAGTGATTTCTTGCTGGTAGTGCCCCAAGGAGGAGAGGGCTTTCACCGTGATGATCAGAATGCGAGGCCATTGTTGCAACCAAGAAGGCCGTATGATAATAATCCATGGTTTATATTGTATTCCATGGCTGAAGGCTCTATGGTCAATTTGCATGGATCTCAGAATGCTGAAGACGGTATTAAAGACCAAAGAGATAACAGGTAATCAACTAATACAAACAAGCTTTTGATAAAATTTTAGAATTGTTCTGATAAGTTGCACTATTAGGTTTCTGCTGAGGATTGCATTGGTGTTGGTGCTAGCTGCTCTGAGTATGTTCGCCGTTAGTACAACGCTCATGGCTTTGCCAATTTTCGTGGGGAGAGTATTCTTAGACTCTATCTCTTTCTTCATGCTAAGAATTGGACTCAGACTTGACGGTGTGTTGTAATTTCTTCTTCATCTTGTTGCCTGTAGACCTTTTTTCGTCGTCTTTCTTATTTACATACCTCTAACCTTTCAAGTTTCTCTTTGCAAAATCTCGTGATTATGCAGATGTTTGTTCTTTTTGGATTGGATTTGATGTTCTGGGAGCAATATGTATCAGCACTTGCTTTGTATCTGATCATATCCAGAAGGGAAGAATCGATTTGCTTCTCAAGTATGTCTTCCTAGGGATACGAAATGGATTGTTTTTCTCCATCTGGGTAAGAAAAACCTTCCATATTCACCCAAAAAAAAGATAAGAACTCTTGAAAATAATGACATGTAAGTTGTAACTTGTAAAACCCGATGAACAGATCTCTGTCATACCGGGATTGCTCGGTCTGCTCATCGACCTTATGATCATCATCCCATCACGAGTGCCGCTAGATGAATCACCGGTCTACTTCTTGTTCCAAGATTGGCTGATCGGAGTAGTGGTGCTTCACATCTGGGTCATTATGGTAAGAGAAAACATTCAACCAAAGACTCAGTTTCCTCGCAGAGCAACCAATGTACTTGTTTTTTTCCTTCTTTTTTCTCACAGACAATGCTCACGCCCATGAAGTGGTTCGCGACCAAGGCATGGCGAAGAAAGTTGGAGAGAATCGGAGATGTGGGAATCAACAGACTTCCTTCAATGTGGCTGCTTCGAGATGTGATCGGTTCCATTACAAGCACACTTCTAACCACATTCTCCATCCCGTACCTGCTCGCCAAGTATCTGTTTCCATGGCTTGGATTCTCGGAAAGCGTCAATTCAGCTGTTGAGCGGTTGATTTGGCCGGCGTTATTAGCCATCATTGCGGTCTGGCACTTGGCCAAGCTAACACGTGATCTCATTGTCTACCTTCAACAGTTGGTCTTCAACGAACGCTATTTGGTGGGTGAAAGAGTCGACAATTTGACTGAAGATCTCTAGAGCAGCGGATTTGATCCATGAGAAGTATATGATGATGACCAACGATGACTTTTGTTCATAGACAAGTCAAGATATGTTTATGACAGTAATTAGAGGAAACCAAACCAAACCGAATTTAGGGGTCTTCTTTTGCTCTTTTCTGTTGTCTTCGAAACAATATGAACCAATTATTGGTTTAAATATTTAGTTTAACCCGGTTTAACAAAATGTTGTTGATCTGTTCACACGTTCTTGGCGTGAACGCTCGTTTTAGTGACGCAACACTCTTTGTTGGATTTACTCCATCTTCTCGGATTACCCTTGAAGTTGCCAAAAATTACCACTCATACCATTTCTCACAGTTCCCCAGTGGACTCAAAAACCAGAGAACAAAAAGGCGATTCAAAGCTGAGGATATTAAATCCGTCTGCTATTCGTTGATTCCTATTTTCCTTTCCCGATTGACGGAGACGCCGAAACTCATTCTTATCGGCGTTGTCTTCTCGCCGGATTCCTCTCCAAGCCTTAGTTGAAGAATCTCTAGGCAAGCGAAGACGAAATGCCGTTCTGGTGGCCGCTGATCGTTCTCGCCTTCGCTTACGCGATCTGCAGATTCCTTCTTATGCTCATTCCTCCCAACGTTCCTTCCATTGACGTAGACGCATCCGATGGTATCTCCTGTCTTTTCCTCTATGCGTGTATCAGCTCCTAGTTTCGTTTATGGCTTTGCTCGGTTGTTCACTACTTCGTGTTCCTTTGTATGAACAATCCGTGGAACAAGCTTATCGGATGTTTGATTTATTGGTTTTTGGAATGGATTTTTGAAACAGTGTTGGCTCATGGGAAGGATACAGAGGAGAATAGCTTCATTTATGTGAGTTCTTCGATCGCGTCATTTCTCATTTTCATCCATATTGTGGTTCAAATATCTGGAGTGATATGAGATTTAAGCTGTTGATCTTACATGTTCTCCTGTTTGTTTTGGTTTAGGATCATAAAGTGTTTAGGTAGCTTCATTTAAGTAACTTCATCTCTGTATTATGAAATTAACTCTGATTTCCATTATTGTCAATTTCAGTGTCTGGCTTAGTATAGTTGTTGTTCTTATTTAAGTGGAACACTGAATCATAAGTTTTTTGTGATATGATCTTTAGATTCCTCCAAGAGGAAGGAGCCAACAGTCAGATAAAAAAGTTCAATGCTATGAACCTGCCACGATGAAATATCTGGGATATTTCCCTGCTCTCTCTCCTACTGAGGTTAGTAGCTGCTGTTCTTTTTCTGAATGGAATATGTTTGTATAATGTTAGAAAAATGTGGCTGCTTTAGTCAAAGGTTTCTCTCAAGGCTATCCACATTATCCTGACATAGGATTTACAATATTTTTGTTTCAGGTTAAGGAGCGAGTAACACTATCAAGGAAGGCTCAAAAAACATGGGCTCAAAGTAGCTTCAAGGTGAGAAGGCAGTTCTTGCGGATTCTTCTCAAGTACATAATTGAACACCAAGAGCTTATATGCGAGTAAGGATTCATTTCTTTGTTTCTGAGTGGTATGGTGTACATGCTTTTCTGAGTGATGGTAAGATTTACCTGCGTTTATTTAGAGTCTCATCACGTGATACTGGAAAGACTATGGTCGATGCGTCCTTGGGAGAAATTATGACTACTTGTGAGAAAATCACTTGGCTTCTTTCGGAGGGAGAACGATGGTTAAAGCCTGAAAATCGGTATTTCCATCATAGCTTATTTCAATATCAGTATTAGTTATAGTTTTCCTTTGATTATTACATAGAAGTGATTTTCAATTCAAATCTGATTTGTCTGCAGGTCTTCAGGCAGAGCTATGCTTCATAAAGTTTCAAGAGTAGAGTTCCATCCCCTTGGTGTCATTGGAGCTATTGTCCCATGGAATTATCCGTTTCACAATATTTTTAATCCTATGCTGGCAGCAGTCTTCTCAGGGAATGGCATTGTTATTAAGGTATAACTTTTTTCTATTATTATAATTCGCTGACTTTTTTGATTTGATATTCTAAATACAGTGCAATCATTTACAAGGATGTTGATTACCTTCTTCAATGCATGTTTCTTTTTGAGATTTTGTATCTGTTTCTGATAGTTTGATAACCTTTTCTGCAGGTTTCAGAACACGCTAGCTGGTCCGGATGCTTTTACTTCCGGATTATCCAGGCAGCTTTAGCTGCGGTGGGAGCACCTGAAAATCTAGTTGATGTGATAACAGGGTCTGTATATGTAGATTTCGAATTCTCCTTAGCATCCTGTTATCAAGTTGATTTCTTCAAAGTATCACATTCTTTTCAGGTTTGCGGAAACCGGAGAAGCACTTGTCTCATCTGTTGATAAAATGATATTTGTTGGATCCACCGCTGTTGGCAAGATGGTATAGTCTTCAGACTTTTCCTCTTCATTTTTCATCCTTTACTATGAGTTGTACTGATGCTATATGTTTCAGATAATGAGAAATGCGGCTGAGACATTGACACCTGTCACTCTTGAGCTTGGTGGAAAAGATGCATTTATCATATGTGAAGACGCAGATGTCTCCCATGTAAGTGTTCTTTTGTGTCATCATGCTCTCTTCTGTGTTCTTATTGTTTATTATTCGACAAGAAGGTTTTGCCTTCGATAAATCTAACACTTCTATCTTACAATGTAGGTTGCACAAGTGGCTGTAAGGGGCACTCTTCAGTCCAGCGGGCAAAACTGTGCGGGTGCTGAAAGATTTTATGTTCACAAAGACATTTATACGTCGTTTATTAGCCAAGTAACCAAGATTGTGAAGTCCGTTTCTGCTGTAAGTGCACTGTTCCCAAAAAAACTTCTAACCATTCGTATGGCACTTATTTTGATCCTTAATACAAACATGAACTTCGGGAGGTTCCTTATTCCAATTTTTCGTGTGATTGTTTGTCATCTTTACTCCAGCCTCTTCATTAGTATGTTGTAACGGGCACAGTAGTTGTTTACTTGTTTTCCTAGAAATCCTAGTTTATGTAAGCCACATAGGAGATTCACCGAAATTTGCAATATAACTAGAGGAACGTGAGTCTCCTTCTCGTTCTCATTTTTTTTCCTCATGTTATCTTATTAAAATCTCTTTTTTACATCAGGGTCCTCCTCTAACTGGGAGATACGACATGGGTGCTATATGTTTACAAGAGCACTCGGAAACCCTACAAAGCCTTGTAAATGACGCCTTAGACAAAGGAGCAGAAATAGCAGTCCGTGGAAGCTTTGGTCATCTGGGAGAAGATGCGGTGGATCAGTATTTCCCTCCAACTGTTCTTGTCAATGTAAACCACAACATGAAAATAATGAAAGAAGAGGTATGTAACCTTTACCCTACCTTCATAGACTTCTTACTTCTGGTGCATCACACAAAATGTTCACACGAGTTGTCAAAATGATTATTAATGTTGTGTGGGAATCAGGCCTTTGGACCAATAATGCCGATCATGCAATTCTGCACCGATGAAGAGGTCATAAAGCTGGCAAATGATTCACGCTATGCGCTTGGCTGTGCTGTTTTCTCCGGAAGCAAGCATCGAGCCAAACAAATCGCTTCCCAAATTCAGTGCGGCGTTGCTGCAATCAATGACTTTGCATCAAATTACATGTGCCAGGTAATCATCACTGGCTTTCGTCTAGGATTACGCCTATGGAGAAAGAAAACAAAACAAGGGAAAGGAAGGTTAATAATACTGTTTCTCTTTTTGATTTTGCAGTCGCTCCCGTTTGGAGGTGTAAAGGATAGCGGGTTTGGACGGTTTGCTGGGATAGAAGGTTTAAGAGCTTGCTGTCTTGTGAAATCCGTGGTTGAGGATAGATTTTGGCCACTCATCAAAACCAAGATCCCAAAACCTATTCAGGCAAGTTTTTCTTTAGCAAAAAACAAAAAAATTGTGAATCCAATCTTGATAATCCCGTTAACAATTCACACCATGGTGGAATCACACAGTACCCGGTAGCGGAAAACGCATTTGAATTCCAGGAGGCACTAGTTGAAACCCTTTATGGACTCAACATCTGGGACCGGCTAAGATCCCTTATCGATGTCCTCAAGTTCCTTACCGATCAGAGCTCTCACGTGAGCAGAAGTAGAAAGAGCCACTAAAGACCAACGACGAATACATTTCGTGTCCACTAAACACTTTTATCAGCTGAGTTGCTAATTTTTGTTGTTAGTGAGCCTTTTGGGTTTTACATATACTAAGCCTCGGAGAGACTCATTTTCGCTCGCAAGGGCGCGATTTGTCACTTGTGAAGAAACCTTTTCTAGACATTAGAAAGTGTCATTGTCGTCGACATTACAATATAAAACACCGGTAGGGAAACGTAGAACCGGTTTGAGATTGCTATATTTTGTTTGGTTTTGATGATATTTTGGTTTTGGTTTCGGTTTGTGTTCCCTAGCAAATATATTGTTAGATAAATTAGGATTCTAGACCGTACCGCCATGGTATGAAAAAATTCATGGTATGGATTTAAGGCATTGATTGATAGATCTTTCTGAAATAGTAGAAAAATGCAAAAACTCAATTTTTTGCCAAATCTTATGGAAAAATGCAAAAATGTAAAATCGGTAGAATTACGTTTTTGCTTATAAAAATACAAAGAAATCTTTGTTAAACGAAAAAATATGTTTAAAATAGATTATTTGCAAAATCAATGTTTATATTATTCAATTATATAACTAATTATATTTTATTATTTAAATAAATACAACTAAATAATTTGGTGTTATAAAAATTTTTTAATGATAAAGTTATGTGGTTCTGTAATATTTTTAAATTTTTTATTTAAAAAAATAAATTATAAAAATTACAATAAGAATTATATTATTTTATAATAGTTAATTGAATTATCAATATTATTTTTTATGATATATTATAAAAAATTATTTTTAAATAATCATATTTCGCCATTCTGCTATTCTGCATAATTTATCTAACCGTGTCAAAAAATGTATTCCGTAAATTGGCAATAAGTTTTCACAATTTCTTTTTTTCGTCATTCCAAAATTTCACAAATTGAAGTAGATTATTTGCGATATCAATGTTTATATTATTCAATTATATAAGTAATTATATTTTATTATTTAAATAAATATAACTAAATAATTTGGTGTTACCAAAAATTATTTAATGATAAATTTATGTGGTTTGTAATATTTTTAAATCTTTTATTTTGAAAAATAAATTATAAAAATTACAATAAGAATTATATCATTTTATAATAGTTAATTGAATTATTAATATTATTTTTATGATATATAATAAAAAAATATTATTAAATAATCATATTCTGCCATTCTGCTATTCTGCATAAACCGTGTCAAAAAATATATTCTGTAAATTGGCAATAAGTTTTCACAATTCTTTTTCTTCGTCATTCCACAATTTCACAATAAAAAAATTATGTTACCAATCAGAGATGACAAACAATTCAGTAAACCCAAAAAAAGGACAAGATTTGTTGGCTAAACTGTCTCTCGTCTAAATCCAAAACTTTATTTTAATTGAAATTATATGTTTTTTGTTCATAAAACTATATTATTACTTAAAAAAAAAGATATGACAATGCATGATATACTTGAATTGAATTATACATAGAAAGTCAATTTTCTAAACTATTGAAAAAGTTATATAGAGAAGTTTTTTACATGTGTCTTCTTTTTTTGGTTTCAGATTGCTATATTTTGTTTGGTTTTGATGATATTTTGATTTTGGTTTCGGTTTGTGTTTCCTAGCAAATATATTGTTAGATAAATGAGGGTTCTAGACCGTACCGCCATGATATGGATTCATGGTATGAATTTAAGGCACTGATTGATAGATCTTGTGGAATAGTAGAGAAACGCAAAAACGTAATTTTTTTGTTAATTAGAAAATCTTGTGAAAAAATGCAAAGATGCAAAATCTGCAGAATTGTGTTTTTGCTAAGAAAAATATAAAAAAATCTTTGTTAAGCAAAAAAATATGTTTGAAGTAGATTATTGCGAAATCAATATTTATATTATTCAATTATATAACTAATTATATTTTATTATTTAAATAAATACAACTAAATAATTTGGTATTACAAAAAATTATTTAATGATAAAGTTATGTGTTTTGTAATATTTTTAAATCTTTTATTTTGAAAAATAAATTATAAAAATTACAATCAGAATTATATCATTTTATAATAGTTAATTGAATTATTAATATTATTTTTTATGATATACAATAAAAAATATTTTTAAATAATCATATTCCGCCATTCTGCTATTCTGCATAATTTATCTAACCGTGTTAAAAAATGTATTCCATAAATTGGCATAAGTTTTCACAATTCTTTTTTTTTCATCATTCCACAATTCCACAATAAAAAAATTGTGTTACCAATCAGAGATGACAAACAATTCAGTAAACCAAAAAAGAGGACAAGATTTGTTGGCTAAACTGTCTCTCGTCTAAATCCGAATCTTTATATTAATTGAAATTATATGTTTTTTGTTTATAAAACTATATTATTACTTAAAAAAAAAAGATATGACAATGCATGATATACTTGAATTGAATTATACATAGAAAGTCAATTTTCTAAACTATTGAAAAAGTTATATAGAGAAGTTTTTTACATGTGTCTTCTTTTTTTGGTTTCAGATTGCTATATTTTGTTTGGTTTTGATGATATTTTGGTTTTGGTTTCGGTTTGTGTTTCCTAGAAAATATATTGTTAGATAAATGAGGGTTCTAGACCGTACCGCCATGATATGGATTCATGGTATGAATTTAAGGCACTGATTGATAGATCTTGTGGAATAGTAGAAAAACGCAAAAACGTAATTTTTTTGTCAATTAAAAAATCTTGGGAAAAATGCAAAAATGCAAAATCTACAGAATTGCGTTTTTATTAAGAAAAATACAAAGAAATCTTTGTTAAGCGGAAAAATGTGTTTGAAGTAGATTATTGCTAAATCAATATTTATATTATTCAATTGTATAACTAATTATATTTTATTATTTAAATAAATACAACTAAACAATTTGGTGTTACAAAAAAATCTTTAATGATAAAGTTATGTGGTTTGTAATATTTTAAAATTTTTATTTTGAAAAATAAATTATAAAAATTACAATAAAAATTATATCATTTTATAATAGTTAATTGAATTATTAATATTATTTTTTATGATATATAATTAAAAAATATATTTAAATAATCATATTCTGCCATTCTGCTATTCTGCATAATTTATCTAACAGTGTCAAAAAATGTATTCCGTAAATTGGCAATAAGTTTTCACAATTTATTTTTTTCGTCATTCCATAATTCCACAATAAGAAAATTATGTTACCAATCAGAGATGACAAACAATTCAGTAATCCCAAAAAAAAGACAAGATTTGTTGGCTAAACTGTCTCTCGTCTAAATCCGAAACTTTATTTTAATTGAAATTATATGTTTTTTTTTGTTCATAAAACTATATTATTACTTAAAAAAAATATGACAATGCATGATATACTTGAATTGAATTATACATAAAAAGTCAAATTTCTAAACTATTGAAAAAGTTATATAGAACAGTTTTATTCTCTTTTCAAACTGGTTTTATTGTTCACAAAAAAAACTATTTTGGAAATAACAGGTATTTTTTTGTCAGCTGGGTAAATTTCTCTTTAGGTAATTCAAAGGGATACCATATAGTAAGAAGAGGTCCACTAGTAAAAAAAATACTAAGAATAGTTAAATATCTATGGATATTGATTGAATACATAGAAAGTATTAAATGCTCTAAAAGGCAATTCAAGATTTTCACCAGTGGACTTACTAGATATGTATTTATGCAAAAAAGGTCTTACTAAAACTACTCTAAAATATGATGATGATGAGGTTCACTGAAAACTCTCCGCACATTCATTACTATAAAAGTATATATATACATGAAGAAATAACTGAGAAATACACAACAAATCTAGATTACAATCAACATTAACAAAAAAAAAAAATGGGTAGGAGAAAGATTAAGATGGAGAAAGTGCAAGACACAAACACAAAGCAAGTTACTTTTTCGAAACGTAGATTGGGTTTGTTCAAGAAAGCGAGTGAGCTTGCCACTTTGTGCAACGCCGAGGTTGGTATTGTTGTCTTTTCTCCTGGAAACAAACCTTACTCCTTCGGGAAACCGAATTTTGATTTGATTGCAGAACGTTTTAAGAACGAATCCGAAGATTCGGATGGCTCTGAAAGATCAGGCTACAGTAGAGGTAAAAGAGTTCGACAGGAGAAGAAGATTTGCAAACGTCTCAACTCGATCATCGAAGAAGCTGAAGCTGAGAAGAAACGCGGCGAAAATCTTCAGAATTGGCTTGAATGTGCTGGAGAAGAGGGGTTTAACAAACCTATCGAGGATCTTACCCTTGAGGAGCTCAAGGAATTTGAAGCCAAGATGAAGAAAATGCATGGTAGGGTCCAAGGTACCATTATTCACATGCAAGCTTCCTCTTCTCTCGTGATTCTCTCTAACAATAAGTAAGAATTTATGCGAAAGAGGGATAAAAAGTTACTAGACCGATATATCTAGAACTTTCATTTCGTATTGTTGAGTCATTTTTAAATTTTAATAGTTGTTATATTGTGGCAATGTAACACCGATTGTATCTTCCGGCTCTCGATGATCTATTGGTTGTAACATTCGGTTTGTTGCAGACAATATGATTATGGAGAGTATCTATCTATCTATCTATCTATTTATGATTATTAAGACTGCTATCTATTCGAAAACAAACCAATTATAACAAAATGTCATACTTATCCAAAACTGTATTTTGTTCTGAAAAGGTTATGGGATGTAAATCATGTAATTTTATTATGATTGATATTTCGTTGTTTTTTGAAGAAAAACTTAAGACAATGTTCAATGCAAGAAGAGTAACATTCAACTTTTATGTAATAGGATGCCTAATATTGATCCTAAAACGAAAACGAGACCGTTGATTTTTGCTCTTTATCCTCCATTAAGGCCCATCCTTACTGGGCAGTCCAAGATTTGGACCAGGAAAGTACGAACAACCCAGAGAACCAAAATATGGTAATTTAAACAAAAGATGCTATTTCCTCTAGAAAGATCAAATAAAATTACAAAACAACCAGAAATTATCAGTAAAATAGAAAAGAAGAAAAAAAACCTCCAAAGAGGGTTTACACAACTGTGAGTATGGAGAAGTATTTGGCGTGGGCCTCATTTACAGAGGAAGAAAGAAGAGAGAGACTTTTCATTTCATATTTCTCGTTTCAGTATAATGCTAATGATCCCTATAGGCGATTTCGGTTGGTAATGCTCATCAGTATCCACTTCCTCAATCTCCTGTTACAATATGATTTAACCGTCAACACATGAAACAAAACCATAGAGGATGAAACGAGAGAGTGTGTGTTATGTTGGATCAAACCTGTACTACATCCTCTCCTTTGAGGACTCTTCCAAAAACTATAAGCTGATCATTCAGATCCGGGATTGGCGCCGTTGTGATCAGAAGCTCAAAATCCTTGTTGTTCCCTTTGGTTTTTGGCGTCCCCAACATGAATGCCTCATGTTTTGGGCTGTCAATAAACAGCACACGGGTTTGGTTTGATCTTAAACAAAAGAGAGACAATGGAAATTTACTCTTACAAAAGCCAAACGCCGAGCAAGTTAATCACCTTGTGTGGAGGCGGCCACGGAGCTTTCCTTTAGCTGTCCATTCTTCTACAGGTATAGAGCTCGGCGAGTGACCAGCTTGTACCAAGTAGTTTTTGATTACCCGATGAAACGGCATTCCCTTGAAGTGCTCTTTTTGACTGCAACAATAGTCAGTGCATTACTTCTACAACTGAATTGAGCTGGAACAGTGACACATAGTGTTTCAGCCTGTTTCTCTTTGGATGAGGTTCTATGTTCCAAATAAGAGTATGAGAGGACTCTAGAGTCAAAATCAATCAACGAAGAAACTAATTTAGATGTAACAGTCCTACCAAAAACAAGTCATGACCTGAACTCATATGCATTTCTTTTCTAACTAGCTTGAAAGAAAACAAACAAAATGTTATACTAACCATAGGTCTAGAAACTTGTCCACAGCTTCGGGGGATCCTTCTTTAAAGAGTTCCACAGTTATAAGACCTTTTGATGTGTTTATATCCTACACGAGATAAGAAGATAGAAGCAAGATATCACTGAAAAATGCATATCCAGGAGATAGATTATGTTTTACTTCTAAGTACATCAGTTAACAGAAACATATTTTACCCAAGGTGAGAAATAAGAACAAGGATAAAAACAAGAAACTCAAGCAAGTAAACAGAGAGATTTATAACTTACGGCATAACCAGGAAGATCGTAACTCGTTTGCTCCGAAGCAGCATTTGTGTCCTGAAACACAAACACAAAGCCAGATCATGTATAATGTATCCAAAACACAAAGCACAAACATTGCAAAAACCTCTAAAAAACAGTACCTCAAATCTCTGACCCTGGGTTTCCTGTTCGATTGAGTTTCTCGACCTGCGAGAAAACCAAGATCCTATCAAGTTTGTGGATAGCAGTTCCTAGCCGTAAGCAACACATAGTAGAAAGAGGATCTACGACAAGGGAGGTAATGAAAAGGAATAATACAAAGATGGAAGGAAACAAACCTCTGGGACCAATGACGATAAGTTGTGACCAACGATAGTATGACTAGAGCAACTACAAGGTTACACACTATAATAGTCGAAATACTTATGCGACTCGGACCCTTCTTCTTCTTGCTTTGATTCAGCAGAGCCTGAGGTTTTATCCTCGCCATTACTTACACCTTACTTCGCAGAGAATGACCGATACAACGTTGTCTCTGCAAAACCAACATAAACCAACGGTAAGTGACAGGCAATCCATAAAGCAAGTAACTCATACACAAAATTGCAGGTGCAAGTTCCATTATCTATAATTCGATTCCAAGTTCGTAGAATTGTTTCCACTAATAATAAAATAAAAACAACGAATTGACCAGATTTGGAATCTAACAAAGTTGTATCAAATCAACGCATGTGACGATTACAGTAACTTCCAATACACAGATCCAGGAATTTCTAATTCTCGATCAAATTAGACAAGCGTGCAAATAAATTTCGAGCAAAGGAGCATATCGTGTCCGAATCAGAAAACAAAACGGATATTCCAAAGAAAGAGTTGATAAAAATCCAAACCAAAAGGAGCTTGCTCAATTTGGGTTCTCGAAAAATCGCACGTGGAAGAAGTTAGAAAGAAAGAGCTTTACGAGAGGAATCGGGGTGTATAGGTCGTGAAGAGATTGGTCGTTTCGTTGATGGAAACTGGTTTGAATTCTCTCTGCCCCCTTTCTCTTTTTCCAGAAACGCTTCAGATCAGCCGCGTGTTATCTGACGGCTCACCATAATTCCACGAAAATAATTATTTTTCATCCAATGTATTATTTCACCTACACAAGAAATTTTAATTTTTAATTTTTAAGTCAGTTCGGTCTGGTTTTGTGGTTATACCCGGTTCAATCCTTGGCTGCATCATTTTGTTTGATCACATTCACACATGCTCAACATAAGAGTATTTGTCAAAGTCAATAATTTATTTAAAACCACAGTCTCGAATAACTCTAATCGTATTTAACTTGAGTAGCCAACCAATTTGATATTCTACTATTAACTTGCCAACCATCGCCTCTTCCTAACCGGTCTCTCTTGATTTGTATCATCGGTTTTGGCTCCTGGTTTGGTTTGAGACTGAATTGTGGCCTCTACCGTCTTCGAGAATTCGGTTTTCTTAAACCTCTCTCTTCGTTTCTCCATCTTCTTAAGGCTCTCTCGTATTTGCTCCTCCCCTATTTCAATCCCTTTCACGTTCCTCGCTTCTTCTGTGATCTCACCTTCCTCTTTCTCATCTAAACCTTGAATCTCCACACCAGCTTTCTCCTTCTTTCTGCCAGTTACATTTCCTGGTTTCTGACGCTCTTGCTGTTCCATTGGATCTCTTCCGTTGGAGAATCTTCTTCTTGATTGCTTCGAGCGCTGAAACACACACAAAAAGAAGCTGTCACATGAGAAAGGTCATGTTCTTCATTTCACACAAACTGATGGATGTTTACTCATACTAATCAGATAAGAACAACAAAGAAACAGGCGACTCCCACATAAAAGACTCAGAAAGACTGAAAGGCGCTTATACTTGATGAATATAGATGACTTGGATTCTATTTTTACCTTCCCTTGCCTGCCAATTAAGTCAACCGGATCCTTGCACTTGATGAAAGCGTGCCCATCTCTTCTCAGCTTTTTGGATATGTGATGTCTTTCATCATTTTCATGAATCTGGCGCTTCAAGTATCCAGGCCCTTGTTTGGTAGACATTCTTATATCGCGGGATAACATCTCATCAGTATATGGTAGATGCTCAGAATGAGTAACTTCTCTCATTGAGCATTGAATGTCATCTCCCAACTGGTATCTACTTCTATCACGACGAACCCGATCATCATCATCATACCTTAGCCTATCTTGCATGCGCACATTATTACTGTGAACAAGATCCCGCGTCCAACCATCTCTTGGCGCATCCTTATACAACTGATTCCTCTGGCTCGCATATGCTTCCGTTGTTGTGAAGTCTCTGGTATCATCTCTCCAGGAATCACCTCTTGATCCTTTTGTAGACCAAGCATCTCTCAGTGATAAAGACGGTGATGGCCAAGCATCTTCGATTCTGTACTGATAACCATCTTTCTCTGAGACATATCTATCGAGATGCCAATCACGTGTGTAATGGTGTCTTCTATCTATTTCAGAGAACTCCTCATTTTTTTCAAACCCTTCATATTCTCTCCTTCCCATCACAGCTAAAGAATGCGTCTCCCTATAAGCCAGCTCAAATGGAATTCCACTTTCTGCCCTGTGAATTCCATCTTCATATCTATGATGGCGATAAAAATTATAATCGTAGTCACCTCTTCTTCTAAAATGAAGATCATTCTCGCGACTCTGTTTGGGGTTATGTCTTCCAAGAGCAGAAGAGCACTCAAACCGGTACCTGGAGTCCATATCAGTTATTGGAACATGGTCTTGATGATAAGGTTCTCTTGGCCAATCATATCGATTTCTTTCTTTGTTGCTTTCATAGGCTAGGTCAGGACTTCTTTCACGGCCATAGTTTCTTTCACAATGTTGCCTACCATATCTATCCTCGTCTTCGTTGAAACATAATCGAGAATTTCTCTGATTAAGATTAAAGGATGAACCCGAGGTATACTCTCTCAGACGCGCCTCATACTTGTAACCATTAAAATGATCAAAGCCCCGGCCATGCGATGGCTCTTTGTTGTTGCGCCAACCAACCATGTGCTCTCCTCTATCTCGATCAAGATGCACTGATGAATATGAAGGACCATAACGTTTTTCTCTATTCGAGTGAGGATTACCTTTACCTTCAGTCTGAACCTTTTCTATCGTAAAAGGTGGTCCATTTTGCCAGTTTCTGCTTGAATCTCGATACAAACTTCCACGTCTAGAACACACTCTCTCGCCAAGATCTGGATCCTTAACAAGTCCATGTTTTGTTCTCCTATGTACACCATAGTCAGCTCTCCCACAGTGCCTTTTGTTTGGCTCTTCGTGAGATCTTCTGTGTCTAGAATGCTTTGTACCACTCTGTTCCCCACTTTTGATATTGTTTGCTTCATTTTCCGCAAATCTAGTTCTTCGTGGTGGGGTACTGACTTCACGTTGGTCATCATCAGTAGTATCACCTTTTGATGATTCTGTTTCAGAATCCTCAGTTTTACCCACAGAATATGAAGAGGCAGGGCTAACACGAAAGTGATCTCCAGGAGATGATTCCCTTTCCACTGAGGTTGAATCCGCCTTATCTGAATTCCAACAAGTCTCTTCTTTCTCCTCCTCGATAATCTCCTTATCGCAAGGTGTTACTTCCCTGATGCAGCGATTCTCTTTCGGAGAAAATTGCTCGTCTCTGAAACTTCCAGTATTTTCGTCTTCACACCCCACAGAAGCCTCTTCTTTCACTGAATCACCAGATGAATTCAAATCATTTCCGTTATCTGAATGAAACTCCTCACTTGTAGATGCTTTATTTGATGTTATGCCGAGAGAGCTTGCCTCCACAGGTGTCACGCTTGCTAGCTCCTTAACATCATTAGTCACTGGGATCTGATTTCACCCACATTCAATCATCAATGAAAAATTAACGGAGACAAAAACCAACAAACCAAGTATCATTCAATATCTGACCTGTATCACCACGTCAGGGTCTGAATCACGTGGATGGCGCAAATCCACAGATGGTATTCGCCCAAGAGTTCCATCTTCAACCTCAATTGCTCTTCCCTTTAATTGAAAACGGGAAGAAACTCATCAAATTCAAAAAGAAACACGCACTTGCCACAAGGAACATGAACATCAAGAAATCAAAACATGTTTACTTACCAACGGATCACAATACTCTTTCCAGCTTTGCTCGTTAAATCCGAAATTGAAGAAGTCGCTGATATCCGTACCAGGATCCCTCCATGGCTTCTTCTCAAACTCATCGAAATTTGCATCAAAAGTTGTTCTGAGACGTGAGAATATAGGAAACCCACATCAGTGAACATATAATGATCTTCAAACACATTCACCATTGTTCACGTCGGCCACAATTACTATCATAAACTAATCAAATATGGTAGCCCTGACCACTGTCACTAACCTGGACCAGATATTGTATCCACTTTGAGGCATTCCAAGATACGGATTCATCCAGGCATTATTAGCTAAAGCTTCCATCGTCATCCCACTATTGGGCATTGTGGACTGCAAAAGAATCCATCCGAAACAACAAGATGAAATTAGTCAAAGCACGAACACCTGGGGTTCATGAACTACAACACTGTAGACAATAAAAAAACGCCAAACAAATTAAACTCAATCGCAGGAACTTGCCCAATTTCCAGTCTTCCGTTTCTGAAACGAGCAAGTTTGGGATGGCTCGACGTATGCGCCGCCATTGTTGGTGTTGGACCCATGAAGCACTTTGGAACCGTCCTCTTTCAGCACTATATTCAAATCATCTTCACTGTCACTGTCTTCCGATTCTTCAGTCGCACCGGTCCGATTCACAGCACAGGCAGCGTCGACACTCGGACTCGAATCCTTAGCCACCACCACACCTAATTTCTTCGTTTCAGCTCGCGATTCGGGCTCTTCTGTCCCTTCAAAACACTTGTTCTCGTCGGAAATCGGAGCACACTTGGGCTCTTCGCACGACTTTACGAATCCACCAACATCGCCGGCGAAGGCCTGAACCTTGTCATCAACGTACAACTCACCAAAATCATCATCAGTGGAATCCATTGGCAGGTAAACTCAGTGAAAAGATTTAGATTTTCACACTAACTGATTTTTATCTGTTTCATAATGCGAGAGAGTAAGAGTTTAGAACAGTTGCATAAACCCTCTCAGAAATCTGGGAGTGGCAGAATAGGAAAACGCCTTAAACCCTAATAATTTCTAGTTTTTTGTTTTTGTGAAAAATATATACGATAAAGCCATAATTATTGTTTCTTTTTTTAAAAAAAAAATTAGATAATGCTAGAATACTTCTTGTATAAACAAAAAAAAAGGATTATGAAAATGTCGCTTATTGGAATTTTAACAAAAAAAAATGTGGTAGATTTTGGCAAATATATTTAAACGACTAGTTCAACAAAAAGAAATATAAAACATGAAATGTATAAATTATTTTTTTCTGTTAGTAATAGTTTTTTCAAAAAATTATATATATCAAACATAAAAAACAATTTCCCTATTATTCTATTTTCTTTATGCCTTTTCATTGTTTTCCCTTTTTTCCTATTGTTATTGTTATTTCGATAGAACTTCAGCCTTAAACTTGACCAAAATAAAAAAATGGACTTGACAACAAAAGAAGAAAACAAGTTTGGATCGGAAGATCCGGAGCCGTGAGCTAACTAGCATGAGCCACGTGACCACCTTTACACTCTCTCTATCCCTGTGGTAGCTGAGCTCATCTACTTGTTTCCCTCCCGTTTCTCTCTCTAATTAATGGGTTTTCTCTGAACCATTCCCTTCCTACTAGCAATCTACTCTCTACCTAACATTGCTCTCTTCTGACTCTCACGCACTCAGCAGGTGACCAGGTTCGTCTTCTTTTCTTTGCGTTTCTGAATTTCCCCAAGAGTCAGATCCGTGCTCCTTGCGATTCCGATCTGTATTTTTGGTTTTTCCTCATACATAAAGTGTCAGTCTGGTTAGGGCCTAGAGGGCTAGTGATGATTCGACAGTGGAGTGTTTTCGTTTATACGAGGTTGAGATCTAAACTGAAATGGAGTTTTGTAATGCGATGGTTGAGATTTGGAATTATGGGTCCCTTGGATCCATCCCAGTTGTATTTCTTTAATCCGGAATAGCTTCTTCTTTGATTCGGTTTCATGACCATGGATTTGATCAAATTAATCATTTTTAGTTGTATTAACGTGGAAAGGTGAAAACTTTTAGGTTGGTAGAACCAAATCATCTGTTGGATTGGTTTCAAGTTTTGCAATTTTTCCTGTTGGATTGGACTGTTACATATATTATTCACGACTATGGAAATGTCACCTTTTTTCTTTTCTTACTGTGATTCTCAGTTGCTTTCGAGCCTATAAAAATGGCCACGGGACAGCTATTTTCACGCAACACACAAGCGCTGTTTTACAACTATAAGCAGCTTCCCATTCAGCGGATGCTTGATTTTGATTTCCTCTGTGGTGAGTGTAGCTTCGTTTTCTTTGCCTTCGAGCGGTTAAACTTGGTGTCAAGGAAACCATTTTGGTCTCAGTTTATGTTTACTCTTTTCAGGGCGAGAAACTCCTTCTGTTGCTGGTATCATTAACCCTGGTTCTGAGGGATTCCAGAAGCTATTCTTTGGTCAAGAGGAAATCGCCATACCTGTCCATGCAGCGTAAGTTTAATCTCATTTCGATAGAGAGATACAGAGACACAAGCTTCAAACAATTTAACTTAGTTTCTTCTGTTTCTTGTAGCATTGAGGCAGCATGTGCTGCGCACCCCACAGCAGATGTATTCATCAACTTTGCATCGTTTAGAAGGTTGGTGTGGTTTTATTTATTCTGTAAAATGCAATCTTTTTTACTCTCTCTTTGTGATTCTTTTGTAATGTTTTTTTTTTTTTTTTTGGTCTCCGTTTGTTTTAGTGCTGCTGCTTCATCCATGGCTGCTTTGAAGCAGCCAACTATTAAAGTAGTGGCCATAATTGCAGAAGGTGTTCCGGAGTCAGACACTAAGCAGCTGATTGCTTATGCTCGTGCTAACAATAAGGTGGTCTATCAAACTGAACTGACTCGATTCCTCAGGATTACTAGTTCATATCAATCTTTTCTAATTAATGTGAGCTTTCTGTATCACTCTCCTGTTACGGATTGGTTGTTACAGGTTATTATCGGACCAGCTACTGTTGGAGGTATTCAAGCTGGAGCCTTTAAAATTGGTGACACTGCCGGAACAATTGACAATATCATCCAGTGCAAGCTGTACAGGCCTGGATCTGTTGGCTTTGTCTCGAAATCTGTATGTGCTGTTTTTCTTTTCTGCGCTCTTGTAGTCTGCGGAAGCTCATTAGTATCCACTTTTGTATCTGAATCTGAGAATTTATTTGTCTTCCTCTCTTTTCTACAGGGTGGCATGTCTAATGAAATGTACAATACCATTGCTCGTGTGACAGATGGGATCTATGAAGGTGAGTTTCTATATTTTATGTTCAGCGTTCAGAACCACGTCTATCGATTCTGAACAGTTCTTAAGTTGAGTTTATTTTCTGGGATGGCCACAGGTATTGCTATTGGTGGGGATGTGTTCCCAGGATCCACTTTATCTGACCATATCCTGCGTTTTAACAACATCCCACAGGTATATTAATTTCGAGTTTTACATTTTGTTGCTCACTAGGCTTTCCATTTGACAGTTTTGAATAGCCGGCACTATTTTTTCTTACTGGTAAACTATATGAGAAGCTATTATAAGGCATCTGACCTTTAACTAGTGTCTTTAACTCCAAAAAATCTGTCTTTCGTTGTAAAATATTGCAGATTAAGATGGTGGTTGTACTTGGAGAGCTTGGAGGAAGAGATGAATATTCTCTAGTTGAAGCTTTGAAACAGGGAAAAGTCACCAAACCAGTGGTTGCTTGGGTCAGCGGGACTTGTGCGCGTCTCTTCAAGTCCGAAGTACAATTTGGTCATGCAGTACGTGCCCCCCAACTAGATAAACTCTGAACACTAACCTTCCTATATGAACAATTTTTTGATATAATCTCTGAATCAGGGAGCGAAAAGCGGTGGAGAAATGGAGTCTGCACAGGCCAAGAATCAAGCACTCAAAGACGCTGGAGCTACTGTACCCACTTCATTCGAAGCCTTAGAATCTGCAATCAAGGAAACTTTCGACAAATTGGTCAGTCTCCAGTCAAATATGTTCTTAGGTGCATTTCTTTTTGGTGTGATCTTACGTTCAATTGTTTCGGTTTTCCATAGGTTGAAGAAGAAAAGGTGTCTCCTGTTAAGGAAATCACTCCTCCGCAAATCCCCGAAGATCTCAGCTCCGCAATAAAGAGCGGGAAAGTCCGGGCTCCTACGCACATCATCTCCACGATTTCTGATGACAGAGGTATTATTCTTCTGAAACTAACAACCATTTTCTCAATGCTTAAAAGAACATTTTTGTAAACAAAATTAATTTATCTTCGCATTTAATTTACAGGGGAGGAACCATGCTATGCTGGTGTGCCAATGTCGTCCATCATCGAACAAGGTTATGGTGTAGGAGATGTCATCTCTCTCCTATGGTTCAAACGTAGTCTTCCCGGTTACTGCACCAAATTCATTGAGGTTGCATATCTTTTCTCATATATCCATACTTTGACATCAATATTGAATACTATTAGCTAGTGAGATGGACTCTGCTTTCTGACACTTTGAGCTATGATCAGATTTGCATAATGTTGTGTGCTGATCACGGTCCATGTGTTTCCGGGGCTCACAACACCATCGTAACAGCAAGAGCAGGAAAAGACCTCGTCTCAAGTCTTGTTTCAGGTGAGTTTTAACACACCTAGATTCGCAGTCTCTTCCAAGTGAACTTTGTTATAATAATAATCTATGCTTATGATAACTGATAATACTTATAACACACAGGTCTATTAACAATTGGTCCAAGATTTGGTGGTGCCATTGATGACGCAGCACGGTACTTCAAGGACGCTTGTGACAGGGTAAAAAAACCCTCTTCTCCCGTACTGCAACTGCGTCAACCACTTCTTGAAACTGAAATCTAATTTATACAACAAACGTTTTCCGGTTTTTAGAGTCTCACACCTTATGAATTCGTGGAAGGCATGAAGAAGAAAGGAATCCGTGTCCCTGGAATTGGTCACAGGTAAGAATAAATCAGTTTTGAGTATAAGCAGAATACAGAATATTCTCTATCAAGTCAAGGGATTGTTTTTCTTACATCTTACTGTGATTTTGCAGGATCAAGAGTAGAGACAACAGAGACAAAAGAGTGGAGCTGCTTCAGAAATTCGCACGGTCCAACTTCCCTTCGGTGAAGTACATGGAATACGCAGTCCAAGTAGAGACATACACACTCTCTAAAGCCAACAACCTCGTACTCAACGTGGACGGAGCCATAGGATCTCTCTTCTTGGACCTTCTCGCTGGAAGTGGAATGTTCACTAAGCAAGAGATCGACGAAATCGTCCAGATCGGTTATCTCAACGGCCTCTTCGTCCTCGCTCGATCCATCGGTTTAATCGGGTAAATCTCCTAACCGGACACATTCATCTTTGTTGTTGAAGCACATTGATTCGGTTGGATTCTCAAAACAATGTGTGAATAATTTGGTGCAGGCACACATTCGACCAGAAGAGATTGAAGCAGCCACTGTATCGACACCCGTGGGAAGATGTCTTGTACACCAAGTAATTATCAGAATCATTATTCACTTCTTCTCATCTTTATTATTCTTACATTCCCTCTCCCTTCCAGTTAGGCTTATTTTTCTTTGTCTTTTATATAATTTTTTTCTGAAGATTATCTGTGTTTTCGTTGTGATTTCCCATAACTCTCTGGTTACTAAACCCAACTCCCCCAAGTTTTTAGTATTCTTACAACATTTCAGTGAATTTTATTACATTATAAACGCATGTAGCTTGGAATAATAATTGAAGAACAACAGTTACTAATTTTAGAACAATTGTGGTCAATCCTCTGTAATTTAGATCGTTTGAATGGGTGAAGCGTTTTTCTTCCAGGGTAAGTTTTTGAGCTTTTAGTATATAAGAACCAAAATACTTGAATATCCAAATAGTAAATGAAACTAAGTCATTTATTATTAAAAAGCTTGATCTGTACGCGACCTTACTAACGATGAACAACAACAACAACAACAACGAAAAACAAGTATTTTTTTTTTTGTGCGAATAACTAACGAAAAACAAGTATAAAATATGATTTTCAACTTAAAAGGTGAGTTGGTTAGCTGATATTTTGGCCGACATACGTTAGCGACTGCAATTTTGGAGTAGAAGCGGTGGGGCGGCAAGTTCAAATTATTTTATTTTCGAGCTTGCCACTATGTATAAATATTAAAATGACATTCATACAAAGATAAAATAGTGTACACGGATTATTAGGTGATGTCACAAAACAACAATGTAGAAAGAAGGATGTAGAAGTTCCTATGCTTATGGAAATGGAACTATATAGTTACGAACACACTCTCTCTAGTCTAGTGACTAGTATCTTTTCTTACGTATTTTGTCTAGTGATTGTAATTTCGGTTTTGACTGCGTAACCAACGAATTGTCGAGTACCAATTAAAATAGAACCGGCCAACCTCTTTTTCCTCGTCTCTCTCTCGGAAAATCATTTTTGTTGACTGATTTCTTCACTTCCACCATTTCCTCCTAATGAGAGAGAAACTGTGTATCGTTCCTAGGAAGCGAAATACAGCCAAAGTCGAATCGAATCCATATTTTGATTCGTCACTTGAGAAGAATTTCGTTCATGGTTTATCATTTGTTTCCAAGGTCCGATTCAGCTCGAGCGGTCACTGATTCAACTCGCTTAGCTTCTGATTTGATACCCGATTTCGGAGGTTAAAGTTGTGTTCCCTGTTCGGGTTTGGGTTTCGGTTTTCTAGCGCAATGGAGACTCCACCTACGAAAGAACTACTGAAGAAGATACTAGAGCTAGAGGAAAGCCAGGAGCAACTAAAGCAGGAGATGTCGAGGCTCAAGGTGTCGACGGAGCTTAGTCAGCAATCGCTTTCGGTGTCGCCGTATCGTCCGGAGAGGAGAAACATCGGCGAGGGAGCTCCCGCGTGCAGGAGGAGCGGTGCCGCCTCGTTTCGTCACGCTTCGCCGTTGCGGAAGCAGAGCCGTATCCAGGAAGGTGGACCATCGACCGGGAAGTTCACGGATAAACAGTATTTGAATATTTTGCAGTCGATGGCACAGTCTGTTCATGTCTTGGATCTAAATATGCGAATAATCTTTTGGTAAGCAGTTTATGCAATTCGATCTTAAATATGCCTTTGATCCTAAATATGCAATTCGATCTTGTGAATGCAATCAATGGCTTCCTATATTGTTCACGTCATAATATCTGGATATTGTGACTTGTGAACCCTCGTTGGTGAATCAGGATTTTGATTCCTATAATCCTGGAATAAGATGTGAGTTCATGTGCTATGTTTTCAGATTCCAATACGATAACCGGATAACGTGATTGTTCCAGGAATGCCATGTCGGAAAAGCTTTATGGGTACACTGCTGAAGAAGTGGTTGGGCAGAACTCAATTAATGTTATGGTAGATGATCGGGATGCTGCCTTTGCCATGAATGTTGCTCAACGTTGTGTCAATGGAGAGAGCTGGACTGGCGAGTTTCCTGTCAAGAACAGATCAGGGCAAATCATTTTAGCTATCACTACGTGTTCCCCATTCTATGATGATGACGGTTCTCTGGTTGGGATCATTTCTATCACGACTGACGCAGCACCGTTTCTGCACTCGAGGATCTCTTTGGCTGAATTAAAGGCGTATGAAGGTGAAACGACCTCTATCCCTGCACGGAATAGTTTTGCCTCCAAACTTGGCCTTGCCTCTGATCAGCCGATACAAGTTGCTCTAGCATCAAAGATATCAGATTTGGTTAGTTCAGTTTTTAGGCTGTATATACTATATTCTCTCCTCTTCTCTTGTTGTTGCATACTTTGACTTGTGGTAAAAAAATCACAGGCATCCAAGGTGAGCAACAAGGTTAGGTCGAAAGTGCGAGCTGGTGATAGTAGTGTCGCACCGTCTGAGGGTAGCAAAGGGGACAGTCTTCATTCTGATCACAGGGATGATGCAGCAGCCAGTGGTGCCAGCACACCAAAAGGGGGTTTTATTTATTCTCCTTTTGGTGTATTCACATGTTACGATGAGAAGTTTCCTTTCGAAACTTACAAAGATTCCAGCGATGATAATGATGGAAATCCTGCTATCCGTAAGACTCACACCTCAAAAGCTGAAGAATGGATGGTAAAGAAAGGTCTGGCATGGCCATGGAAAGGGAATGAGCCGGAAGTTTCAGAGGTAAGGCCTACTCATTCAGTATGGCCTTGGGTACAGAATGAACAAGAGAAAGATAAGTCTCACCAGATTAATCCCTCTTGTGGCGTTAAGTCTGAAAGCCATTCCTCTGAAAGTAATAAGCCCACCAATAACGAGGCGTCTATTCTTTGGTCTTCCTCTATAAATGCAAACAGCACAAACAGCACTAATAGCTGCGGAAGTACCAGCAGCAGTGTCATGAACAAGGTTGATACAGATAGCGATTGCTTGGAATATGAAATTTTATGGGATGATTTGATAATCGGACAAGAAATCGGACAAGGTAATTTGTTCTCTTAAACATATTTTACTAATTTTATGTGATACTCTATCTCCGTTCTGCTAACATGCTCCTGTAATATTCCATCTTACAGGTTCATGTGGAACTGTCTATCACGGTCTTTGGTTTGGATCAGTACGTTTTTGTCTTCTGGTGATATTGTCGAATATGCATTTGTTAATTTATTCACGCTTGCATGATAAATAGAATAAAATTTGCAGGTTCAGAGATCTGTCGTATTGAGAGTTACTAATGTCATTGCAGGATGTAGCCGTAAAAGTGTTCTCCAAACAAGAATATTCAAAAGAGGTCATGCAATCTTTTAGACAAGAGGTAGCCTTTTAATCTGTCGTCCATAATGATTGCTCTCAGTGTAGTGTTAACTAAAGAAAGTTGACATTTTTTATTGGTCTTTAGTAGAACGACCATTTAAAAAATCTAAAGTTATTTATCTTTTTCTTGTATTACTGTGAAGGTATCGTTGATGAAAAGACTGAGACATCCTAATATTCTACTGTTTATGGGAGCTGTGACTTCACCTCCACGCCTCTGTATAGTATCAGAGTTCCTTCCACGGTTCAGTCTCATCTCTTTTGGTTACTACTTTTGGCCTTTAAGCCATAGCTCTGATCCATGGCCCTAATCGTTTGAATTACCATTTGCAGTGGAAGTCTCTTCCATCTACTACGGAAGAGCAGGTCAAAACTGGATTGGAGGCGGCGTATCCATATGGCCTTGGACATTGTGAGTGTTAGCTATACTTTCGTTAAACATCTGTTTTCCCCTTCTGTGGTCATTGAGAGTTACACGTAGACAATTTCCTAAGTAAGAGCTGCTCTATTAGATTGCTGCTTCTTTGTATTTCTCTCGTGATCCTTCTTTTCCACTCTATATTACTCAAAACCGCACATCTCTTACAGCGTATTACATAATTCCTGACACAGGCTCACGGTATGAATTATCTTCATTCTTGTATTCCACCTATCGTCCATCGTGATCTGAAGTCTGCAAATCTGCTGGTAGACAGAAACTGGACCGTTAAGGTAACATATTCATCTTGAATTACGTCCGATTTCCCGTGATCTAGATGAATAATAACTTTCCGTCTTGAAAGTGGTTCTATAGATTTTAAAACGAAAATGAAGGTTTAGATTAAAAATTTCGCTCTATGTGAATGAACTGGAAAATTGAGACTCCAAATTTTCAAACTTACACGAGAAACATCGTCAACTTACCGGGACATCTCTAACAGGTAGCTGACTTTGGTCTTTCGCGTATCAAACATGAAACATACCTAACCACCAAGTCCGGGAAGGGAACGGTAGTTATCCTAAGACTCTTATCGATTTGAATCCTGATTTATAGTCAACCTCTCACGGTGATCGTGATTGGCTTTTTACCTGTTCTGCAGCCTCAATGGATGGCGCCAGAAGTTCTTCGAAATGAGTCTGCTGATGAGAAGTATATCCTTTTGTCTGTTTGTTTAACTTTCCCTTGTTTTATTGTTCTTATAGCCTTCAATGCTAACGAGCTCTTCTTATTCATTAATACAGGTCTGATATTTACAGCTTTGGAGTAGTACTCTGGGAGCTTGTCACCGAGAAGATTCCATGGGAAACTCTCAACTCTATGCAGGTATCAATTTTTCATAGATACAACAATGGAAAGAAAGTGTCTCCAATTGACAAGTGGTACTAAAAATCTCAAATCTGTTTATATCCATTAAGCGTGAAAAATAACAAAAATAAGATAGTTTCAGGTTAAAATCCTTCTAATTCCCCGTCAACTCTACAAGTAAATTTTACTAACTAGGAAGGTAAGAACTAAGAACCATAAACCATTATACTTACTGTAATGTGTTTAGATACAAATGAAATGTGTTTACAATTTAGCCAATTTTAAAGGGATTGTTTTGCAATATGTCTACGAATTTGATGTCCTTTTTCCATTGCACCACCATTCTGCATGCCGATTTTCCTCATTTTCAGTCTCACTGCATTTCCTCCTCTTGCATATTATATAAAAACAGTCACACATACACGAATGAAAGATGAAAGATACTGCAGGTGATCGGAGCTGTTGGGTTCATGAACCAGAGGTTGGAAATTCCGAAGGACATTGATCCATGTTGGATCTCATTAATGGAGAGCTGCTGGCACAGGTAAATTAACATAATCCTTGTTAATGTAATCTTTAATTATATGTATGGTTGTTTTTGATTTAGATGCTCTATATATTTCACAGCTAATGCTGACATTAATCTGTGTATCTATTTTGGTCTGTCCCATGCTGCAGCGATACAAAGCTGAGACCCACATTCCAAGAACTGATGGGGACACTAAGAGACCTGCTAAGAAAGTATTCAGTCCAGTTCCAAGGGACTCGTGCTGGGTTACTTGACAACCCTCTCCTCGAGGACAACTAAACAAAAACAAAAGCTGACACTTTTCTCTTATGCCTTTTTGTTCCTCAACGCACCGCTTCAAGATGTTCATAAAAGCAAAGAGAGATAGTGAATTGGTCTAGTTTGAGCAGCAACAATGGGTGGGACCATGCTGGTCTGGTGTGCCAATATCTTCCGTCAATGAACAAGGTTATGGCGTCGGCTTTGTGATTATCTCCTGTGGTTCAAACGCAGTCTTCCCCGGTACTGTACCAAATTTACTGAGGTTGAATACTGTTAGCTAGTGCGACCGACTCTGCTTTCTGACATCTTGAGCAGCAGAAACAGAACTTTCTCTTATGGGACTTTTTTTTTCTTACATCTTATTGGGGTTTTGTAGGATGATGAGCAGAGACAAAAGAATAGAGCTGCTTCAGAAATTCGCACGGTCTAACTTCCCTTCGGTGAAGTACATGGAATACGCAGTCCAAGTAGAGACATACACTCTCTAAAGCCAACAACCTCGTACTCAACGTCGACGGAGCCATCGGATCTCTCTTCTTGGACCTTCTCGCTGGAAGTGGAATGTTTCAGAATAATAAACGCAGAATAATATTCAGGTTCTGGAGGAATGCGTGTGGCTGTTGAAGGACCTGAGTCTCCTTTATTTGCTCTGGAAGTATGTGGGAAACCGATCTTCTTTTTGTGGTTATGCTTGGGGCATTTTTGGGTTTCTGTGGTGATGATCCTTTTATAGCTTTGCAACAGATAGACGCAGAGAAGGCTAGGGAAGAGTTTTGTAGTGGGATGAAAGATTTAAAATTAGAGGTGTCCCTGACTGGTTTGACATTGATGGAGGCTCCGCTGGTTGGTATGGAGATCAGAGGTTGGAATTGTCCTTGGATGAACCAACCCTCTGATGCAGTCAGAGACTTTAATGGGTTTGGTCTTCCGGTAAAACTGGAGAAAATTGACGAGTTTATCCACTCACTATTTTTGAGTCTTAGAGGAAGAACATAGAAAGACAATTTTTAGGATCTTTGATATTTGGTACTCCTTATAAAAATGTTCACTTTTAACTTTGGTGCTTAAAACAAAAAAAATATTGCAATTCTTCCTCTCTATTATCAACACTCATATATGCAAATACTGATTCTCGCTAACAACTCTCGTCTTAAGAATTAATCAATTGTCGTTTTTAATTACCAATAATTGTGAATACCAAATCATATAATAACTTATAGGATTAATAGGATTAATGTAAAAAAACAGATACAATACCAAAACAAGTCAATGCAAGTGTATCCCAAGATCCTCCGCGTTATGTTTCTCCACCACAGCAGTGAGACTGCAAGAGGTGGGCAGCAGTAAAAGAAGCGTGTTTTGATTGTCCGTGAGATAGCAGATCACGCCCACCATTGCTACACAATGTTAAGAAATTTCGTTAGCTAAAATCGATCATTTTAAAACATAAAATAAAGAATTGGATAGGTACTAATCTCACTAAATTGTATTATCATAAAGAGATAATTACTTAGAAATTAAAATTTTCAAAATAAATTGCTCAAACGAATCATAGAATGAAAAAAGAAAACCCTTTCAAAATATATGAACTATGCAAATATTAGATCAATATCAATTCAAAAGGGTTAGGCACGTCAAATTCCCCACCAAAAAAAACGAAAACACAAAACTTTAAATTAACAGCATATGCACATAGATATGTGAAGAAAAAAAACCAAACAACTAATAAGTATAATTGTTACAAAGAATAAAGGATCTATGCAAATATCAAATCAATATAAATGTATTCAAATGGATCAGTAACATCATATCCCAGAACACCAAAGTTACATCAGTTGCCATTAACTAACAATCATATCAACAGTTGATTATTATGTAGAAAAATGAACTCGAACTCACCTCAAGCTTTTGGAAAAAAAAAGTTTATGAAATCTCAATATATACAAGCTTTAGGAGAGAAAGAGTCAACCTCATGATCATCGTCCCTTGTGTCCATGTGTTCTGGTTTATACCCCAATTTCACCTTCCCTTCTTCCCAATACCTTCAACATATGTATAACAAAAATCACGACCCGTAACTAAACAAAGTCATTTCATTATATAGTAATGCATTTTGACAAAAAAACCAAAAATAGAAATTACATGTATTGATTCATGATTTATAATAAATTGTGAAATATGCGTATACTCCATCAATGGTTTGAGTTAGTATTGATCTATTGTTGCCAAAAGGCTCTAAAGAGATTTAAGAAATAAGTTATGTTACCCCAATGTATGAGTTAGTATTGATCTATTGCTGTCAAAATTAGAGAATGGGAAGTCTCTAATTTTCCTGATGGGGACTAAGAATCTCCATCGCAAGGATCAGAAGATTAGATAGAAAGCAAATATAGCATCTTCTAAAGAACCCATATTTGAAGCAATTCGCGGAAGAATCCAATGAAGCACGTTGCCGATATAAAAGAAGGAAAGACTGGAAAATGCTGGAGTTTCGAAGACAATTTAGTATCTGAAGTATCACGTATTATTATTAACTATCACGTATCAATAGTTCTTAAATCTAAACCAATAAAATAGCCACCCAAATCCAAATAAAGGCCAACAACAACAACAATTTATGTATGTTGGAGAAATCCTTGTCTACTCCGGAAATTGGGTGTTGAAGTTTTTATGTAAGTTTTTGAATTACTAAAGAAACCAAAAACTTGAATTGGTATCATCCAAATACTGGACGAAACTAATGCCACCTTGGCAAGTAAGCATTTATTAATGAAGAGGATATGATATCATCAGCAAGAAAAGTTGAAAGATAGAAACATGATCTTTAAGTTAAAAGTGTGAGAGTTAGTTACTGATATTTCGGCCGACACTGATATTTTGGCCGACATACATTAGATATCAGCGATTGCGATTCTGGAGTTGAACCAGCGGGGCAGCGAGAAGAAATTTATTTTATTTTCAATCTTGCTATTTTGTTCTAAAGCTTTCAATGATTCTTTTAATAATTTTGTAGCCTTTTTTTTTTAAGCTTCACAAAAATAAAATGTTCTAAACATGTTCGGTTTACGTTACTAATGCTAATGACGGATGATATTACACGATAGATACCAAAGCATTATCCAGTATTTTATATTTACGGTTAAGAAAAATATATATAATTTGTATATTGTTAATGTCTCGTATACGTAAATATGGCACTATTGCCGTTTACTTTTTTTTTTTTTTTTTTTTTTTTTTTTCCAGTTGTTAGGGCATTGTGCGAAAGTGAAAGGGGATCGTGAAGATAAGAATATTGGTGAGGAGACGGCAGAATAGGATTGGGAAACGGAAGCGAAAGATGAACACGGCGAAAAAGATGCCCAAATCCAGGTAATCTCAAAGAAATATTAATGTAAAAAATCTAGCTTAGGGTTTGGTTTCGTTATTGTTTTACTTCTCAGGTTAGAATCTGAACTAGTTCTCTGTTGTAAGCTACTGTTGGGTTTGGATCCTAGAAAGAATCTGAATATGGTCTCCTCTTTTAAGCCTGAATTATTTGTTCTTGTACAGATCTCCTCTCTAAGTGCCTGACTTATCTGTTCTTCTACAGATCTCCTCTTTACGCCTGAATTATTTGTGCCTGACTTTTTTGTTCTTGTACAGACCATCTGAACAAAGGCGCAATGATAAACAAGTCATCGAAGAATTGGTATGTACACATACATGCATTCTTTTCTTTTCAACCATGTTAAACATGAGAAAGAAGAAAAACTTTGTTTTTATTCTTACAACCTTGTGTGTGTGTGTGTGTGTGTTCTTGCAGCAGGAAGAAATCACGTTGTTACATATTTACGAGTACGACTCCTTGAAGCCAATTTTTTCTTCTTCTACAAATCTCTTCTTTACGCCTGAATTACTTGTTCTTGTAAAGATCTCCTCTAAAAGCCTGACTTATTTGTTCTTGTACAGATCATCTAAACAACAACAACAAATGCTCAAAGATGTACAAGTCATCGAAGAATTGGTATGTACACATGCACTCTTTTCTTTTCAACCATCTTAAACTTGAGAAAGAAAAAAAACTTTGTTTTTATTCTTACAACCTTGTGTGTGTGTGTGTGTTCTTGCAGCAGGAAGAAATCACGATGTTACAGATTTACAACGAGTACGACTCCTTCCTGAAGCCAAAATTTTCTTCTCTTTTCCCATTTTGGTTCTTTCTTGAACTTATTGAAACCATTATTCTAGGAAATTGAATGGTGACGACGATTACTGCGGTGTGAGCTACACCGAGCTGTTGGAACTTGAAAGTTTGTTACGGCAGGGGTTCTGCAGTGTGGAGGAGCAACGAGTAAAGGTATTTGATTATTTGATTATATTATCTTGAATTCTTAAAACAATTAATTTGTTTAATAGCCCTGTGTGTGTGTGTGTTTCAGGCACTAGACGAATTAAGAGTCGCGCAGGTAAAAGATGCGATGATAAATTATTACATAAGTTGATAGTTCAACCCTCTTTGTATATATCGATTTTGATCTCTTAGATACTCGTTTGTTCCGCAATTAAGGCAACAGAGTGCGACCTTATGGGGAACGAATGGGTTAGCAAAACCGAGGAGGAGGATTTCGGATATCATTGGGCTCTGGGAAAGAGAAGAAGAGCTTTGAGGCTCAAGGCTAGAGAACTCCGGCTCAGGTAAAACGTTGCTGCTATGATCATCATTCTCGAATCATCATCCTCTTTGTTGTAGTAACCTGACTGAAATCATCACCTTGTGTGGGTATTGTGATGGATGCAGCGCTGGCCCACAGGAGCATAGCCGTGACCCTGACATTCGGGTGCGTATGTGTATATATTCACCCCACTAGTCCTGTCTATGTTCTTGCCTCACATTGCCTGTCATTGCAGAAGGAAGTCATTGATTCTTTGAAGAGCGAGAAGGAGAGACTGCGGCTTTGGAACCAGTATGTGAACCACTTTCTGTCTTTTCATTGTGTCTGTCTGTCTTTTCATATATTTTGGGGGGGATTTCTTTTATATATGCTCTCATTATAGGAGAATGACTGGTAAAGAGATCGACGGTATGGGTTGCCACGAGCTGCGGGTATTTTCACTTGATATACAGCGTGGTTTGGCCAACGTGCGGGACAAGATTCAAAGGAACGAGAATTATGTCATACAAGTGACAAAGCATGCCAACGGGGTATATATTTTTATCAACGTACGTGTGCATGATATTGTAAAACTCTCTTCTTCTTCTTCTCTGACATTTTTCTTCTGTCACCAAGGAAACATCATTCTGTCACCCATTACCACCGTGGCCAACCTTGGACTCGTGTTACTAGGTAGCAGCCATCGCTTCTCTTTTATTGTTACACGCTTTTTAGCCTTTTCCACAGAATCCTTTTATATACAATTAGGTCTATCAATCTTGACAGGTTCTTGGAAGGGGAAGAGCATGTTAAGAGATCATCGAATCCGTTTTACAAGAGAGAGTCTTGTTGTGACTATCTACTTGTTGTGATTTTCATGGGTTGTTCTCGCTTAAATCAAGTATGCTCTACTATGTTTAAAGTTAACTCTCTCATTGCCAAAACATATATATGCATGATACTTTAAAAATATTGCATACGATAATAGCAATTTGATGTTATGTTGATAATATCTGGGTCAGATTTGTAATAAAAAGTATAAACAAGGCGGGGATGAAAGATAGAGAACAAACTATTTATCTTTTTTTTTAAAACCTAATTTTTGAATTACTAAAGAAACCAAAAACTTGAATTGGTGTCATCCAAATACTGAACGAAACTAATGCCACCTTGGCAAGTAAGCATTTATTAATAAAGAAGATATGATATCATCAGCAAGAAAAGTTGAAAGATAGAAACATGATCTTTAAGTTAAAAATGTGAGAGTTAGTTACTGATATTTTGGCCGACATACATTAGATATTAGCGACTGCGATTCTGGAGTTGAAGCGGCGGGGCAGCGAGAAGAAATTTATTTTATTTTCAATCTTTGCTATTTTGTTCTAAAGCTTTCAATGATTCTTTTAATAATTTTGTAGCCTTTATTTATTTATTTTAAGCTTCAAAAAAATAAAATGTTCTAAACATGTTGGGTTTACTGTTACTAATGATAATGACGGATGATGATACACGATAGATACCAAAGCATTATCCAGTATTTTATATTTACGGTTAACAAAAATATATATAATTTGTATATTGTTAATGTCTCGTCGTCGTTGTCTCCAGACCATGGTGGGTATCCACATGTATACGTAAATATGGCACTATGTATAAATTACATTCATGCAAGGTATGTTATTCTACGGAATATTAGGTAACATATAAATACAATATAGATCGTTCCTCTGCTTGTGGATCATAAGTTGTGAGTCTTGTACATACTGCGTCTTTCTTACGTATTTATGATATTTTTAGTGATTGTATTTTTGTTTTTGTCTGTCTAACCAACAAATTGTCGAGTACCTAAATAAATTAGAACTGGCCAACTTCCTCTTTTCTCTCTACGTGATCAGAATTTCAGGTCAAACGTTTGTATTAAAATAATAATATACCTTTTTACATTCTGATAAGTTTCTCCGATCATGGTTTTGACTGGTTATATTAACAATTTTTTACCGTTAAACATTGGTTACTCTTCCCATTTTTGCGATATAATTGATAGTTCCCACATCAATGTCTTTTTATGATATATACCACTACGAAATATTAATTTTTTGCGTCCAAGTTATCTTCGATTTTTACAAATTCTGTAGATAATTTTATCACAATTTTGACTCGATTACAGTTATTGTTGAACACTTTATTCTCTCTAGCTCATCAAATTTACATAATATTTTTTTGCCAGGCCAGTTACTTTATATGATTGTAATATCGTATAGTATTTTTTTGTAACTGGGTATATAATATCGTATAGTATTTACATAGTTACTGTAGTAGATGATGGGGGAGTGACAAAATAGGACACAATAACTCTTGATTACTAAAACATAAGGATATCCGTAAAGATGGGAACAAATCAACCTGTGTCCAGCCCTTTTGTTCATTCTTATTTTTTCCTTTTTAGATAGTTTAGAACAAAGATCTCACTAATCAGAAAACAGTACTTATATGGAACAATGAAAAGAAAATTACTTAGTTTGAAATGAATCAACATTTCTAGGCATTTACAACCTAATCCAGCATCTTTTAATTTTTCTTCCAGATTGTGTAAACCAGAATCTATCCAAATTAAACACAATGAACAACAAGAAAAATTTCTGCTTTGTGTGTTAAAAAAAAAGACTGACTACATATATAAACCGCCTTAAAAAAAAATCAAACAAAGAGAAGAAAATAAGTAAAAGTAGTAAATACACATTAAACAAAATGAAGAAAACACAGACCAGCAGAAAAGCGAATCAAAAGAAGCAAAGATAAGCGATGAAAGTTTCCATTATTGTTGACTGCTTGGGACCATAGAACCTTTCCTGCATCAATTCTTCAATTCCATTTTTTTTTTCTTTTCTAGAGAGAGAGAGAGAGAAACTTTTGGTAGCTTTTCCTTAGGGAGCGAGAGATAGTCAATCTATGCTCTCCTCCATAGTCAAATCGTTCCCTATTTCAATTCTTCATTTGAGAACAATTTTCACCATGCTTTAACAGCTTCTTCGAGGCTCCTCCGATTCAACTCGAACGATCCCCGATTCAACTCGTTTAGCTTCAGATTTGATCTCCGTTTTCGGTTTTTTTTTTTCTCGAGCGTAATGGAGACTCCACCTGCGGAACAGCTGCTGAAGAAGATACTAGAGCTAGAGGAAAGTCAGGAGCATCTGAAGCAGGAGATGTCGAGGCTCAAAGTATCAACCGATATTAGGCAGCGATCGCATTCGGTGTCGCCGCATCGTCCGGCGAGGAGGAACATCGGCGAGGGAGCTCCTGCTTGGAGGAAGAGCGGCGCCGCCTCGTTTCGTCACGCCTCGCCGTTGCGGAAGGAGAGCCGTATCCAGGGTTCGATGAATTTGAGAGCTGGGGGATGTGGCGGGGGACCATCGGCCGGGAAGTTCACGGATAATCAGTATTTGAATATTTTGCAGTCGATGGCACAAGCTGTTCATGCCTTCGATCTAAATATGCGAATTATCTTTTGGTGAGCAGTTCGATCTGGTGAATGTAGGTTTATGCCTGGATTTTTTTTGAAAATAGCGAATGTTTAGTCAGATGATAGATTCTGGATTTGATTCCTGTAAATTCCGGAACCCTCGCTCGTAGATGTGAATTTATGGATAAACGGTTTTGCATTGTTCATCTTTAGTATTTCTTGTAATCTTCAGATTTTCTATTCGATGTCATGATTGTTTCAGGAATGCCATGGCGGAAAAGCTGTATGGGTACACTGCTGCAGAAGCACTTGGGGAGAACCCAATTAATGTTATTGCGGAGGATCGGGATGCTGCATTTGCGATGAATATTGCTCGACGTTGTGTCCGCGGAGAGAGCTGGACCGGCGAGTTTCCTGTCAAGAGCAAATCAGGGGAGAGATTTTCAGCTGTGACTACGTGCTCCCCATTCTATGACGATGACGGTACCCTCGTCGGGATCATTTGTATCACAAGTAACACGGCGCCGTATCTGAACCCGAGAATCAGTTTGGCTAAATTAAAGGGGCAAGAAGGTGAAGCGAGCTCTATCCCTGCAAGGAATAGTTTTGCCTCTAAACTCGGTTTGGACTCCAAAGGAGCGGTTATATCGAAACTTGGCCTTGACTCTGATCAGCCTATACAAACTGCTATAGCCTCAAGGATATCAGATTTGGTTAGTTCAATTGTAGGTGTTGCATATTCTCACTTTTTTATTATTTTGATGTTGCATATTTTGACTAGTGGTAAATTTGTAGGCATCCAAGGTGAGCAACAAGGTCAGGTCGAAAATGCGAGCAGGTGATAGTAGCGCCATACTCTCTGAGGGTGGCAGTGGGGATAGTCATCATTCAGATCATAATGTCTTCGGTGCTCCTCACTCTGACCACAGGGACGATGCAGCATCCAGTGGTGCCAGCACACCAAGAGGTGATTTTATCCAATCTCCTTTTGGTGTATTCACATGTAACGATGAAAAGATTCCTTCGAAACCCTTCAGAGATTCCAGTGATGAGGGTGATGGAAAGCCTGCAATCCATAAGGTTCTCACCTCAAAAGCTGAAGAATGGATGGTAAAGAAAGGTTTGTCATGGCCATGGAAAGGGAATGAGCAGGAAGGTTCAAAAGGAAAGCCTACTCATTCTGTATGGCCTTGGGTACAGAATGAACAAGAGAAAGATAAGTCTCACCAGATTACTCCCTCTTCTGGTGTTAAGTCTGAAAGCCATGATGTTGAAGGTAATAAGCCCACCAATAACGAGGCTTCTAGTATGTGGTCTTCCTCTATAAATGCGAACAGCACAAGTAGCGCTAGTAGCTGCGGAAGTACCAGCAGCAGTGTTATGAACAAGATTGATACTGATAGCGATGGCTTGGAATATGAAATTTTGTGGGATGATTTGACAATTGGAGAACAAGTAGGACAAGGTAATTTATTCTCATAAACTGTTTATCTCGTTTGCCAGACAGATACATTCTTTATAACTTCAGTAAATTATGTGATACTCTGTCTCCGTTCTGCTAACATGCAGTCATTTTATATTTTACAGGTTCATGCGGAACTGTCTATCACGGTCTCTGGTTTGGATCTGTACGTTTTTTGCTTTTGGTGATATTGTCGAATGTGCACTTGTTGATTTATTATACATTCCACGATTAATATTAAAAGAATTGCAAGTTCAAGGATCTGTCTAATTGAGAGCTGGTATTTGTCACCGCAGGATGTAGCTGTAAAAGTGTTCTCCAAACAAGAATATTCAGAAGAGGTTATACAATCTTTTAGACAAGAGGTATTTTTGATCCCTTCTCCATATTAGTGATGCTCTCAGGATATTTTTTTTTTGCAAAAGACAAACATGACATTTTTATTGGTTTTTAGTTGAACAAACATATAGGTGCTGTCTTGCATTTAATAGTAGTCAGATTGATTCTTCAACCACAATCATTTGCATTTCACTGAAGAATTTATCATTTCTGAAAACAGCTAATTCCAAATTCTTTATTATTTATGTTGGTCTTGTTTTATTGTGAAGGTATTGTTGATGAAAAGACTTAGACATCCTAACGTCCTGCTGTTTATGGGAGCTGTGACTTCACCACCACGCCTCTGTATAGTGTCAGAGTTCCTTCCACGGTTCGGTCTCATATCTCTCTTTCTTTTGGCTTTTCGGCCTTCAAGCCATAGCTCTGATCCATGCCCTTAATCATTAGAGTTACTATTTTCAGTGGGAGTCTATTCCGTCTACTACAGAGGAGCACGTCAAAACTGGATTGGAGGCGGCGTATCCATATGGCATTGGACATTGTGAGTATTAGTTATTCTTTCTTTTAAACACATGTTTTCCATTTTTATGATCACTGAAAATCGCTCGTAGACTATTTTCTAAATACGAGCTGCTTTATTTGATTGCGTCTTTGTATTTGTCTGGGGATCCTTCTTTTCCATTCTATATTACTTATTCACCATATATCTCATACAGCATATTACATAATATTTCACACAGGCTCGCGGTATGAATTATCTTCATCATTGTAGTCCACCCATCATCCATCGTGATCTGAAGTCGTCAAATCTGCTAGTAGACAGGAACTGGACTGTTAAGGTAAAACAAAGCTTTAGATAAAGATTATTGTTCTATGTGAATGAACTGGAAAAGTGGGACATATATCTCTAAAATGGAACTAGAAACATCGTCAACTTACAGTGACATCTCTAACAGGTAGCTGATTTTGGTCTTTCGCGTATCAAACATGAAACATACCTAACCACCAAGTCCGGGAAGGGAACGGTAGTTATCCTAAGACTCTTATCGATTTGAATCCTGATTTATAGTCAACCTCTCACGGTGATCGTGATTGGCTTTTTACCTGTTCTGCAGCCTCAATGGATGGCGCCAGAAGTTCTTCGAAATGAGTCTGCTGATGAGAAGTATATCCTTGTGTCTGTTTGTTTAACTTTCCCTTGTTTTATTGTTCTTATAGCCTTCAATGCTAACGAGCTCTTCTTATTCATTAATACAGGTCTGATATTTACAGCTTTGGAGTAGTACTCTGGGAGCTTGCCACCGAGAAGATTCCATGGGAAACTCTCAACTCTATGCAGGTAACATTTTTTCGTAGATAGAACCATGGAAAGAAAGTGTCTCCAATTGACAAGTGGTAAATCTCAAATTTGGGAAATGGTCTGTTCTATCAAATTTGGGCAATGTTCTGTTCTATCAAATTTGGGCAATGTTCTGTTCTATCAATTAAGCTAAAAAGGTAACAAGAATCTCTATGCCAAAAGATTAGTTTCAGGGTAAACCTTTGTTAAAACACATCTAATTCCCATCATTCCTACAAATGAAAGTGTACTAATATTTAGGAAGGTAATAAGAACCATAAAAACCATTTTATTTACTGTAATGTGTGTAGATACAAATGAAATGTGTTATTACAGACCTCAGATTTTGATTATTTACAAGAAAATAAGAAAATCATCGACCTTTTATGTATGATTTCCAATTTTTTCATAGATACAACATTGGAAAGAAAGTGTCTCCAATTGACAAGTGGTCCTAGAAATTTCAAATTTGGGAAATTCATTCCTATAAACTACATGTTATGTTATATCCATTAAGCTTAAAAAAGAACAAAAATACGATTAGTTTCAGTTTTAACCTTTGTTAAAATCCATCTTATTCCCGTTAACTCGACAAATAAATTGTACAAATTAGGAAGGTAAGAACCATAAAACCATTATACTTAGTGAAATGTGTTATTATTATATACAACCTAGCCATTTTTATAAGCGATATTTTTACAACATCTCTGCGAACTTAATGTCCTGTTTCCATTGCCCCACCATTCTGCTTGCCGAAAATATTCAGTTTCAGTCTCACTGCACTTTATCTTGTATATATGTGCAGGTGATCGGAGCTGTGGGGTTCATGAACCAGAGGCTGGAAATTCCAAAAGACATTGATCCTCTTTGGATCGCATTAATGGAGAGCTGTTGGCACAGGTAAATATTGAACACCGCATAATTCGTGCTAGAAGAATTGAACCTCTCTGGTTATTACTAAATTCACAGCTAAATGCCTGACATTGATCTGTGTTTCTATTTTGGTTTGTCAAACATTGCAGCGATACAAAGCTGAGACCCACATTCCAAGAACTGATGGAGAAACTAAGAGACCTGCAAAGAAAGTACACAATACAGTTCCAAGCTACTCGTGCTGCTTTACTTGACAACTCTCTCCTCAGGGACAATTAAACAAACAAAAAATTGTTCCTGAAGGCGCGCCGCTTTAAGACTCAAAGACGTTCATGAAAACAAAGGAAGATAGAATATTGGTCTGTTTCTGAGCAGTATCAGTGGATGGGTGTGATGACAACGTGGAGGAAACTGATGAGCAGAGACAGCCACTGGAATTCTGGGACTGGTCTAAAAGCAGCAAGTGATATGTGATGTGCTTTGGTCATTACAGCATTTGCCAAAAGAAACGTATGGCTCAGATTGGTTAGTGTAATTATGGTGGTTGGTTTTTGATATCTTTCTATCGTGGAGGCTTAAAGCAACTGCGTGAAAGGGATTTGATGTGAAATTTGATTGCAAACATGTCACGTGCTTGAATATGTATTCCTTGGGTAGGTGTGGAAGACAGTATGCTAGCATATATATCATTTTTGTATGCAAATCATTATAAAATATGTAGAACCATTTGATGGTTTGTAGTTTGTACAGGGAGGAAACAAAGGGGGCGAGTTGGAACACTAATTATGAGTGAATATCTCGACATCATTTGAGAATTTTTTTCTTGTTCTTTTGGAACATACATACATTTATTGGAGGGATTTATGCTTTTTTCTAGCAATTATCAGAAACAACGATTAATTTCAATGCCTTTGTTATGCTTTGCCAAATTTCCGATAATATCCCATATTTTATTACAAGTTCCAAGACGAGGCGAATAAGGAACAGAGAAATGTTGACCAATTAAAGAGAGAACAATATTCTTTTCTCCTGATAATAAGATTGAAACTTCAGATGGAAACATAACGACCACCCCAAAATTGATTGTATCTATATTCAGGGCTTTTCAAAGAGATTGAATCAGCAATGCAAGTTGATCCTGAGACAGTTTCAACTCAATTGGATATTTGGATAATAACTCTCAACCTCACACACAGACAAAAACTGGAAGTACAAGCCCGTCTTGGTTCATCATAGAGGATATCGCGAAAGCAATTCCCTAGTTGCAGCAACCGCATCGCCTTTGTTCTCCCTTAGTGTTCTCTCCACCACATTCTTCTCCAGCTGCTCGTTTACAAGGATCACAAGCTTCAGAACTTTTGCACGCAGCCTTATGAATGAAGAGTCTTTCATGCACTGAAGCTTGCGATGTATAACATAAAAAAAAAACTAACCTCGAGTTCGTTTACAATAATCTCAACATCTGCAGCATTGATCTTAACAGAAGCTAGTTCCTTCTCCCTGCACAAAGTTCCAGCAACTCGTCAAAACAAATACCACATAGAAGATGAATATGAGAGAATTCTCGTCCTTTCATGAGAAACTGAACCGTAAATCACATGGAATCACATAATACTATTAACTGCCACTATATTCATTCTAGCATCCTCATTGTATTTTCTATTGAAAACTCTGTTACAGCACAATATATATCTGACATCAATACAATCTAAATGTGAGTCATGTCAAGAATCACTGATATTCACACTCTCTACTTAATAGATAGTGTACCAAGCAGGGAAAGTTTTTTCACTGAGTACGGAGAGTATGAGCAACAGATTCAAAATTCAAATACAAATGTAATGCAGTATTCAAGATAATCCTGAATTAGCATTGGAAGTAAACGGGGTTTTAACTTATGTTCGAGCTTCCTTAATAATTGCCAAGAATCTCCTCTTCCAGAATTTATAACACGAAAGAGCTAAGTTTTTTTTACCTCAATCTCTTCGCATTTAGATCAGCCTCTCTAGAAGCAGCAATAGAAGCCATGGCCTGAAACACGATATTGACCTTGTAAGCCAAACAATTTACTAACTGAGCTAGAAAAACTATGATTTCCTAATTTCCAAATTCAAAATTACTAATCGATCAAATGAACAGTCTATGTAGAAGACAATAGAGCAACAAACCGATTGAACACGAGAAGAATCGAGCTGGCGATCCTCGACGCGATCGGTAAGCTTGTCGAAAGCTTTGCTTTGCTGCTGTAAGTCCTTTGAATCAACCGCTATCTCCGCCCCAGCTTCTTCTGCTCCCTCCATTGCTTCTAACGCTTCTCTCCTCTCTTTCTCCCTCTTGAGTATCGGTGAATGAAGTCTCCGGCTACAGAAATCTTTAGGATCGAAAGTGTTTCGAGCTTCAACGTTAGAAACCCTAAAGGCTAAAGTTATCGGGTTGTCAACCGAAACTCTCCCAATTGCTGTGTTTTTGAACCACACCTAACCGGCTAAACAATACCAAAACCGATACAATTTCACTATTAAGCCGTTTTATTTGGGGTCCCTTTTATTTGTTGTCTCTACTTCAATTCGACTTCTCTTACTTTTCCTTAAAATCAAATTCAAACCGAGCCCCCACACCAAATTGCAACAATTCTGATCCGGTTGATAATTCCCTTCGAAGTCTCAACCGAACCAAGCAAACGAAAACCAAAATCGAACGGTTTAGTTGGTCGATCTTCTGGTAAACGAAACGATATAGATTGGGCTGGGCTGGGCCTTAATAAATAATAATTGGCTCTTAGCCCATAGATATAGCGTATGACAAATATATCTTTCCTCCAATATCTACTACAGTTGCGAAAAACTCACAAGTCCCAAATTTGAAAACGCTGGAGGGATGAAGGAAATTCAAATTCCCAGGAAAAACTTTGCGCGGTCATCTGATCCAGGAACGAAGAGAATCAAGGATTCTGAGCTGAAGATTCGAAAGGTAATTTGATCTTATTGCCTCTGTTTCATCTTCCTCCGCCGTATTGCTGATATTCTAATCACATTTCCTTCTCTCGACTGAAGTGTGCGGAGAAGAGACAGAGCGCAACCTTTTCCGACTTATCAGTGGAAAGCACGAAGGATCCAATGGATTTTACTCCGATCTCTCAGATTTCTGGCGCGGTCTCTGATTCCGAAGCCGAGGTATGCTTCTCTCGCGTTTTAACTGAGTTTCATTTCCATCGAAGTTTTCTCTTATGTTGTTGCTTTGCAAACTTCCAGATTCGTTTATATCAGATCTTAATTTTTAGCAATTGAGTCGATTTGATATGTGATTGATAACGGATAAGAAAAATTCGAGCTCAATCGCAGCCATTCTGTATTTTGATACTGTCTCATGATTCAAATTATGTTGTTCGCCTCAGAGTTTTGTGCTGGAATCGAAGCTAGACCTGTTATCAACGCCAGATATTTCTCTCTCGACTGACGAATCTCCAGTTTCAACCATTACTAATAAGGATTTTCACATCGACGCTTCTTCTACCGATCGGATCCAGTCAATTGCGGACTTGCCTGCTTCTGTGCAGTCCTTGCACGCGGAGATCAATGAGCTGAAGAAATTGATCTGTTCAGTCGAGGATTCTGATGATAGTAACTGGATCGATGGAGTTGTCACTGGGAAATTCCGCATTGTGCTCTTGACTTTCATTCTTTGGGCTATCTTAGCTGCGATGGTGGTCTTCGTCAGGTCAGGAGAGGAAGTTGCTTACTATGGACCACTTCCAACTTGAAGGAGTCACAAATCATTGTCCATTGATTATATGAATCGTAAGGTAACTCACTTTGGATTTCTTACCTTTTGTTACATTTGGTACTGGTTTCCTTTTCTGAAGCTCATAATAACAATAATGCCGATGTTGCATAGGATTGAGGTTGCATACTGATTTGCTTATAGCACAGCTCGTGTATCCTGCTTTTTATATTCACCTGTCTTTTCGAATTGCCTTTATGCTTATGAACACAAACTGTTTAATTTGAGTTGGCTACTATAGTATCTCTGCAACTTCATCACTGTTAACATATTTCAATCAAATAGCTGGATGTTTCTACCAAAGGAAAGAACAGTTCTGGATTTTATCATTTCATGTCTAGAGTTCACAGTTCTCCTTGAATAACTGAAACACATCCCCTTGCAAAAGTAGTTAGATATCTCAGTGACGTCTTATGTGGTAGAGTTTCAAACACCCTAGGCCATATGATAGGAAGTTAAAACTGTAGCACATGCTAGACCCAAACCAAGTAGTCATAGAAGGTACATTGTCAGGTTGAGAGTGAGTCTGCAAGTTGGCCGATTAAACTGCTTTTTAGTCGCATTCCTAAGCAATAAATGATCCCTTGCACTTTATTGGCACAGCTGATTTGACATTTGATCTTATAGTCTAAATGCAAACTCTTCTCTGCAGAAATGTTCCAATACATAGGGTTCTATGGCATTTAAGTCTCTAGGTCCCAATCTACTTTGATGTGTTCCATTCTTAGCTCTGTTTAATACAATGCAATGCAACCCCACCTAGTTGCTTTGTTTCATGTATTTAGCATGCTTGTTTTCTTGTGCTTCTCGGATTTATAGGGTTTAGATCTTACCAAGACATGTGCTATCCTTCGTTTCCATTCTTATGCAAGCTTTTCCTTGCTTTTAAGTATAATAAATCAGACAAATCCTATGGAAACTCCAGCCTGTGAAGCTTATAGGGTAATTACTTGATTTGGTCTTTTGATAATATAAGGATAAACTTTTGGAGGTGTTAGGTTAGGTTTCTTCTCCACTATTGATAATGGATGGTGATGCAAAGTATTAGGATTTGGAAACTAGTCCTGTATTTTAAAAGAATAATGAATAATCCAGACTGGGTTTGGTTTTTCTACTGGAGATTATAGTAGTAGGCCACTATACACCAAAAAAGAAAAACTAATATATACCATGTGTTAAAGAAAAGCAGCTCTTGTTGGTTTACTTTTGAAGTAAAGTTTCTGTGTGATTAAAGGAAAGTCCGGCTTAGTCATTTGAATTAGTTTGAACACCAATTATTGGAGATGCATTAGTACTCAACCATATTTTTGTATTGTAAGCAAGGGTCAATGTCATTTTTATTTAATTTCATGCTTCATTTGGTTGAGTAGTGTTTCTTTGTGAGAAACTGAGTCTTGCTTTGAAATTCGAGTTTCCTAATAGGAAATATATTTATTTATTCACATGATCAAAAGCCTGTATTAAACCTATGTAAATTATGGGTTAAAACTCGGCTCTCCGACTCACTAAGTTAAATGAATTTTACCATTGGTTCTTAAGAGCTATGCTTCAAAATAATGATAATGATAGCAACGTTTTCTCAGTGTTGTTGGTAAAATAATGATAGCAACTTAAGAGCTATGCTTCAAAATGCTTATAATTTAGTCTACGTAATCTAACAATAATCATATTTGTGCTATTTAAACAGGATATGGCTCAAAAACTCAACTACTTCAGAAGCGAAGCATGTAAAAGTTGGAAAATATACATATGGAAACAATTCTACAGGTATTTAGTATTTTTACTCTGGATAGTGTGTTTGGTTGATATTAAAGTACCGAAATATATATTACTCATTGATGTTGGCAAATGGCAATTTAGTATCGTTTAGTGGTTACAATAGACCTTTAAAAACAATTATTGAGAATTATCCGTTATCCCATCAATACTTCACTTTTTTTTTCTTCTTCTTCTCCACCCATTGTCGTTCACTCATGTTCTTTGGTGTCTAGAATTAGGGAGGCAGACTATGTGCCACCTTCATCATACTTAATAGTTCATTTTCCCTTTCAATGAACTTTTTTCATTGATATATATAAATTAAAAAAGGGAGAAAAAAACATCTAACATTAGTTATATCCTACATAAAATCATATATTCATATATAACAGAAATCCATATTAAATCTCGAAACATTTTACTTCATCTTGAGAAGTCGTTTTCTTTTTCTTCCAACGTTTATCTAGATTTCTAAAAATCAATTTCCTTTTTATTCCTACGTATTTAGCTCTGCAAGTCTTCCGTATAATGATTATGGTACAATTATTTCCTATAGTAGGATAAGCTATCATCATGATTAGTAGTAGTACTATTTTGTATTTAATATTTTTCTTGTGCATAGAACCTGTATCGTAGATTCATAGGGCTCTCCAGATATCAAATGTACTTATTTATATATTACATCGGGATTGGCGCGACGTTTAATGGTTAGCCTCTTAATCCGTCCAGTGATTTGTCATGTGCAATAGATACTTATACTTTACTATTTCTGATTGAAAATTTGAACTCTAATCCAGAATATGAAAAATATGGAAGAGATTCATTTCACTTAATATGAGATAACTATCTCAGCGAGTATCTTCTGTGATTTTTGTGTGTGTGCAAACAGTAACTTAGTATGTTTTTTTCTTTGTTGAAATAAAACCCATGATAATTATATACGAATCACTAAAAAGAAAAGTGGTTTTTTTTACTCGATTCATCAATGACTATGAGGCAATTCATTAGATTTCTTTTGTTCCTTGTCGAAAAATAAAATTAAATGCAGAATTTGTCTGGACTCTAGAGTATTGTGAAAATTGAAGTATCTAAAACGAAAATATATTCTAAATTCGAAATAGATAAAACTGTTTTATAGTAAGTGTCCCTTTAGTGGATAACTGAATATATAATATGTTGCTTTAATTTTCGTACTAATTTGTCATGTGCAATCATTGTAACTTATAACTTTCTAGAGTACAAAGAATAATATGCCACAGTACTTCTACAAAAATTAAACATTAAGTCATAAGAAAGTATGAACTCCGCTTTTAACATCATTTCCACCCTCATATCATACACCAAAAATTTCTTAATACAGTAATTTTATGCTATTGCCGTACTTTCATGTCTACTGGAAACCAAGTTTTTTTATACACAACTATGTTATTTTCTTCATGTTAATTACAAATCAAATTAAAATGAACAAACTATAAAACAAAAGGAATAAATTTAGTTTAGTTTGGTATATTATATAAATAAAATAGAAAATTCTTAAAAGGATAAATTAATCAAAATTAGAATTGACATCTTTAGCTGTAATTTAAATAAATGGAGAAGTTCATAGGCTCTCGTTTATGCAGGATATGTGGACCAAATGCCACTCTCATAAACCCACCCAACAAACTCGTGAATGTAGTACTTATGTATTATTTCATTATATACACAATTCTAAGAACATTTATTTATACATGTTTTTATATAACATAAAACGAGTTGATTCCAATGATCTTTACCAAAAAAAAAAAAAGAAGGAAAAAGCCTTAAAGAAAGGCAGTGCCACTAACCCTACATGGCACATGCATTTCGTTTTGGTATTTTTACTTTTGGTATAAAGTACTCATTTAAATACGATTTTAATATTTACGAAATCATTGCACTGAATACAAAATCCAAAGTTCGAGTTTTTGGCCCCTCTCTTTTGCCTTGTCAGTCCACTAAACGACCACTAAATGTCACAAATAGATTTCTCCAATAGTTGTATTACACGTCATCATCCCATTTGAATCTACCTTCCTCCTCCGTGACACCAAAGAATCGGCCTTTATGATGTTTTTCTTTGTTCCTTGTAAATCATCTTTGGATATAAATATAAAGCTCATTTAACTCCTGTCACTACAATGTACAAACTATTATGATTAAACCCTAAGCATAATGGGAAACTATCTTTACTAGTAGTAATTTCTACAGCTACATACATCTTATCTACTAAGCATTTACGACCTCTTTTGTCGTATTGATTATGTATAATAATAGTAGTAATATATATACGAAACAGAAATCATAGCGTTTTATTATGTTTTGTGAAAATAAAATTTGGCAACAGTATTTTGTCAAATAATAACAATGTTATGTGACGATTAATGACTTAAGTTGACTCACTGGCTGCCTTTAGATTATGGATAATGAGTAATACAGAGGATAATAAAACTTGTAAGTATACAATAACATTTACTTCAGTTAGAGTGTTACACTAATGTTTTGTATGATTTCGTAACCATGTGGGCTGGAGACACTTGATTAAATTTTGTCATTTTCATTAGTCCTCTGTTCAAAATTAAATTTTCTTTCTTTTCGTAGTGGTATTCACGAGTCGTTTATCATGCATTACAAATGCCACTTTCGTATCTGGTTAAAACATAAATAATCAAAATAGAAGGAAAAAAAAAAAATCATAAAATGACGCCGTTTGTTAACTGCCATTGCTCGCGATGCCTCTCTTCCCTTTATATATATCTCTTCTCTTCTTCCCGTTCCCTTCCAACATTCTCTCTGCAATTTCTGATTTCATAATTTTCTTCTGCTCAACTTCATAGAAATTCAGATTCTTTGTTTTTTTAGTACTAGGAGAAAGAAACCGAGGAGATAGGAAACAATCCTCTGGTTATGGCGTCTCTGATATCACAAATTGAACCGCCGACGAATCTAAACCCAAGCTCTACAGATCTCGTTCGAAAGAAGAAGAGATTATCTGTTTCCTCCGCCGCGTCGTCTCGGAGAAACGCAGCTTCCGTATCCACCGGAGACGGTGAGAGCCACGCGCGATGGAGATCGGAGAAGCAACAGCGGATCTACTCCGCGAAGCTGATCCAGGCGCTGCAACAGGTCCGCCTCAGCTCTTCCTCCGCCGCGACATCATATCCTACCGCTCAGAAGCGGGGAAAAGCCGTCCGCGAAGCCGCCGATCGCGTTCTCGCTGTTTCCGCTCGCGGAAGGACGCTCTGGAGCAGAGCGATCCTGGCTAACCGGATAAAACTGAAATTTAGGAAACAGAAACGGCCGAGACCGACGAAGATCCCGGCTATAACCACGGTGGTCACGACGGGAGGTAGCAGCAGCAACAGATCGAGGAAACGGAGAGTCTCGGTGGCGAGGTTGGATAAGAAGAGTTTACCGACGCTTAACCGGAAAGTTCGCGTTCTCGGCCGGTTAGTTCCCGGTTGCGGGAAAGAATCTGTACCGGTGATTCTAGAAGAAGCAACGGATTACATCCAGGCTCTGGAGATGCAAGTCAGAGCGATGAACTCTCTAGCGGAGCTTCTCTCCAGCTACTCATCCTCCGGCTCTGGCTCAGTTCCTCCGCCGATTTGATGAGGTTAAAATCGTCATTTTGCCCAAATTCATCCTTTGATTCTGCCATCTCTGTCTCTGTCTCTGTGTACACCAAAACTTTCATTTATAAATATATATATATATATACACTATGTATATAGAAGATTCAGTTTGAGTATAGTATGTAAGTATTCTTCGCTATAACGAAAGTAAACTTTGAATTGAGTTAACCAAAAGCCCCATTAACAATCCTCAAATCCAATAATTTAAAGGTCTTCTGCCTTATGAAATTTAATTGATTTTTAAGTGGAGTATATGATTAATAATCGTAGTGGGTTATTATTAGCTTTAATTGATATACACGCTATTGCTGTGGGTGGAAATGGGTCTTTTGAACCTCATAAGATATGATAGCAATGGACTAACACTAAACCAATATGGAACTTACTTTTGGTGTACTTTCATTCCCTCCAATATGGCATATACTAATATACATGAATTTCACAACTAAATAGATTCGTACTGAAATTTCAAACCGATGATGGGTCACAAACGTAACTTGAGTACATCACATGGTAGTAATGTGAGGATGCATCTAGAGAATGATGGATGCATTGAATGATGAGATATATCTGTCACTCAATCAATCTCTAGTCACTTTATCGCCCCCTCCCTTGAATCCTATGCACTACACGTTTTGTTTTTCTCACCTACAAGGCTACAACTAACTCATCCGGCGTGTATATTCCAAATTTAAATTGACTAACCAATAGTTAAAGTTACACAGCATATTATATATATGTGGATATAGTTTCTCTCCGCTTAGTATACGACCCTTTGGCGCTAAACGAATGAATAATTAGTAGGAAGTTTGTTGTATCAACTAATAAAGGAGTAGAATTAAGAATATCTTCTTTTTTCCCTTGGGTATATGGTATAGGAATAACACTATGCGACAAGAAGAGGAAGGAAAGGAAATGACAAAAGCAAAAAGATTTTAAAAAATATAGAAAGCGCCTAAAAAGTAGGAAGAAGCACATGGGAGAGTGGCCATGCCTTGTCGTCTTCTTTCCTTTTAAGCTTCCTCTTATAATCTTTGCACGAAAACTCTTTTGATATGTTATATCTAAACTAGGTGGACAGCTTACGATAATCCATGCATATATTTGAGGGAATATGCGTGCCTGTTCAATACTTTTTTATACATCATATTTGCATAGGATCGATCTACGAATATCTCTGAATTTCATAATTAGCTCGTAAAAAAAAGTTCCAAAAACAAACAAAACAAACAAACAGTAATGTCTAGACTCTAGGAATTTATACCGGACCAAGCGAGAAGACACATAACGTAATATAATTTCGTCGAAGCTTTAGCCACAGAAAATGAAGTCATCACCAATGCATGATCTCGAGACCCTCTTGCGCATGAAAATAAGAAGAGATGGAATATTATCGATATGTTGCTGCCAGTTCATGTGCTTTAGAGAGCCTTTGCTAGACATTCGATCGCTTTATGATGCATCTCGGTCAAATTAATTCGCAATCGATCTCAATCTCAATATAAAAAGGTATCTATACTATACACATGACGATGACATTAATCTAAATATATTTTTCCTTCACCATCACTCATAAATTTATTTTGTTTTTGGGTCAATTCCATCCTAAAGTTTACTAATCTCTTCGTATACACGTAAAATTTTTTTTTTTGTTTACTTTTCTTCTCTGAATTTTAGAGTGCTAAAAAGTTTATAAATTCTGTCTAACCAATAGCATCAAGTATATTTTAGCCCTTTGATTTTCCTCTTTGTCTTTTTTTTTACATGAAAGTTGATACTAAAAGTTGAATAAAAGATTTAGTGTAAAATTATCCAAAAGTTTTGGATAAGTAGGATAGTAAAAGATAAGGGGGGATATTCACAAATATTCAGTTGAAGATATTCGATAAATGTAAGCGATCTTCCTTAACAGATCTGACCAATAAATAAGATCGGTGGATATATTATAACAATAATGGCGCAAGGAAAGGAGACATTTCGTGACAACTGTGAACGGAGGAGGTTGAGTGAGATAATTTCATTTGAACAATGGCGAATCAGGAGGAAGTGGCAGTCCCGATCTTCTCGTCCCTTGAGCCTGTCTACGGCGAAGGATCTCAGCTTGACGAAGCTAAGGCACGATTCGATGTTTTAAAATCCCAATTCAACCAAGTCTTTGGTGCTACTCCCCAACTCTTCGCTCGCTCTCCCGGTAAAACTCTCGGTTTCTTGATGTTTGTGAATGATTACGATGCAAAATCCAAGACAAAATTCGTTGACTTGATTTCTATTTCTTGTATTTGGATGATGAGGAAACGAAATCGAATACAGTAGATCATGGGGTTTGGATCACCGCTTTTTTTTTTTCTCGCCCGCATGGCATAGGAACCGAACAGAGACGAAGTTTTGTACTTTTGTTAGTTGTCGGATTTATTGTCTGAAAGCTATTGTTTTTGTGGATGGTGGATTGCAGGAAGAGTGAATCTGATCGGAGAGCACATTGACTATGAGGGATACTCAGTGCTGCCAATGGCTATTCGTCAGGACACCATTATCGCTATCCGAAAACGCGAGGGTCATAATCAGCTTCGGATTGCAAATGTCAATGACAAGTACGCTATGTGTACATATACTGCTGATCCTGACCAGGTTTAATATCTAATCCTTTGTGATGGATCATTACTTATATCTCTGGGAATGATATATATGAGTGTGACTGTCGTATCGTTTATGTCAAATTTTTGCAGGAAATCGATTTGCAGAATCACAAATGGGGTCATTACTTCATATGCGCGTAAGGGGTTTCGTCTGGTGTCCATCAGAAAACTAAGAGATTTACCTTTTCTTGAGGTGCGTTATGATTTTCGTTTCTTAACAGGTACAAAGGGTTCCATGAGTATGCAAAGTCGAAAGGAGTGAATCTTGGTTCACCAGTTGGACTTGATGTTATCGTTGATGGAATTGTTCCTACAGGTATTGTTCCTAATACATACTTGCATCATGAGATCATTTTAGCCTGGTTATTTATAACTGAAGTTCTTCGATTTTAGGTTCTGGTTTGTCAAGTTCTGCTGCGTTTGTTTGCTCCTCAACGATTGCTATTATGGCTGTCTTTGGTGAGAACTTTGAAAAGGTATTTACTCACTCGTGCTTGATGATAGGAATTTCATCTCTCTCTCTCTCTCTCTCTCTCTCTCTCTTGTTGATTATTGATTTGGCCGAGTTTTTTCTCTGTTTCCGTTGCTTTCAGAAAGAACTTGCACAACTTACCTGTGAATGTGAACGACACATTGGAACACAATCTGGTGGGATGGACCAGGTCAGACATTTTCTCAGAATATTCCATCATCTTTCATTACTACCTCCTTCACTCTCTCTGTTTCGGATTGATCAATTTTCGAAGTATTTCAACAGGCAATCTCTATTATGGCTAAAAGTGGATTTGCTGAGCTTATTGACTTCAATCCAGTCCGCGCAACTGATGTGAAACTCCCTGATGGTGGGAGTTTTGTGATAGCACATTCTCTTGCAGAATCTCAAAAGGCGGTCACTGCTGCTAAGAATTACAATAACAGGGTCGTTGAATGTCGTCTTGCTTCTGTAAGTCACAGCATAACTTTTCCACTGCAGTATCTGAACTTTTGTTTGCTAAACTACACATGATTCTTCTCACTGCCATGTGGCTTCGGAATTGTAGATCATACTTGGCATTAAGCTCGGGATGGAACCAAAAGAAGCAATATCAAAAGTCAAGACTCTTTCTGATGTGGAGGGATTATGTGTGTCATTTGCTGGTGATCGTGGCTCTTCTAATCCTGTTCTAGCTGTTAAGGTACGTATTCAAACAATCCCTGCTAAAACAGAGTGCTTTACGTCTATTCAATCGGTTTTAGAACATTCTGATGCTTACGTCTATGCTTACAGGAATATCTGAAAGAAGAACCATATACCGCAGAGGAGATCGAGAAAATCGTCGACGAGAAACTACCATCAATCTTGAACAACGATTCAACATCTTTAGCTGTACTTAATGCTGCAACGCATTTCAAATTGCATCAGGTATATAAATGTACAAACCTGTGGAATATTGTGTTATTTCCCCACATGTCTTAACAATAAGGCTCTGCTTACAATCATGAACAGAGAGCTGCACATGTTTACTCCGAAGCCAGGAGAGTTCATGGTTTCAAGGACACTGTCTATTCAAACTTAAGGTCAGACAGCTTTTGGCCATCAAACTTTTGAATAAATCTTGATTGTTGGAACCTTAGAGACCTTGAAACGTCAACTGTGCAGTGACGAAGAAAAGTTGAAGAAACTTGGCGATCTCATGAACGAAAGCCATTACAGCTGCAGTGTCCTATACGAGTGCAGGTGCATAAAACTAAAGATCAAGTGTTATTGCGAAAAATCAGTGATCTCGTAAAATTTATTATAAATTTTGATGAAATGGCGCAGTTGCCCGGAGCTAGAAGAACTAGTTCAAGTTTGCAGAGAGAACGGAGCACTTGGAGCAAGACTGACCGGAGCTGGATGGGGCGGTTGCGCTGTGGCCTTGGTTAAAGAGTCTGGCGTCTCTCAGTTCATCGCTGCGGTCAAGGTAATAATAAAGTTTAATTGTGAGTACAGTGTTATTATTAAGTTTGAGTGGGCACTAATGTTTAAAGAAATGGAAATGTGGGGTTTCAGGATAAATACTACAAAAAGAGGGTAGAGAAAGGAGTTGTAAAGGAAGAAGATATGGAGCTTTACCTTTTCGCCTCCAAGCCTTCAAGTGGTGCTGCCATCTTCAACTTCTAAACACGTCTCTCCCTCTCTTTTTTTTTTTTTTTTTTTTTTTTTTTTAAATTATTCAATCTGAAATGTTTGCACAACTGTCATCATCTTATATTGAATTCCCCAACTTTAAAATTCACTCGCAGCTTTTCTTTTTTGAATTTTTATAACCGTAGAACAAAATTTATATTCTAATGTTATTTTTAACTTCAATTTATATTTTGTGAAAGCTTCTTCTCTGAATTCGAAAAGAATAGAGAAACTTTGTTTTACAAACAACTCGGATTGATCAACATGCATTTACAAATCAGAGAGTTAAGAAGTCAATATCTAACAAAAGAAAAAGGAGTTTTCAAGACGCAGAATCATCATCACTAACACAACCTAACACTAAACATTCCTACTCGCAGACTATCTGTGATTCATCTTCTCATATCCAACCACATAAACCGGTGTTTTTCTTGCATTGCTTATCTTCCCGGATTCTCCAACAAGCCCTTGTCATCTTCTTGCTTCCGTTGCTGCTATCGCAGTCACCATTCTTACTCTTAGGCAGCTGAGATGCTTGCACAACCGATAGCTTGATTCTACCGACTGGTCCCCGGAGGCTTCCGCTGTTGAGAATCTTGAGAAAGTCCGTCTCCGCAGATTCCATGTCCGAAACATTTATGGTTCTGAGGTGTAAACCCCAGTAAAACACAATGTTTGGCTGATTTGTATACGTTTCTACATACTCAGTTGGGTTTGGATCGCAGATGCCAAAGACTTGCTCTATCTGCATCAAAGATAAAGAGATTAAGACATTTTTCAACAGCATGTGGAATAAAAGCAAAAAGCCATTCTATGAGAACAGAGTGTTTGCAGAACATCATCATCAACATGTTAAAATGAAAAAATGCCTACTTTGATCAGAAGACAGCGGAAACGTGACTTAACCAAACCAACCCAATCACTGAGATCTTCCTGAGTTGCAGCCGAGAGGTGTATCTTGGCGAACCAAGCGTACGTGCTTGCATATGGATAAGGCTCAAACAAATTCTTCCAGCTGAAGTTAGGTTCCAAGTAACCCTGCAACTCACAATCGTAGCCAGCCAATAAGGATATTAACTCTACAACTGAGAGAAAAATAATGATATAAAGAGTGTCACCTTTGTGAAATGATGGCCACGGAGAAACTCAGACATGATCTTGTAAAATGTGCTCCTTGTTATGTTGGAGTGGCAGTACTGATGTGCACCGCAAGGCAATTGGATGGGCATTAACCCTGGAGGAGAAGCAGCAGATGGATAAGCATCCCCTAGCAGCACCACAGGTGTAGGCCATTGCCAATACGCAAATGTGTTAAAGAAACTCGCCAGAAGGGAACTCAGTGTAGCATTCGGGTCATATCCACAAACAAACGCCGCAAGAACAGCCATATGAACCCCTCCTAGGAATCCATTCAACTGAAAAACCCAAAAAAAAAAAAACAACTAAGCTTCTGCATTCATTGATTATATGAGAAAATGATATATATGCTGCATTTATAGCACTTACGTTACCGTACACACCACGCCTCTTTGCCCATAGTTTGACACACCGCAGCAATGATTGGAATAGCTGAAATAACAAGAAGATAAGACATATCTAATGTTAAAGCAATGATGCTGAGAAGTTACTGTTAGTATCTGTGTTTACCTCTACAGAAGGCACTAATTGAAGGATGCATTTGTTTGCGCGAACTCCAGACAAACTTTTCCAACTTGTCTCATCAATATCCTTCAGAAAGAAAGGATTCAGCACATCTACATCCTGAAAATTGCTCTAAGCAGTTACTTGTTGAACCAAGATTATATGAAAGACAAACAAAATTATATTCAAGTTGTTGTTGAGAACGAACATTTGGGATGGATGATACTCTAAGTTGAGCATATGGAAGATCAACCAAGATCCCATCAAACTTAAAGCGGATGAGAGGAACTTTCGCATCTTTAACACAGTGAACCTCTGTAACTTCTCTTCTGCTCTTCAACAAATTACGCAACTCGATGAAAAAATCCTCCTGTAACCAATCAGTAAGACTAGTATCTTTACACCAACGGCAGAAAAAGGTACAAATTCAGAAAAAACAGACCAACTCACAGCCATGGAGGCAAAGAAAGGACCAATGCACAAAGCGTCAATGTCTGATTCAGAACCATGAACCTGCACGATGACAAGAGAGGCAATAACAGTTTTAGCTAAAACATTCATTCACCATTACATATTCTTCCATTTGATGATTAAGATCTCGTAACATCATACACATGCATAACACTAATACTAAATCGACGAAATTCTAATCAACAAGGCAGGTTAATAGTCGTTTCAGACTCATTACTAAAACAGTATAGATCATGATTTGAGAAAGACAACAGAAGAGACTATTTAAAAGAAAATCACCCCAAGACCGTAAGATCCATAGGCTATAATGGTGGCGTTGGTGGCGTTAATCTGATGTTGAGTAAGACGGCGTTTCCAGGCAACAACCTTAATCCATCTCACCACTATCTGTTCATTAAACAGAGCAGTCATCATCAGTGTCTGGCATAAGAAACAAAACTGATCCAAACCTTTAAAGAGATCATTACAGTATGCGATTTTTTGGATGTACCTTGTGCAGCTGATTAATAACACTTGTTCGTTTCTTTTCGTCTTCAAGAGATGGAGTGAGCCCTTCATCAGTCATAAGCTACGAAATTGGAAAAAAAGTAAAGAAAGAAAGAAATTTGGTGTTATTGTTAATTTAGTGTTGAAATCAGTAAAACCTAATTTACCTGACGAAGCGAAATTGATCTTTCTTCTTTCATTTCGGCAGTAGAAGGAGGAAGAAAACCTGTGGGTATGAGAAGAGAGAGAGAGCCGTAATGTGAGGAACAAGGCTCCTCGAAAAAGAAAGGGTTTATCGGAGAAAAGGCGAAATCAGCGATTAGAGAAAAAGAATCCGATAAAACGCAATGCAGTGAAGACGTTGACATTTTTGGCGGTTGGCATAATCCGCCATACACAAGGAAAAGCTCACAAAGGAAAAAAAAATTGCCGGGAATATAGACGAACCTTTATGTCTCCCTCCTATGATTCCCTTTCTCATTTCCAGGAAAGTCGTGGGTTTTTCTTAGCATTTCTTGGGAGATTTCTTGGGAGAAAAGGATAAACAAATTGGTTATTTCCGCCGTTTCTGCTGAAGTTTCTCCGCTTCGTCTCTGTTTTGCTCAAATCCAGCGCACAAATAGATTCGGCCCCACCAAATTATTTATACGTGGCATATACTTTACTTTTACCTCTTCCAAAATCTATGTTTACTGTATTTCTCTATTAATTAGATTCGACAAAAAAAAAAACTAATCTAATTGAAATAAAAACTGGAATTTTTTCATTTTATTTTTATTTCTAAACTGTTGAGAATTTGAGACACTTTTGACACGGATGTGTGAAATTAACTAATCTAAATATAAATATGTTTCGCTTGAATTCTCTTTTACACATTTGAATCTTAATGGCTATATATATATAATTCGAGTCGTGAATCCTTGCGTGCGCTTGACTATCACGCGCTAAATAGTTGTAGCGCGTGGGTAAAGTTCTATGTGAGTCGCGACAAAGCAAAGAAAGATCCCTTGTTTGTACGCCAGACGAAAGCAAACCGGAAATGACCGCGGCGACGCGCTTGCACAAAATAAATTTCACACAAAAACGAATTTTATTTTCTCCAAAAGCTTCAAAAACTTCGACTGATAAAAATCTGCACGAAGAAATTTGGGATAATTAAGAAGAAAATGATCTACTACATGTTCAACAGAGTACTGCCTACTGTATATACAATTATTCATTCCAGATAAGGGAACAGCTTTGATCTAATAATAATAAGCATAATCTAGTTACCTTTTGTCAAAAAAAAAAACAAAAAACAACCATAATCTAGTAATCCCTAATCCTATTAAGGGTTTAAAAGAAATTTATTTCTCCACAAGAAACCGACTGAATCGTGGTTTAATACATAATAAGGGTTTAAAAAAAGGCCTGCATCTTTTTAACTAATTCGCCGAGGCTCCCCTATCATCCCATACAAGAAACATCACATAATAATAATGAGATTTGTATGCACTAAGCCCAATACAATAGTTGTTATATATATAATTTTTTTTTAGTTGTTATATTTTGGTTTAGTTGAAAAAACAATAATTAAAGTTTAACTACTAATTTCTTGCGGTGAAAACAATGCTTACAATCGCCGATTAGAAACGGTGGGTTCAGAGTCTTCAGACAATACACTTCATCATTGAGCACGGTTATCCAAAATTCACCCGTTTAATGTTTAGACTACGATGAAATAAGATAAGGTTTGAAACTTTACATGCTACACAAAATGGGGAATACTTCATACGTAAAATTTTCACAATTGCTACTCAAAAGGGGGACCACAGTTATATATCCTTCTTATATATGCATTGGAATCTATACATATACTGACATTGAAAAATGTTTAGGGAATCAAAACTAACCGCTCAAATTCTTTCACATTACACGGTTCACTCGTTCCCTTTAGGCTTATCTGAGAGTGAGAGGTTGATTGTAACAATATACGGGGACAAGCGAGAGAATTTGGAGGATCTATTCTTGTTCCTTTATTTTTGCTAAGGTCTATGTGACAAATTAAGAATTAAACCAACGGTAAAGACTATTTATTATTATTCAGTACTTCCGGTTTGACTCAGGCTTAACTTTTATTTTTTCTTTCAAATATAATTTTTAAATACTGAGACAATATTAAAAATTTGTGATTTGTTCCATAATATAGTTACGTAATGTGTAACTGGATATATCCTATAAGTTAGCATTTTCATTTGGTAATGGAGGTTTGAATAACCCATTTGATTATATGTTCGATGTGGTTTGAAAAGATTAATCTAAGCTTTCCTATTTTCAGGCTTAGTATTTTCATCTTTCAAATTCTTGTATTTTGTTGAAGAACTATCACATATCATCTATATCAATCGGGAGATAATGATTATTTTTCCCCGAATCAAATTTCACACTTTTATTTTATCATCAAACCAAACTTAGATCAAATTTGCTCCAGTACCATACATACTCATTATGTGAAAAACTTTTGACACTCTTTCTCGTTCGTAGAGGAAGACTGGGTTTTTTTGTGTGTAAGAAAATGAGCTGTAAGCTTAAAAAGGAAAATGTGGATGCGGTCCTACTTATATCATACTATTATTACTCACCAATGGTGAGTCACCATTTTCTCTTCTTTATGTATTTGTTAACTACATATATTTTTATAAGAGTTATACAAATGTTCTAATTTATGATAATTACATTTTAATCTAGTTATGAACTTCATCATAGAAACCTTCTCTAATCTTGTGAAATAAATTCTGTATGCTTCTTTTTGTTGATAATTTTTTGGTATTACCCTCAAAAAATTTGTGAGTTACTATCTTATTAATATATTTATTTTAGTAATTTTAAGTACATTAAAAAGACATGAAAACTAGCAAATAGTTAAAGAGGCCAATACTCCCGGACCACACAGTTATTTGCCAGCTCATTCTTCAGGCTGCTTGCTGTGCTATGACTTTTTATAAAAAAAAAAAAAATTCCAGCTAATTACCACATCGCCCGTAGAGAGTGAATCGAACCAAGACATAAAGTAACTGTGACTAATTCTCGTCAAAATAATTTAAAAAGTAACTACAAATACAACAATAAAACTCGATCGAAATGGACTTAAGGCCTACGTGTTAGGCCTATACGGACAAATACAACAACTGTTTACTGAATTATTAACTAAAAATTATATAAAAAGTAAAATAATCGTCAATCTTCGTGTATATGTATATATGTTTCGTTTGAATTCTTTTTTTACACATTCGTGAAGAATCATTTCTTAACAGTGTGAAAGTAATGCAAGCATTGTCGTCAGACAATTTTAAGTTTATTAGAAATTGAAATTGAAATATGTAATTGATGAAGTATTATTGGTCTCCGTAAAATTTGGATTTTTGTCGTTTCCACACAGGCTCCTAAGGCCACTAGTGCCGACGTGGATTCGAACCGTTTATTAGTAGTGCTCGTGTCACTTCAACACACCTACACTTGTCACACCAGTAGTGTAGGCCTAGAATGTTCTTGTAGCCCTAATCGCTCATGGATATAAAACTCTAGTATTTTCTTCTTTTTTTTTTTTGACAAAGGGCTTAGTATTTTCTTCTTTCTCGATCTGTTCTTTAACTTTTTTTTTAATTTTTTTCCTTCTAGCTAAAAAAGATGAGTTCTGTAGCTGAGATCAATCTGGGGGGAGGTCGGGTAGAGGGATTTCGTAGGTCTGTAGGAAAATTTTCCAGATTTGTTTATGATGTGGATGTTTTACTTCTTATTGCTGTAGCGTCATCGGTGGTGATTTTAATCTGCCTTCTTCAGTTGAATGAAACTTATAAAACTAGGTATGTCACATTAGGCATCATCGTTTGCTACACTATGGGTATTGTGGTTGTTGAGCATACACTCCATCAGTCGATTGAGAATATTTTTAGGGCTTGGGAAGAAAGGTTTAGAAACTATCATTTAGTAGGAAAAGCTGGAGGGACATTGGGTGTTTTACTTGGTTTTGCTTATCTCACAGAGCTTATAGAGTCAAAAGAGGGATGGAATGGATTCGCTTATGCGTTTTACTTTTCTTGCTATTTACATTTAACATCTCTTACTAAGCTGTATGGACGGGAGGATATGTTTAGAGCAGCCGATAGTCTCATGGCGGTCATAGTCATGCTGTTCGTCAAGAGTCCAAAAGACAATCGGAAAGCCTGGCGAGTTTGGGTGCTTTTCAGTGTTGGGTTTTTGGTGTCGCTGTTCAAATTTTCCGGACCTGAGAGAGCTCAAGATGCAGATCAGAATCCCAGCGGAGACAGTGGAGCTCAAGATGTAGAGAATGCCGGCGGAGACAGTGGAGCTCAAGATGTAGAGAATGCCGGCGGAGACCGTGACTTCCGCCTCAGGGAATTTTCCGGTTAGTCTGATATTTTATTTATCCCTAATCAGTTCCGTACTATTTTGACCATCATCATTAACCACCATTTTAATTTTCTGCAGCCCCACGACGTTGAACGGCTCACGGCAGCAAATTTGTCAGCTTCCTTACTCGTCTTTTTGTCTATCGGTCATTTTGTATGAACTTTAATATCGAGCATGTTTTTTAGCTAGTCCGTACTCCGTATTGTAGGCATTTGGTTACAATGTTTCATTACTTTAACAAAATTTAGCTTGCAAATCATCTATCATAAATTTAGTTCCAAAACAATCGCACTTTTGCCCTCGCTCATGAATAAATAGCATAAACTTATTATGAGTTTCAAAAAAAATTATTTTAGATTAAGTTCGATGAAAAAAGCGATAGCTTGTGAATTTGTTGCGCTGTATTCACAAAAGAAACAACTAAAAATTAAATAAAATGATTGAAATCAAATACTGTTACATGAAAAACGAGTGAAAAATAATTATTATCCGTAGGCCTAACACGTACGCCTTAGGTTACAATACTAAGTCCGTAGGCCTGACACGTAGGCCTTAGGTTACAATACTAAGTCCGTAGGCCGTGATCATACATAGTCTATCATCGCAAAGGCATACAAGTTTCCCTTTTTTTTAATCCAATTTGTTAATCGGGCGGGGCCTGAAACCCGTAAAATTCATATAATTTTAAGCCCGGACCGGCCCATATATCAATATTTAGTGTTTTTATATTATTTTTATTTTTCAACAGAAACAAAAAATTGTTATCGAAAACCTTTGTTACATTGAGACTTATATCGAAAATCTTTGTATATAAACAAATCTTATATGAATCTGATTTCTTTTGCTTGTAGTAGTGATCTTAATAATAACACTTGCCCCAATATTACGAAGAAAAACGTCAAATAATAAATTAATAATGAAACTAAATATGTATTAAAACAAGAGAATAGTTTCTTTGATCAATCTTCAATTTCAACAGCACCATCGTTTTCTTCCTCCGCTGTGTTCTCCCGTGAGGTCTCTTCTTTAAATAATTCTTCACTCCCCATGAATTGTTCATATAGCTACCAAATCCAAGATGGTATATGTTACAAAACATTTTTCAAAATCATATAACGTATTGAGATCTTAAAACAGAGTTTAGCGGCAAGAGCCTTTACTAACCCTCAAGGCTGATTCCACTAGTTCATTGTAGTTCAAATTCCCATCTGGACTAGACGCGGAACTGATATTACCACCAAATTCACCCTGATCCACATCAAACTTTGATTTGTGAGATTACATTATCATGGTCGAAATGTGCAAGTCATTAAGAAGAGATAATAATGCTCATAATCACATGCCACACCTTGACCAGCTCTTGCACGTACAGTGCTCTCCAGAGTACAACAGGTTTTGCTTCAGCAGAATCATTCTCAATTACTGAATCGCTTTGAAGCTTCTCAGGAACCTGCGGCCCAATGAGAATACTCATGGCTGATAAGAGTGCTGTTTTCCCTTGATCATCGTTGTCACACAAAGTTGAAAGATATAAAACATGCCTGCAGCAGCAAATATGACTCAGGGAACAATTGTACAGAAGCGAATGGAAAGAAACACAATGCTAAACCACAGCTTACATGCCAGGAGGACAAACAGCTAAACCACTACCAAGCTGCAGAACCCGAATCGCAGTCGGCTGTTCAGGAAACAAAGCTAAGAGAACAAAAAAAAACATCAGGAGTAGAAATTTCAATACGCAAATGACGATATACATAAACACAACGAACTAGTGGGTCTTCAAACTTTATCTTACATTTAGGTGGATATACGACAAGAGCGTTTGATACACCAGCTTTCACAGAACCTCTAATGATACATATTCCTCTTGCTACTTTCCCCTTACTGCTCATCGCCTTTGGGACAAGAACCCGAAGAGTTTCTCTCTGCTGGTCAGTCAATGATGCAAATGACTCCAATCCAACAGTAATACATGGATCCAGAATCAACTTTTGGCTGAATATCTCTTGACCCGAAGCTAGTCTAACCCCTTTGCAACCCCCAGTTTCCTGCAGAAAGAGTCAGAATAATCAAGTAAGAATCAGTTTGTCAAGCAAGCCAATCATACATATCTTTGGTTACAACAATCGACTCACTTGCCTTGTCTAGAAGCAGAGCAGTAATAGGCATCCGGAGAACCTGTTCATACATTGAAAGACCAAATAAGTAACAGATAACATACCAACACAGTACATCATAATGCAGCAAATTGTTCCAGAACGTACATATATGCATCCTTTGACAGCAGCTCGACGGCAAAAGGCTTGAGCAAGTTCTCCTTGTCCATAAATTGGGTATATCAAAGCCCCAAGTGCATTAGAAAACCTGAAGTATCGAATAAAAAAGCTTAATTGCATTGAGTACAACCAAGGTGAATGACGAAGAAGAGAATGAAAGGGATAAACGAATGAGAAAGATGGCCACAGATGTAAAAGAGCCAAGAAAGACGGAATGATGAGTGAACCTGCCCATAGATGTAATGTACAGAGCCAATCGATCTATGCCCTCTTTGGTCCTGAGTAAATGTCTACAAGTTTCCGTATTGTCTTGATCATAATCTAGCATCGCAATGGCATACAAGATGATCCTGCGCATAAGAAGATAAAGAGGAGACAAAGCCTTACCATCAGCATTTCGAATAAATTTTCTTGAGAAACAAAAGCTGCGAGGAAGTGATTAAGCAGACAAATATGCAAAGAGCTGCGACTAACGGAGAGGGAAGCTATACGATTTGATTTTGGGTGGCAAACGCATCTTTGCCAAGAAGTCCACAAATGGACTCTCCATGTCTTGCTCCGATATAGGGACTGTTGCCTCATCGCTTTCGGTAGAGGAAGCCAAGTGTGCCTGAACAAGCTTGAAGAATTTCATCAGCTGGTTCTTCTCCAACAGAGCCAAGCTCTTGTCCTTGAATATCGCAGCTCTGGAATCAGGCACGTTTCGTAGCTCTCCGCTCGAATCCCCGACGAAGCTCGCGTCGATGCTCTTGAACTCAACGTAATTGTTGGCTCCTGATTTGAGCATGAGATTAATGGATTCATCGGCACAGAAGATAACCCTAGGACCGCACAAGTCAACGTTGAAACTTCTGGAGTGTTCCTCGAGGATCTCGGGTTCGAAGCTCGAAATCTCGACGGAGGAATACAAGGATCGGTGAACGAGATCCACGGAGAGGAAGTCATGAGCGTTTGACGGCGGCGGAGGAGGAAGAGGAGAAACGGAGATCGAGTGAAGGAAAGAAGTGAGGTCGGGAAGAGAAAGGGAGGCGAAGTGAGAGCCGTAGAAGGGGTTAGGGTCGAGGTGGAGAACAGAGCTACCGGAGGAGGAAGCGGCGGCGGAGAGGACGGACTCAGAAACTCCGGTGCCGACGATAATGAGATCGTAGGTAGAAGGATCAAGCGGCGGATAGGGAGGGAGGTCGCTCATGGTGGCTGGAACTAATGGGAATCAAACGAATTCAGACCACCGCGACTTTAGCCTGTGCGGTTGAATAATCGGAAAATGGTGAGACTACAAATTTTACTGTTACCCTCTTTTTTTTCCGGTATCTATTTTGGGCACGATACAACCGTAACACAGTTTGGTTTATCTCTGAGAGAACAAAAAAATCTAAAAATCTCATATTATTGATTTGATGGATAATCCTTTTACTGTTTTGATAAATTAAAAAACACTGGTTACTTGAGAATTGAGATCAATACATAGTGTTTTTATTTTATTTTAATAGACGGATAACTCAATAGAAAGAAACAAATTGTTATCGAAAAACTTTGTATATACCATGATATCGAAAATCTTTGTACATAAAAAACAAAAATCCAAATATATATACCCTAGCTTTTAAAAATTAAGGTATATATATTAGGTTTTAGTTTTTAAAAATTAAAAATCATTGATCATCCCCAACTACTAGTACATTGGGTTTTGGTTTTTAAAAATTAAAAATCTTTGATCATCCCCAACTACTAGTACCATTAGGTTTTAGTTTTTAAAAATTAGCTTTTCCAATTCCCATTAGGAGGATTATAATAAGCCTCCTCTACGAGAGTTATAAATAGAGAGAGTCAGGCCCTTTGTGATTCATCATCATCTCCAATCAACAAAAACAAAAAAAACAAAAAAAAAAAGCAAAAGAAAGAAAGAAAGAAAGTGCTAGGGAATGGACAAGGAGGAGGTGATGAGTAAAAAAGATGTGATTGTATGCAGAGGAATATGGTATGGAATGACTCTAGTCTCGATCATTGGCCTCTGCATATCACTGAATCTTATCTGGCCACCTGGAGGAAAGTCATGGACTCGGTTTTTGAGGGACGGTGCGGTGAGTGCCACGACATTCTACGCAGTGACGCTACTCAGATACTTGTTCTTCAGCGTCCCTCCTTCTCCTTGCTACACGGTCTTTACGAAAGAGAGTTTCCTTGATCAGGATCTGTTCGCGTGCGTGTCCTTGGCTCTAGTCGCGACATTGCCGTTAACTTACAGACTGTTTGTGAAAGCTTTTGCGCTACATGTGCCGTTATTCATCATCTCTTTGTTCACGGGAGGGATAGGGCTTATCCAGCTATCGGATAAGCTTAGGATGGAGATACGACATGCTCTGCTCACGCTCTTCCACGGATGGTTGTTTTGTCTTTGGGGCATCTTCATGAGTTGTTCACTACACCCACAAACGCAGTTCTCGGCATACACGTTTGGTTTATATTGTCAGTTGATGCTTGCTGCTCGCTTCACTCTAACCAGTACACGCGCGGACGACCACGACAAGGTGGACGTGGACTACACTGGCTTAGATGCTTTTCTGTTTTTATTTTTACTACTTTTTATTTTCTTTTCTTTTGTGTCAATCACTTGAGATTTCCTTTTTCTGTTCTGGAGTTTTATAGCTATAATAAATAATAAGATGGTTTTAAAATTTTTATTTTATCGGAAGAGACATGGATTTCCGTACTCTTGATCATAGTCTCTATCATCGCAAAGCATACAAGCTTCCCTTGTTTATTTTTAATTTGTGTTTTTGACACAACCGGGATCTCTATCGGTTCCTTCACTTACCGAACAAGTAAGCTACGTAGGGTACATTTGATTCAATCCCGCATACTACTGTAATTTAATCATCTCTTTGGGTTTGGATCAGCTTATTATTAACGGATTTTGGAAAAATTGGTGATAGTAATAAAAAGTAGTATCATCATCGTGAACAAAAAATTGATAAACAAGAAACACACCTTGACCTTGTTCATATATATAAATAAATATACAGACAGATGACATTTATAATCAAACATTGTATGCACCTCTACTTCTCTGACTTCTTCTATCTTCTTCATATATCGATCTACCATATTTAAGTCCTCTGCAAATTGATGCGAATTCATTCAAATAATATCCACCAATTGGTCCGGTTCAGACGTGCTTCACACCTGTTGTTTGTTACCGCATGAAATCATAATAAAACGTGAGATATGACGACAACAGCTTTCTTCCATACAAAAACACAGGAATTTTTATTCACTAACCAGTTTTTGGGGGATTTTGATGAAAACAAACGAGAAAAAGTAGAGACAGGTGCAGATTACGAGTACTGAGATCGTGTTGTAGACAAGGCGCTTGTCGTCTTTGGTTGGTATGAAGGCTGTTTTCAAAGTGTTGGTAAGCTCGAAGAGCCTATAAGAGACCTGCAGCAGAACAACAAAACGCCAATTCAGTTTCTTTCTCTCTGGCTTTTCAATTTGTTTGTCTCTCTCTTGTAGCAGAGAGTTTGCTTACAGCGACGTAAATCGAAGTTGTGAGCATGAAGTTCAACAATGGGTATTCCGGTATTAGAGAGAGTAGCAATTTGGGTTGACCATCAGGAACGCCAGATCTGTGAGTTCATTCATTAGAATATGTTTATTAGAAAACTTCACAGCTCAATGGCTCAACCATTAACTTTCAACTTCAGCTACAATTGACGAAGGAGCGTGACATGCCTGAGCCATATATGAAACTGGGAGATATATGTCTCCAGCGTTATCTTCCCAAGCCACCTAAGAATTCATGGACAAAATTTAATTTGTTTTTCTTTTTCCTGTAATTAGGAGGACGAATATATATAATGACTAAAACAATTTTACTTACGCCAGAAGGGTCAAACTGTAGCCACGGAAAGACTGGGTGATGTTCCGGAGACAGATATATACACTGACAGAAAAGCAATACGAGATACGCAAGTTAGTACTTGTTTTCGGAATATCCATTGTATAGAGCTCTGAGAGTAAAGCGAAATACGTTATTGGAATCCAGGAGGTGTAAGGATGGTATTTGTTGTAAGTTAGCTTGTCCAGCTTGTATATGTACTCGTACCAAAAATATCCCACCTAAAAGTTTCATAATAACAAAGATAGATTAGCTGGAAGCCTGGAAGAGTAATATTTAACCCTTCTTTCACCTTGAAGAAAGTGAAATGATGACTTGTTATACCGTTAGTGCTATAAGTGCCACAGTTGTTTTGATAGCCATCCTGAACTTTATCTCAGCTTCCTCCAGTTGATCCATCCAACTTTCAATCTATAAGATACATAATCAAGAAAACAAAAGATGACTTTGTTGAGAGTTCCACACTTCCCTTTACGCTACCCATTTGTGAAGAGAGTTGAAATGAAGTTCTAGTGAAGTATTGGGAAACTTACAGTTGGGTGGTAGTATGCATATAGCATCCCGATTATCCATATGTACCGGTCAAGGCCCGAGCGGAAATGCCACTCATGCAAAAGGGGAAGCTGTGGTTTTGCGGGATCATTGTAACCTGCAATTGTAGTTTTTTCAAGTATTTTTTTTTAATCACATAAACACATTTTGTTTATCATGAGAAGTAAAATTAAATGGTAGTCACAAACCCATTAGGAGCGTAAATGGACTCCAAATACATTCAAAAACGCCCGGAATTTCCCAAACGATGATAACAACAAAGAAGCAGGCAACCATTTTGGCAGCTATGACTGAACCCATCTCATTATACTTGTTCATAATACCAAGTGCTCCGTAGACCATCAGAGTAAACAGAGTGTGCATAGGGCATATGTAGTACAGCATGTAACTGTTGTTGAGAACGATGCATGAGAATATGACGAGAAAATTTAGCCGCCACATCATCTGTCGAACAAGAGTATGTTAAGTAGGTGACAGCTAGAAATAAGAAAAGAAGAAGCTGGGAGGGCATAGGTGTTACCTGTGCAAACCTTGCGAGGCTAAAGTCCTTGCGAATGTAATAGTAAGAAAAATTCCCAAATCCAGTCATCCATACATAGCAAGCAATGAAAACACGGATAGCATTATAGTACTCTACAGCAGCAAAGTAGTGGTACATCAAAAAGAGGACCTACAACACCAGGAAAAGAAAACAATGATGAGGTAACAGCAAAATGACAAGGCAATAAAACACTAAATGCTTATTTGAAAACTGAAATAATCTTCCAAGCTGATGTATCAACAAACCTGCATCCAGCCTTTCCACTCCTCGGTTTGATGTCTATTCAAATACATGATGGATTTTCCGTTGAATGCTGATTTATCATTATGTATCGTGAAAGAAGTTATTGCTGAAACGATGATGAGGAGGAAGTACAGGAACAGAAACAGGTCCCGGTTGTAACTCTGTATCAAAGAATAAACAATGAAAGGCAGTCAGACACGTAGAAGCATATACAGGATATTCATCATGGCATACCAAATTTTCAATATTATGGGGTCTAAATCCTTCCACATAACATTAGACCAACTTGAATGATAAAAAAATATAAAGTGTATATAAGATTCTGCTGAACAATGTAGAACCTCTGTAACTAGATAAACCATTCCGGAATCTACTGAGCAGATTTGAAATAAGATATCATCATCACCTAACCTTCTTCGATGAATTGAAGACATCCGTGCGGTCACATATGTAAAAGTATCCCATAAGTAGTGCAAACTCAATTCTGCATACAAAGCCAAAAATGATTTAGATAAAGTGGACGTATGCAAGAGAATGGACCTTTCAACACACGAAACAATACTCACATTGCTCTTAACGTTAGCCTGTTCTCAACCAAGAAGGACTCATCCAAGAGGGCAAACCTGCGAAGAACTCGGCATGAGCATACGAAGGAAGAAAAAACGGCGGAGGTCACTTGGAAGAGCTAAACGGAACCTGATGAGAGGAGAATGTATGGAGGAAGCCTTGGCTCGAGGAGAAGCTGATTGAAGACCACCACCATCTTCTATCAAAAGGGCTTTGTCATCTTCTTTCACAAAATCTTTCGCAATTTCCACCAAATTGACGTCAGAGTGCCTACTAACACACACACCAAGTGAAAAAAAGAAAAAAATCAATACGAAATCAAAGCAAAAGCAAAAGCAAAAGCCACCATCAACACTAGAAAAAACCAAGATGAATCAGCGTACGCTTTGGCGGAGACGGAATGTTTTGCAAAGTGCAGATACTCGGAGTAAAGCCAAGCAGCGATCACCGGCACAATCCCGAGCACCACCGACATCTGCAATTTCCCGGAGAAAAAAAAAGGTAAACAAATCACTCTCGGGTCACTAGAAAACGAACAAGAGCTCAATATAACGAACAGCCTAAGTTGTCAAAAGACGCTAAATCGAGCAAGATCTACTTCAGACGAATGAAAGCTTAAGCAACAACGAAGAAAAAGGCTCGTAAGACGTACCAGCCCAGGTGTTACAGGGCTTGAAAACGCCATTTCCGATCAGAGAAGGAACGACAATCAGACAGATTCAAACTCCACACAGTCGTTAGTTTCTGAATTTGAATTTCGTCAATTCGATTCGCTCCAGAACCAGATCCGGCAGATCTCGCGAAACAATCAGTGACCTACGATTCGAATCAACAATAGATCCGCTCGTCCCCTTATAATGTTGTTACAAATCAACCTCTCAGATAAGCTTGACGGGAACGAGTGAACTGTGTAATGCGAAAGGGTTTGAGCGGTTAGTAGCTCTATAGATATTAATCATTTTCTTCATCCTTCCCAAAAGAGAAATTTACTAACCGACAAAATTTTATGTAGAATTATTAGCCAACGCAATCAAATTATGAAAATAACATTTTGGTATTTTTATGCTCTTCTATCAATATCGGGGGGCCATGACTAAATAAGAATTTAGCATAATTACAAATAGAGTTCGCTGTAAGATTCTAAAAATGAAAAACACGTTTTGTAAAATGAAGGAGCCAAGGTAATAAACAGACAATTTTCATATTATTGTTTTATTCTCGATATTGTAAATTTTAATTCCATTAAACTTTTTATCAATTTCAGTATATAAAGATTCCAATATAAGAAGAAGATATCTGTGGACGTAATTTTGAGTACCAATCATCAACTTTTACGTATTAAATTTGTGTGACATGTAAAGTTTCAAACTTCATCTAATCGTACTAGAAATTAAATGAAAGGGAATTTTGGATCGCCATTATATCCTACAAACGTCATTACATTTTTGCAGATTTTACTCAATCATTTTTTCGTAATGTATATTATTAGTAGTTAAACTTACTTTAGCAAAAAGAAAGTATTAGTAATTAAACTTTTATTGTTTTTCCATCTAAACCAAAATATATGCCTAATGCGATTCGGGGGTGTGTTCATATTGTTTTGTCGACGACGCGTTTCTTTAGAAGTCAGCAGATTAATACTAGTAGTAAAAAGAAGTTTGTTAAACATGCAATTTGGAGTTAGAAAATTGGAATTTTGATATTCATCGACATTTGATTTTATGATCCATGTATATTCATCGACATTCCATACATGAAGATTACTTTACTTTTTATATAAGATATAATTTTTAGGTAAAGGGCCCATAAGTAATGAAGGGTAATAGTAATAATTTGGAAATTTTCAGTGGGAAATCACTATAACTTGACTTAAATTGTGAATTTTTGAAAAATCACTATTCCCCGAAATTTCCTCCATCCACATGTCCACTGTCAAATTGAGAAGCTTACGGGTTTATATATTTTGAGGTATGGTGTTTTCTCAGGTAAACAAGTCATGGAGATCCAGGATCACAGTTGCAGTTGCAGAACAACCCAGGGAAGCCCAGGGCAATTTTCCAGCTGAAGCTGAAGCGGAGGATCTTCTCTGCTATAGTAGCATCAAAGCGTTGTCGTTTCCTTAGCACCTAAACGACGTCGTTAACCGGTTAGTGAAACGTTTGTTCTTTCATTTCCCCGAAAAGGACAATAGTTTAGTTATTTGCATTTGATTAGTTTCGAACTTCACATTACATTATCTTCTCCCAATTTTGACTTTGGAACCCAAAATCTCATAATAACAGACGAAGTAAAACACTAGTTAGCCAGGTTTCGTTGGTCACACAATTCACAACAAATATGTTGACTACACAGACTTTCCTAAATTAGAAAGTCTCTGTTCTCCTCCTCCGGTGGCGGCGAATCGTGGACTGAGAGAAGCTCTTCCGGCAGGGGACCTTGGACTAATCACTCGTCCTCCTCCTCCTCTGAAATCACTTAAGCTCCGTATATACACTTTCTCCGAAACCCTTGGATTCTGAAAACTCACCACTCGTCTCATCAACTCCACTCCTCCCGCCGTCGAACCTCCCGCCGATCCACTTCCTCCGGCACCACCGAGCTTTATGCTGCTCACCCTCCTTATCTCTCCTCTGCTTCTCGTGAACATTCCGTCCATCACTTCTCCACTGTCCGCAAACAACGTCGCTCGGCTCACTTCACCTTCCTGCACAGAGACGGAAGATTTAATTTGATCGATAAAGCCCTAAACTTTTGCTAGACATGAAGAAGAAGAAGAGAGTTTATTACCGGTTTCAGATTGAATGATAAGAGAGCAGGTGCTTCTTCATACTCTGCAGCATCCAAGTCTTGAAGATGAGCTCCTTTGAAGAAACTTGGCAACACGTATTGCCTAATTGGAACAAGAAACATTATCATCAACAAGTTTGTGACTGTTTGAGTCCCTGAATCTAATATCCCCAGTGATCGATTCAGGAACGAGATTAAAAGCCTAATTATAAAACTGGTGATTGATCCGAACATACCCGAGAAGTCCCTTGGTGTATCAGAGGGCTCTGCATTTGCTGGTAAGCTTCTTCCATGCTTCCATACACTTGTCCTAAAGTTGCCTTGTTTCTGATGCATTTGCGCGCAGCTGCCACGAGTTTGTTCCGAAGTAGCTGCACAACAACCGCTGCATTGGTTATAAAAGCCATTGGAAAATGCAACTGAAAGCCTATATACACACACAGACAAGTGAGAAGAAGGAACCTGGTGTTTGAGTGTTGCCAAGCTTTTTGTGTGCATTGGAGATTGCGGGATGACGCCATTGGATGGAGGGATCCCGAGGAGACCGCAAATGATTGTCTAAAGAAGAAAAGTTTTTAACATTTCATATTCTGCAAACGGTAAAGTCAATAAATGAGTCAAGGAAAACAGATGTAATTCATCTTACCAAGAGGCATAGAAGAAACAGGTCATAATGATAAGAAGGAGGCTTTCTCAGATTGGACGACGAGTTTCTCCTGATAGTCCCGAGCCAACGAGCTGAATCTGGAAGCTTCTAGAATATTCTTCAGGAACACCAACCAGAGTTATTGAAGAGTCTTCAATTAAACCACAGGGAAGCTCAAGTACAGGCATTAAACCAGACAAATCCCCATCAAATGCAGAGAAGAAATCTGGACAGTTTCTTCTGGTAGCAGAAAAAGAAGCTCCTTTCTCTTTACTGGTCATAAAGACTAAACCTTTCATCGCCAATGTAGCTTCTTCAACCCCTTGAGCGGTTTCTGGCAAAGCATCTGGCCTTTCTAGAAACGGACGCATAAGAGACCATACAAGAAATCCGTTCGAATCTTCTCCTTCTCCTGAAATGCTCTTGTTTGAAAAGAGGTAATCAAGATCTTCCAAATTCACAAAATGTCGTTTCTTTGCTGATTCATGAACGCTCTCTCCTTGTTGTATACTGGAATCATTCACAGTGTGATTCGTTGAAAGTTTGTGATCATAGCTGATGACGAAGATCAATGTGAGAACCATGTAAGAGATTCCCACCGACCAATTCCTCATTCTGAGTAGAGTCGAACCAAATTTGAATTTCAACAGTTGCATTATTAGTCACATCAGCACCTAAGGAAAACCCAGATTCCGAATTAGAGTGAAGATTATCCGATTCTCAATCTCCAAATCCTAACGCCTCTGATGGGTAAGTATCATAATTATACGAACAAGACCTCAAACAAATGGTCGACGACCCAAAACTTTGGAGTATAAACTAACCCGAGACCACAAGCAACAAGAAGAGAAATAAAACCGAACTGATGCAGAAAAGAGCAGTCTTAAATGGAAAGCCATTAGTAATCTTCACTGATCTCTAGAGAGATTTTGAAACATCCAAGTCAACTGTTTCAAGAGCTGAAAAGCCATTAGTAATCTTCACTGATCTCTAGACATTCGCTGCAACGAACCACTTCGGTTTCAGTCAGCAATAGAATGCGGGATATTCTCGGATCGGTTCGCCGATCCTTGGTTTTCCGGTCGTCTTTGGCCGGAGATGATGGTAGTGTCCGAGGATGTCTCACCGGATTCGTCACCAAGCCGCCTCCAGGTCTTCCTGCTCCCAGAAAAGAAGAAGCGCCGCCGATTCGGTGGAGAAAGGGGGAACTAATCGGCTGCGGTGCTTTTGGGAGGGTTTACATGGGAATGAACCTCGATCCCGGCGAGCTTCTTGCAATTAAACTGGTCGATTTGAAATTATTAATTCTGGTCTTCCGTCAAATGCTTTTTTTTTGGTGAGCTACTCTGCTGATTTTCTGATCGTTTTTATTTTATGTGATGATAGGTTTTAATAGCTCCAAACAGTGCTTCAAAGGAGAAGACTCCTGTAAGTTTCATCACTGTACTAGTCAGTATTTCCAATTTGTGGTTCAGCCTTGTGTTAAATTTCCATATTGGTAACAGTTTGAGGTACTATTTGTTTTTCTTTCCTACTTTTGAATCCTTGTTTTAGGGTCACATGTCACATCCGAGAGCTTGAGGAAGAAGTGAGAATTAAGGGGAATGCATTCCAAAATTCACTTTTACTCTTTTTCACATTCCTCTAGGGAGCTAATATATTTGTTGATAACGAAGGGTGCATCAGAGTCGCGGATTTTGGTGCTTCCAAGAAAGTTGTAGAGCTAGTATGATTGCGCCTCTCTTCCTCTTCAATTTTATTTCAATATGTTGTCGCTCTCTCTTCCGTACTCTAGAACTTGTGATTGTTTATGCTTTCAGGCTACTGTTAATGTCACCAAATCTATGAAGGGAACGCCGTATTGGATGGCTCCTGAAGTCATTCTCCAGACAGGTCATAGCTTGTAAGTATTTCTAGAATACCTTACTAGTTATATCTACTTTTCCACCATCTCCTACTTTCTTTTAGCTTCTAACTTTTTGTAAGATGATAGATTACACATGTTCCGGGTAGTGGGAATGGGTTCTCATCTTTGTTTTTCCCTGTGTTCTGACCTTCTTCCTGAATCTGAAGCTCTGCTGATATATGGAGTGTTGGATGCACTGTGATCGAAATGGCTACAGGTAGACATATCCACTTTCCAATATCTTTTTATTTTAGAAAACTAGAAAGTGAATTTTGCCAGTTTGAAGCTGTGCTTCATATTGGTAGAACAGAAGCTTATTCACCAATTCCAGCAGACCTCTCACCAGAGGCTTAAAGACTTTTTATTGGAAAATGCTTACACAGGTAAGTCGTAAGTTTCTTTTTCTTCCCAGTTCGTTTATGTCATTTTTTCTATAAATAGCTTATGTACCGACTGATGTCCACCTTCCCATTTCAAGAGAGTATTGATTTCTATTGTCCTATCTATAAGAGCTATTATATTTACAGGGAACCAAGCTTGAGACTCTCTGCATATGAATTGCTTCAGGTGTTGTAAATTTCACATCTTCTTCATTTCTAACGAAGTTGTCCTTACTCTCAAGGCACAACACGCAGTTGTTTTTGTTACTTATGGTGCTGACATCTGCTTAACATTTGCAGCACCTTTTTGTCACTGGAGGGCACAAGGAATCTCATCCAGCTTTCTGTGGTTCTTTTACGGTTAGTACATCATGCAGTGAACTTTGTTTCTGGTTCTTCAACCTTCTGACATCCTTTCAAATATATTAGGAATGCGGAAACTCAATACCCACACAAGGAATAAATGTTAGGAGTTGTTAAGTTTTTCTTTGCAGCTCTAGTTTCAATTATCTTTCTTATTATCCATGATCTTGGTCTCTTAATTTTTGTTTTCACTTTCCTTTTTGTTCCAGAATAAACTCTTTGATGAGGAGGTCAACCTGTTCAGGCTTGAAAGATGTCTGAACTCGGAAGCTTGAGGAGTTCTACTATACACACAGAGAAGTCAAATAACTCAGGATTCTTTTTATTTTCTTGTCGGTTTATCCGTTGTCAAATTATTCGTAACCTAGGAATTGAGAGTGTTTAATACATATTTTGGTGACGACTTTCCGGTTTTTAGAATAACCAAATATAGTGACCGGGGTTCTTGGTCGATTCGATCCTTTTTTTATTAATGCAAATTTGGTTTTTAGTTAACTTTTGTACTAACTATTTTCTCCTTTTTAATTCTATTTGAATTCAGTTTTCACTTTTCATATTAAAAAAAGTAAAGTTAGTTTAGCCAAATTAAAATTTAGTTTGGTTTCATGTTTATATTTATTTCTGATTGGTTTCGATTTAATCAATTATCGAGACTAAATTTATAATAAGTAAACAAAACCCTTAAGCAAACTTCATTAAAACCAACAACCAAGAAATAAAGGTTTTTAACAAAATATAAAGTGTGCGTTTTCTTCACATCGAAAATTCACGTACGGCTCAGTTAGAAAACTCTAGTGCTCCACCAGCTGCGTAACCCAAACAACTTCTCAAACAACTCTTCAATGTAGTAGGAGAAGGTTGTTAGCAATTGAACACAACACATTAATGATCCAATGACATTGCTTATCTGCTCCATTTCAAAGAAAACCCAAAAAAAAACAGTCACAAATAAAAACAATTTATAAAATCTTATATGGAGAGGGAAAAATGACCTACAAGTATAAAAATATCGATTTTGTGAATCAAAGAGTAAGCCGTCCAAAATGCAGCTTCCATGATATAAACGGATGACACTCGAGCGGGAATGTTTTTATTCACTATTGTTTCCTGTTTCAGAAGTTATAATGTGAGAGAGAGAGAGAGAGAGAGAGAGAGAGAGCTTACGTAGGTAATGAAGACATGCTCAGTAGTGCTACAAATGAAGACCAACGAGTTTATATGCAACTAGTGTTGGTGATACTTCGAGAGAACCTACATACAAAAATGCTACGGTACAGAATGCATACGTAACGAACCGTGTAGCAATCCGCCTCTGCAAAAAAAAAAAACACAATCAGTACACTATAATCAGGATATACAATATAATAGAGATTTAGGCATTTTAAGATTTGACTATACCCGTAGTTCATCCTTGACGTAGACATAAAAATTCATCAGGGCAATAAAATTCACCAAGATACCAATAGCATTGGTGATAATGAGCAGAACATTCATCCCAGAAATGTGCGGAAGTGCATATAGCAGCCACATATTGCCTTTAGCAAAAAGGACAACATGCAATATCTCGTTCATATCACCCGTGTTACTACTACTATATATAACCACTCTGTAGAAAAAAAAGAATAGTTATATTTTATATCGATGTTAAAAAAACGGAAAAATAAAATAAAGAGAGAGAAAGTATATATATACAATCTTGAGATCGCGATATAGCACGAAAAAATAGCACCTGCGCGAAAAATAAAACAAATTAATCCGAAGAAAATAATTTAGAGTGAAAAAAGATTTTTAAAAGAAAGAAAAAAACCCATAGTCAACACACAATACTTTCATTTTTTTTTCTTCTTACAAATTATACACAAAAACAAAAGTTTAACTATAGCCTTGTTTGATTATCTAGATGCCTCATCTACATATTGTTCCTTTTTAAAACTAGATTTTGTATTTAGATTATATATTTATATAAAAGTTTAGATATAAAATATCTCAAATGATCAAAAAGGTATCTTTTTTCATTCATTGATTTTATCTATAATCAAAACGATTTTTTTTAAAAAAATAATACAAAGTAACACTTTCTTGTAGAAATTGAGTTCAATAAAAAAACAATTTTTTGACGGAAAATTTATTCTTACTTTTTTAAACGAACAATTTTTAACTATAGCCTTGTTTTCTTTATCGTTTTTATATTAGTTCACACAATTATTTATATTTAACTTTCACCACATTGAGTATGACAGGCTTTCTTTTGGTAAACAGGTGCGATTTGACGTAGTCGCTTTAACGGATGCGAAACCCAAATGTTCTCGAAGTTTCCGCCGATTGATCTTGACGACCCCTTCGCAACAAAGAGGCAGACCGTCCGCGTCATCGGCGGTGGTGTTGAGGATTACCCAAAGAGTCGGCTCGAAAAACTCATCGAACAGAGACGATTTGACGGAGATGTTCCTCCGGCCGTCGATTGCAGATGTCGCGGAGGCTAAATTAGAAATCGCGGAGACGTTACAAATTAGAAACGTAAATTACAAATTACAGATCGCAAGGGACGAAGGGAAATTGAGATACCTGGGGGAGGAGATGGCTGACAGAGAGATGAAGAGATGAGAGAGAACACGAAGATGAGGCCGAGAATTGACATGGCGGAAGGAGTTCCAGAGAAAGATAGAGGGAGGAGACGAAGGTATTTGGACTTTGGTATCTTTGTTTCTGATAAGCGAGAGGCACAAAGCAGCGGAAAGATTATGAATCGAAAAAATAAGAGGAAGGGGACGGTTTTGATCTGTTGTAAAATTGGGTTCAAACGTTTTTGGTTGTTTATATGTTTCGCGCTTTGCGCTGCTTGGCCATTCCGCCAATTGCCACCATTATAATTACATTTACTCAGGACCAAAGAGGGCATAGATCGATTGGCTCTGTACATTACATCTATGGGCAGGTTCATTCATCATTCCGTCTTTCTTGGATCTTTTACATCTGTGATCATCTTTCTCATTCGTTTATCCCTTTCATTCTCTTCTTCGTCATTCACCTTGGTTGTACTCAATGCAATTAAGCTTTTTTATTCGATACTTCAGGTTTTCTGTGAAAGCTGGTGTATCAAACGCTCTTGTCGTATATCCACCTAAATGTAAGATAAAGTTTGAAGACCCACTAGTTCGTTGTGTTTATGTATATCGTCATTTGCGTATTGAATTTCTACTCCTAATGTTTTTTTTTTCTTTCTCTTAGCTTTGTTTGCTGAACAGCTGACTGCGATTCGGGTTCTGCAGCTTGGTAGTGGTTTAGCTGTTTGTCCTCCTGGCATGTAAGCTGTGGTTTAGCATTATGTTTCTTTCCATTCGCTTCTGTACAATTGTTCCCTGAGTCATATTTGCTGCTGCAGGCATGTTTTATATCTTTCAACTTTGTGTGACAACGATGATCAAGGGAAAACAGCACTCTTATCAGCCATGAGTATGCTCATTGGACCGCAGGTTACTGAGAAGCTTCAAAGCGACTCAGTAACTGAGAATGACACTGCTGAAGCAAAACCTGTTGTACTCTGGAGAGCACTCACTGTACGTGCAAGAGCTGGTCAAGGTGTGGCATGTGATTATGAGCATTATTATCTCATAATAATAATGGAGGAGGAAAACGATGGTGCTGTTGAAATTGAAGATTGATCAAAGAAACCATCTCTTGTTTTAAATACACATTTAGTTTTATTATTTGACGTTTTTATTCGTTACATATAGTTCACCAAGGCAAGTGTTTTTCTCACTGTCCTATTGGGTTGTATTTTTCATATACAACAAAGACTTCTTCCTTTTTCTACTAAAGTAATTAAGAATTCCTTTCTTGCACTTCCCAAATGGAGAAAAATAGATAAATGTCCTATAACTTATGATAAATATATTGAAACATATGATCACAGAAATATTGCTTTTTTCAAGTCATCACAAAGGTTGAAAGGAATCTCAAACCGTTATTACTAATAATCATAAACCCTAGACTTTCGGAAATTTAATATATCATATTATATTTACCAACACAAAAAAAGACGTCAAAATTGGGAATCAAAGCAACCAGAGTCTCAGAAGTATTGCGACAGACTTTCACCGCTCATCTCTTCCATCTGTTTGATGATATCTTGAGCCAAAGACTTGACAGAGAGCTCAACGTCTTCCAGTAGTTCAACTAAGAAGGGAATGGTTTCAGCGAGCAACACAAGATACTCTTCCTTCAGATTGTCCAGCATCTGTTTCACACTCCTCAAACTCAGTATCCTCGAACGTACGCTCTCACTCCTTGTTTGCATCAACACCTGACACGATATGATTTAAAGCCAGTTCAAGTCAGCAACAGATCTTCAAATCCAAAGCTCAGATAATTTTCACAGGTTTAAGAGATTGTGTTGTTACCTCATGGTTCAGCGGCTTCCAGAGGAGGTCAGAGCCCGAAGCAACTGCCATTTGACCAATGCATGAAACTAGCAAGTCATCAACCTCTTCTACAGATGGTACATGTGAATGCTCCTTTAATGAAGATGGCGGTTCAACAACAAGCTGTGCGACTATAGGCTTCAGAAGCACCTGTGGAGAAGAAAACAGTTTGGATCAAAATCTATTGCTCCAAGAAAAAAGGAAGGAAGAGATGCTTGATCCAAGAAAACATAGAAGGTTATATAGATAAATGACCTGGAAGTTATTTGTGTCGAGAAACTTCAAGCTTCCCGTATCATGCAGAAAACAATTCTTCAGGGAAGAAATCACCAATGCTCTAAGATGCCAGCTTTTTGGTGTTATAGTGTCATATGTTTCCTGAATCTTGGCTTTCTTTTTCTTCCTGGTTGAATCTGATGCTTCGGCACTGGTGAGATGCGATACAATACCATCAAGCACGAACTTGAAATATGGTACGAATATGGACCTGCATTCCCACAATAAGATAAACTGAAGTTAATTTCCCAATATTCCAAAAGCATATATAAATAAAGGGCATCACAGCTTCTCATTCACTCACCTGTGGCTCTCACAGAGTCTATTCACTAGACCATAGAAAGATATAGCTCGGTCAATGCTCTTGCTTTCACTCCCTGATCCGTCTACAATATCTGACTCTGCCCAATCAATACTCCTGATGAAAAGCGGTTTGAACTCAGACTCTGTTAGCTTCTTTGTGAGAGCAACCATTGCATTGGTTACGCTTCTCTCCGCGTCATCAACGTCCTCAATCGCTGCTGGATTTTGACGCCGAATATCAAGTGCAACTAAGCATTGGTCGAAAATCTTCGCATGGTTGCCAACAATAGATGATCTATCCATTTTCGCAACCATGTTTTCTAGCATATCAAAAGCAATCACCAAACTTGCATTCCCAGAGCCAACAGCCTCATCGTATACTCGTAGGAGTGGTTGCAGAGTGAGACGAACCTGGAAGAAGGGTTACTATTAAGATCACTACTACAAGCAAAAGAAATCAGATTCACATAAGTATGTAAATAAAGAACTCACCGGTATTTTATCAGTAAGGAGTCTCCTAATGGCATTTGCCTTGGACTTGAGATTCTTGTCGATGTCAGAAACATATTCGTGATGCAGCACCATGAGTCTAATAATATCCCCTAGATGAGGATTTAGGAAACCTCCAAGTTTATCAATCACTGCTTCCAAAGTGACTAGAACAGACAGCATAAGCAACTGTTCTTCAGCTGTTGGGTTTCCACCACTCTTCGATGCAGAAGATACTTCGCCCGATTGTTTTACCAAATTTTTCATTATGCTTGGAAGTTCAACGAGCGCCTTTGGTCCAAGAACATTGATCAACGCACCGGTTGTACGAAGACAGCTTGAAGAAACTCCCAAATTCTTTGAGCTGATGCCTTCTGCAACAGATGTAAGGCACTTGCCGAAGATTGGATGACCAGAGGGAAACCTGCTAGCCAAAACTTCCAGTGTAGAAATGGCAGCTCGTTTAGCTGGAACACTTGTATCATCATCTGTCTCATCAATTAGATGGACAATTGCCTCACACATCTCCCCGAAAGATACAATAGCAGCCTCATCCAAGTTCAGCCAAGGATTTCTTCTTTGGAGCCTCCTCTTGTGTTTCAGTTTAGAAGAAGAAGTGTCCTTCGCTTTCTCACTTATAAGCCCAAGTACCTGCATTCACAAATAATAGCAACGTTGGTATCAAAGAACGCCATTAAGCTATAAAACCCGATTAAGACCAAGGTAATCAAGGTTTCAAAAGATATGTCCTTTCCCTAGGGAATTCGCGTTTCCAGGCTAACACAGAAAGAACATCCGCTTGAAATTATGGGCATATCTTTTGAAAATAATTTATTGCTCTAGTACGAAATATAATGAATGGTAATAGGGTATACCTTTTTCGTCCCATTACGATCCGACTGCTGCTGAAGCAAGCTAGTAACAACTCTGAAATATATAGACAGATCCATGGCTCCTGTAACAGTCATCAAGACATCATGTATACGCATTTTGATTTCCTTTCTAACCGCAGAAGTCACATCTTTCTCCTTTGTGGCATCAACAGCTTGCAGGAGAGATATACAACCCTTCATAAGCTCCTGTAGTTCTTGCTGAAAAAACAACACAAAGTACTTACTAAGAAATGGACATTCAAGAAAGCACACAGACAGAGAAACAAGGTAACAAAAAATATCTATATTCTATAGAATTTGCCAGATTCCAAGAAACAACATGAATAGGATTAAACAGAGGCTTTACCTGAATGCCATCTGAAACATTATTTATTGGTTCACGTGACACTGCAAAGGCAAATTCTGGGTCTTGCAACTTCTGAAATATAAACTCTAAGACGAGCCGCATCTGAAAGAAACATTCTACACTAGAACTGTCTTTGCTGATCGTTTGAAGAAGAATGACCAGGGATGAGAGCCATGTCGAAGAAGAATATTGTTCGCATATTTCCACGGCAAAAGCATACTCCCACTCCCTCTTAACAATGGAAGTAAAACTTTCCGAATTCTGGGCGTTACCAAGCCAAGCTGAGTCTTTCCTTGAAATCAAAGACTGGAATAAGAGGACAAGCAAAGAAGGCAAGCCCTTTTGTTCACCTATAACTCTGCAGAAATAAAGAAACGTCATTTAGTACTTTCACAGAAAAAAACACAAAATCCCAATTTAATTTTATTATCTACACATTACCCCAGCAGGTAAGCTACAATCGCGCGCCTTCTATGCTCAACAATATCAGGCAATACTTTAACAAAAATCTGAAAGACAAAAAAAAAACAGAATTTAAAAGTAAGATATAATAAATCCACAACTGAAGTACGGTATTATTGAAAACGAAACATCTCGGAAAGATTACCTGGAGCAACTGCTCCTCGCTCTTGGTCTTAGACAACCAAAATGGAATCACTGATGATATAAACCCCTCAAATATAGACTTCGAGTGGCTATCAATCTACAAATCAAAAATAAAGAACCGACAGTTAGGGATGATTTAGCCACCGCCAAAAGAATCGGCGAGTGCCGAGAAAGATCTGAAGAGTGTCAAGGGGAAAATGAAACTGATACAAGACTAAGAAGGTTATAGACTAACAAACCTGTGTCACCGTTGATTCACCAACAAGTGTAAGTATGCTGATAATATGGTCCAAAACTCGATCTGGGACAATTTTAACAATTGAAGTGAAGAGGGAAAAGATATAGTTCCGTGTCACTCCATCATTTGATGAATGAGCAAACTCAACCAGCATCTTAACATTGATTTCATTTGCTAAGTCGGCCTGCCATCAGAAGTTAATTAAGAGAAGGAAACAAGCAAGAATATCGTTAATCAACCTCATAAAATTTTGAAGCATACCTTCAAAGGATTCATATCCAGAGAATCAAAAATATCTTTCAGGATTAAGAGCATTGTCTGTTGGATGGAAGAGATAGAGGTACCATCCTGAGGAGGCTGGACCGAGGTTTCCTCAGCGGAAGAAGCAATGTTCACCCATTCATTAGACATAGATTTTCCTAGGATCTTAAACAAAGGTCCTATAAGTGACTCCCTAAGCAAAAAAAAAAAAAAAAAGAAGTTATTACGAAATCAGTTAGGCAACAAATATGTCTCCGATTGCCAAATTTACAATGGACATGCAAATATAAGCATATATACTTTCAAGATACCTGTGAGTTAGATCTTTCTTTAGAAGTAGCATGTCAAGTAATGAAGCAATGAAACAGAGAGCCTTTTCTCCTCTTAGAAGTTCCCCACCATTTACATCTTCTTCAAGACATGATTTTGAATCTTTTTTCTGTTTCTTCTTCTTGCTTAAGGAATCAATGACAAGATTATCCTGCTGAGTGATATAATTAAGGGTGTGGGCCACCGTTGAACAAGAAATCTGCAATAGCATTGAAGGACACCATGTAAATAAAGCAAACTACAACAGGCAGAAACTCTTTGAAGAAACAAAAGTATCTCTTCTTCTGTAAAAGTATTCTAAACTGGACATAGATAATAAGTTTTACTCAATTTATTAAAAAAGACAGTGACAAAAAGGAAGACAGTAATAATCCGAGGAATAAACTGAAAGTGAAGTACCTTCAGGCGTAAGACAGCTTCTTTGGCACCATTTTGTATTCTGCCACTTGTACTTCGAAACAGAGACACCAGCTTGTGGAAGAAACGAATCTGATCCAGAACAATCATGAGATTCGTTTTTCAGATTATATATACAGAAGAGTACCCAACTATAGAAGAGGATATTTCTTTTATATTCCAAGACTGACCTGAACATCGGTCTTCAGTTCAGCATAAAATTGATTGCTTAGTTTCTCCAGAACAGTGAGACATGGAGAGATAACAGCGGGATGTTCTGAGGCCATTGAATCCAACTGCAAAAGCAAAAGCAAACATCTGTGACTGGAACGAAAAAGTATCCAAGCAAGCAAGTAAAATATCGAACAAAGAGCTATTCTTACTTTCAATGCGTTCAGTATATGATCATCAAGAGACTGCCCTTTATACGACGCTGAACGCATCATGGAGCACTGACACAAGCCGAAAAAATCAAAAGCAATATTAATATTAAACAGTAGTGCAAGGCAATAATAGGTAACTTTTCTTAGGGCACGAATGAAAATAAAGTGAATTTACCTCCAGAAGAAGACACAATAAATCGACCTCGGTGTCTGATATTGGTTGGGAAGTTGTGTCCAGTTTAAAGTAGTGTTGACTACGTTTATCTAGAAGCTGAGACAATGACTTAACATTTTCATCATGCAGAAGCATGATGCCCAGACCTTTTAGCAATGATAGGACTCTTAGCTGTAGAAGAAAAAGGGTAAGAGTTTTAATACTTGTTACAAATTGTGTCACAAAGCATTAGGAAATCATAAAGACTCTTGACCTTCAAAGGGAAAGGAAATGAAACCTAAAACAGATAGGAGAAACACACCTTTCCATAAGCAGGGAGCTCTTGTGCACGCAATAAAATGAACGAAAGAATATTTTCTTTTGTGGCTTGATCAAACCTGAAGTTGAAAATCAAGAAAAGACAACATTAAGGGAGTTTGAGAAGGGAACATTCCAGCATGAAGAAAATAAATTGATAAAACCATGTGTCATTTGACAACTGTATTGAGGTCAAATAGTTTACAACTCAGCTAAGTACCTTTTTTGAAGGTCAACTGGCACTAGTAAGTCGTTAGGGGTTGAACCGAGCAACGACGCCAAGTAGGATGGAAGAAATTTATTATCCGACAATATAAGTCTCCGTTGTTGAACGATCATTCCCAACAATTCATCAAAAGAACTACTACAGATTGCAGCACTCCCTGGTTTTCAATTTTCGGAGATAGGATTAAAACACATGTAAGGATAAAACATAAAACCTGATGCCAAACTAAGATTACCATTTTTTTTGCTAGAGTCGACACGACACCGTAGGTTGAAGAGGGCCTCAATGCAATTCATGGCAGCTGATTTAAGGTCCTACAGAGGGAATGCACCAAAATGGATTTAAGAAAAGGAAGATAATGCAAAGAGTAATACAATAAAGAAAACACAAAACTTCAGTGTCACCTGATTATCACTCGAAATTGGAACCAAAATTACAGGAACGCTAGAGAGTATTTGAATCGACCATTCACTATTCCCGTTGGCGCAAAGATACGAGAAACATTTGAGACTTTCGATATGGACCATAGGTGGGGCATCTGCAAAAAGAAGAGAACATAGTTAGAAAACAGGAGATGGAATAAAACACACAGAGTTATCAGTAACTAGATTCAATGAGCCCTTTCAAACCAAGTCAGCATAATACTGGAAAGAGCAATATCAAAAATAACAACTAATACTCCGAGAATGCTAGATAAGAGTTACAAACGAATTCATATGGGAAAACAGATCTCCATGTGGTTTATAAATAGAGTGAATATAAATTTTCATGCAAACCTTCTCGTGATATAAGTTGGGAGAGAAACAAAACAGGACAGACTTTGGCTTCTCTCACACGGTAGAGAAGGTGTTCCTTGAAAACATGCCGTGATCGAGTTGTTGCAAAAAAGAAAAACAAGTCTTCAAGTCCGCTACACAACCTTTTGCTAAAAACCTGAACGAAGGAGAAGTCACAGACATAGTTCTGAGCATTGCTATTGAATTGGCAGTAAGAATTTTAATATAACCAAATTGTCAACAAATCAAGCTGAGCATCACCCACCGAAGAGACATGGGCCGGTTCAAGTTTAATGAATGACTCGACCAACTTCCAAAACAAGCAGATCAGAAGCTTCGAATTCAGCGCAGTAAAATCAGAGGTATCAAAATGTTGATATAAGAGTTCTTGGCAATTGCTTTTCGACAGCTGCAAGTAAAACACAAATACATCAAAAAGAACACGATAAAATAAGCAACAATCGTAAATCATGAAAACATCAATCTACATCAGCCAGTAGAAAACTGTACCTCTTTCAAAGAAACGTCAACTGCAACCTCAAGTTCTTCCCACTCGGTCTTCAAAACGGGAAAGCAAAGCTCGAAAAGATCCAAATATTGACTCGGGTCTAAATCAAAGGAAAACACAGCCATTAACACAACACTTTGATAATTTATCACATGAGATAACGGTTTTACAGTACTTGGAAACTGAAAACACACGATCATCGGCAAATATAGTTAACGCAAAAACCATAGACAGAATTTTACCAGATGAAGAATTCATCTTGTGCAATGACTGCATCAACAACATAAAAAACAGTGTCTTTGACAAGGGCGCATCTTGGCAAGAGACGGTAAGCCACTGAATCATGTCACCAGGGTGCATCAAAAACGCTTCCACCAGCTTGTCAACGATATCCATGTTTAATGCGGACACAGTTTCACGGATCAACAGTCCTTTCTGATATGAGAAAAGAATTTCACAAGTTATTAAGAGCATTCTTAGAAACTATCAGATATAACTGCCCCTCACGTACGCAAACACTAGACAAGAGTAATAGTTACAATACCAAGGAGGACTGAAAGTTTATTTTCATGAAAAACAGGAAAGTCATGACGAACCTGCAGCTTGTTGCGTTCCTGTTCTGTCAATTTAATATTGCTGCATGATTCCAAAACTTCAGACAACTTAAAGTTGCAAGCACTCTCAATTAGCTCAATCCTACGCTCATCGGGATCCAAGGAAAGTGCCTCCCCCAATTCATTGATAATATCCATGCTTATCGAGGATATGTTTCCAGACATGATATCTGGGAGCTTTTTCTGCAAAAAAGTGTTTCTTAGATGACATGATAATAATATTCAACAACCACAACATGATTCGTGATTAAATTTTGGGGTATGAAGAATATGCAAATTTTAAACTCATATTTACCATTCCATCATCAGCAACAAGATTCTTGAAAAGTGGCCAGTCAACATCCTTCCCCAATTTCAGCACATGTAGGTTTAAATTCCAAGTCTATTCACAGACATGATTACCACAATTAGCGAAGGTAAACTAAACTTTCGTCATAACTGTATAAAATAAATAGAACGAGAAAAACCTTCGGCTGAATTAAGAGAAATGGGAACATTGCAGAGGTAACTTTTTCAGTAGAGTCTGCTTGGTTACAGAAGCTTGAGACAGCAATTTTTAAGGACAAAGCAACTACATCAGCTGCGAGTTGAACATTATGTGATACTCCTGCAACAAAAATTGATGATTCCAGATAAATTGATTGCTCATCCTAGAAATTTGCATTCTTTAAGCAATTGTATATAATTTCGTTAAACAATCACCTGATCGGAGAATCCCAACACACCGTTTCACCACGTGAAGCAAAGCATCCAGAAGACTAGAAGAGGTTACTATATTCGGCAACTGATCAAGAGACAGGGCAGCCTGAACAACATCCAGATCATCATCCCAAAGCTGGCGCAGTATAGCATCCTGAATTGTGACAAGGTTCTGGATGGACAGTGGCAAAGAATAAAAGATTAACCAGATGCCAAGAAGTGCATAGTAAAGAGTCATACTATTTGGAATGGGTACCGCCGCCCTCACACATACCTCTGCCGTAGAACTATCAGCCTTGAGAACACCATTTAGACTGGAAAGCGCAGCACAGCGTACAGCAGCCTATGATTCATAACAATCCCTCAGTCTTGCACCAAAGGGTTTAGACTAGAAACTTCACATAACTAAGATAAGAGTTTATAGAACCTTGGGATGGTGGAGCCGGAACCACAATTTGGAATCCAAGCACGACTTGGACATGTCTGAATTCCCATCGAGCATACAAGACAGCATCTCTAGCTTCAAATCCTCCTTCTTCGACTGAACTTTAGTATCCTGCAGCAACAATGTGATGAGTCAGAAGCGAAATAGCTAGCAAAAGGCAGAAAATAAATCATCAAAAGTTAGACCACAAACCTCCAGAAATTTTTGAACCGCTGCACGTAATTCAACAGAATACTTCTTGCCAACAACAACCATAATTTTCTTGGCCCAGCTCCCTACCATTAAATTGCAACCAAGGCCGTTATAAAAAGAGAGCTGTGAAAGAGAATAAACTCGAAGACACAGTTGTTGATATTTCACTAACCAGATGTAGAAGATGTAAAACCACTGTTCTTCTGGTATTGTGTCATACACATAGAGAAAACCTTGGAGATCATATGATCAACGAAGTTGTTTACTGGAAGATTATCAATTATCGAAACTAATGTTTCACAACATTGATCATCAGATGAACTGCAAACAAATACAGATTACAGACATAATTACTAACAATATAGATACAGTTTGCTTGAAAAATGACAAAACGGTGTCAAAATACACACCTGTAAAGAAGAAGAGAATCTAGTAACACTGCCAGGAATCTCTTTGTGTTGAACTCTTTGGACAAGCCTAGAAGAACACCCGAAATATTCCTACACAAAAGTAACTCCCTCGTTGTAAAAATATAACTTATAGTTACAATTGGAATAGCCAGAGAGGGAATACAGATCATATGTGACTACCTTATTTCCTTTAAAAGGTCCAAAGCTTTCTTTGGGATCAAGTCAACAGATTGCAACTGTAGTTGATCAAGCAAAAACATTTAGTTCAAATAGACTAACACCGGACAATTGTGAGGAGAATTTTCAGTAAGCAATAGAAAATATGTTTCAACTCACAAATAAGGAGTTAATAAATTCGTGATATCAAAATTAAGATGTTCATGCGAAGAGAGTTTTTGTACCTGAACAAAGTTAATCAATGCCAGAATTGACAATCGAAGCCAATGAGGATCAGAGGATTCTTTGGCATGTTCACGAGCAATGTCGATGATTGACCTCATAAAGCGTTTGATAAGATTATCATTGAGCATGGCTCTGCTAGCCAACATGCCAACAACCATTAACGCACCAGCCTAGAAAAAAAAAAACATGTCATACAAATAACACTAACTGAAACAAAATCAATGAAATGACAATATCTGGCAAAAAAAATTCCGCTTTACAAACCTGCTGATCTAAACATCCTTTAACAGCAGATTGAAGACCAGATTCGACAAATGGTAAAATATGCTTTACGATATCTCCATCAACCGTTGCAACAGAACCTAGAACCTCGACGACAACAGCTGTGGAGAAGCTGACCACGGGTTTTGAAGGCTGATACTTCTTACTCCGAGATGCCTACAACAACCAAGAAATCAGATGTTCAGTTCAAAATAGCGATTCAGAACTACATTTAAGGAAAACAAACAGCAGCTACTTACATAGTCACACACGGACTCCAAGACCTGCATATCACGTATACACTGCTGAACAATAACCGATCTAGGAGGTGGAGCACCTGAATTTTTCACACCATCCAGAAATTTCCACTTGGTATTTCTGAAATGCAAAGGAAAGCCAAGGTTCACTTGATATACTATATTGATATATTGATATACTAAGCGTCTTGAACTTCAAAAAGTGAATGAAAGAACCATGCTCACCCAGTCGAAAGCAGCTGAACAATACGGACAAATGCATGCGTGTCGTGGTATGGCAAAGCACATAAAACCACATCTTCTACATTGTAAAGATAAATCCTGTAAAATACAGCAGTTAGAACAATTTGATGACCAGATACATAGGCAAGTCCAAAAGAGATGGTAGATAGGAAACACATACTTGTATCTTCGTATCAGATACTCAAGGGTCTCCAAGGATGCGCTAAACTGGAGATAACCCGAGAGTAGACGCAGATACGAACTGATTGATGCATCGATCCGAGCATTTTCTTCCTTACTCATCAACTCCCTATCCATTTCTCTACTTTTATGAGAAAACAAATCGCTCATGAAATTCTTAAACCTCTCATCTTTGTTTCCAAGCACTTCAAGACCTGAGTTAACCAAAAAAAAAAAAAAAAAAAACCAAGATAAGGATGACAATTCAATCATCAAAGAAAATTACAGATTACTAGAAGAGAATAAACCAAAACCCAGAACAGACCTTTGATTCCGAGCTCGTAAATCGACTCGATATCGATATCTGCTGCTTCTTTGGGGCTGTAGAGGATCGAAGGGCGTGTGTAGGGTCTCTTCGAAGGCTCTGTATCGGCTTGTGCAGCCGACTTGAGGGCCTGTAACTGCGATTCTATCAAAGAACTCATACTCGCCCTTAGAGCAAGATTGTTCTTCAGAGGAAAGTCGAATTAGAGATTTGAGGGGGAGAGAAAGAGCGCGGCGTAGAAGAAGGACAACAAACAAATCGGTGTGGGTTTTAGGGTTTAACGATTCTTTTCTACTACTTTTTTTTATATATATAATTCGTTTGTCGTTCTGACGAATGCAAAACCTTTTTTCTTATAAACTTGTCGGAAAAAGAAAATAAGGAAAACGACCCTGAGTTTTCATGAAATCACGTTTTTATGCATGACCTATATTTATGTTTAAAAACCACCCCAAGCTTTTAAACCGTAACTAATGAACCAAAAAATCATACTATTGACGTTTTGGTTAAACAGAATCTAAACCGGAAATTGGATGGGTTAAAGCTTGCGATTCATTCGTCCAGCAAATGTCTGAGGCCAAGACAAGACCTATATAAATCGAAGGATGCGTAGGCGAAAACAGCGCCTCATCCAGAGAGGCTATACGCTACAACATCGTGCCGTTTTTGCCTTAATTTAAATTACATAACAACAAAACGGTGAATCGTCTCAATTTGCGCCAAAGGTTTTGGCAAATCGTAGACAGGGAAATGAGACTGTGTCCTGGGTTTCCCCACTCTCTTGCTCTAGTCATTTAGTCAAAGGGTGAGGCATAAGCGGGACGTAGAACGAGCCCAGAATCATCGGTGTGCTTGATCTTAACTTTTCTTATCTTCTTTCTCATGATAAGCGGCCATATGAGAAGGGCTCGAGCCACGCGACTCAGCGGGTCTTGAAGACCATCCACTTGGTAGTGACCAAACCGCCAGTCACGGTCAACAAACGGTCTCCACTGAGGCTTGTCGAGTCCATCTTTTAAACAAACAAGGCCAAGTGGGTTAAGATTATAAAGAAAAAGCTGGAATAAGTTTTTAAAAACAAACTTGAAAGGTGGAAGTTGCATGTAACCAACCTGCGTACATTAGACCACGATTATCAACGGCTCGGTAGAATGGCCGTACTTTTCCTGCTTTGGCAGCTTTTTGGAGTTCGTTCCATGCAAGAGTCCGATCTTTACGAGTGACTTTGCCGCTTTTCACAATCTGGAGGGAAAAGAAAAAAACACAAAAGCCATTTGAGGAGAAAAGCGATCTGATGATCTCAAATGTCGTGTGGTGACAACAAGGGTAATGATGATAAACCTTGGAAAAGAGATGGTACGATGGCCGAAGGGTTCGAGCAAGATCATTGGCTCGGTCAACCGCAACAAGTCCAAATTTTGGACCGTATCCATCAGCCCATTCCCAGTTGTCGGAGATAGTCCAGAATATGTAACCAAGCACCGGAACACCCTGTCGTGAAAGCCACAAACACGCACTGTGAGAGATATTCCAATACTTAAGGTTGCTATGGTGGACCCAAAAGCCCTCCCAGACCCGTTTTGAAAATAAGGTCATACCAGGGGAGGCTCAAAACGGGCGGAGCTAGCCCATCACAACAACGCAACCAAATACCAATAGATAAAGCAGGAAATAACGTTTGTATGATTCAGAGAGTTCCAAGGACAAAACCTTGAGCATTGCAGCATACAAGGCAAGGAGATGCTCGATCAGGTAAGGCCGCCGAATCACATCTGTTTCATCAGACACGCCATTTTCAGTGACGATGAAAGGAACTTTCAGGTGTTTGTATTTCTCGTGGAACATCAACAACACGCGGTATAGACCATCAGGATATACCCCTCTTCCAGATTCACTGTATTCATCAGTCTCGACAAGCTTTAGTCCGACACCACACACTGCTTCCTGATTTCCCAGAGTCAGATTCCAAAAAAAACATTATTCGAGAGAAATGAATACTACTAATCCAAATTTAAGACCTTAAAGCATATCTTTACTCTTCGCTCTCTTACCTGTCCGTAGTAGTTGATGCCTATGAAATCCAACTTCTTACAAATGCTATCAATAAATGGATATATAGTGAGGGAGTTACTAATAGTAACAGCCCCAATATCAAAGAGACCATATGGCCGCATAAAGGAGACGTGGTGCGCAACGCCAACCAAAGGTTTTCTCAAGGAACTGCCATATAAGATTTGGAAACTATTAAGATGTGCTAGTGAGAGGAATCCATATGATACTTTTTTTATAAGAAAAGGGAGAAAAACTAACAATTTCCCGTGGATGTAGTCATAGGCCTTTGAGTGAGCAACAGCCATCCAATGTAAGGCTCGGTGGAATACACCCATTGGTAGAGTAGATGTAGCTATCTCCAGAAACTCAGGGTCATTACCGGGCCAGGATCCGCACATGTATGTAAGCATAGTGAAGACATGGGGTTCATTAAATGTGACCCACGAGTCTACCAGATCGAACATGGAATCCACAACAAGCCTGGCACGTTATAGAAAGACGATCAAGACCTACTTAATCTCCACAGAGCTCAATGTGAAGAGACAGTCACCTGGTGAAGTCCATAAAGTAGTCGACTGTCTTCTCTATTTTCCAGCCACCATAATCAGCTGCCCATGGTGGCAATGAATGATGAAACAGCGTTAGCATCACCTTCATCCCATTTGCACGAACTCTACCAAGTATCCATTTATAGTGTTCGAGGGCCTCATAGTCAACCTGCAAAGCACAATGGTAAGGGCGCTTTTTGTCTACAAGAATCATATTCAGGAAGAAGATCTATGCTTTCTTGACTCACTGCTTCCTTAAGCCCTTTGGTAGGCTCTTCTGGCATGATCCTAGACCAATCGATTCCCATCCTAAAGACAGTAACGCCAGTATCTTTTGCTAGCTTCACTTCTTTGTCAGGATCTGACCAAAATTTAAGCCTGTCCTCACTGAAAGCAAATTGAGAAAAAAAAAACCTCAGTTTGAACTCTTAATGACACAGCTAGGTGATAGTATCTAGATAAAGGCATATATGAAAGCTCACGCGTGAGGAGCGTTGTGCCACGCAGCTACATTTTTAGTGGGTGGCTTATCTGCAGCAGACTTATTGTCTTTGCCATGTGTGTTCTTCTGCAACCCTTTCGTTATAGCTCCCACGGCAAGCTTAACCTTCGTCCTCGATGCTTTTTTATCAGCAGTATCTTCTGCCGAGCATGGTGTTTCTTTTGCAAACTGGAGCCAAGCATCATTGAGATCGTCCTCCGCATGAGCAGGTGCAGTAGCCAACCCAAAGAAGAATTTGCCCTCCTTGTGTTCTGAAACAAACAGCCATTTCATCATCACCCACATAAATTTAACCTTTTAAACTGATAAAAATCTTTATGAAGTTAATCTTTTTGTTATTTGTAGAAGAAATTGCTTCTGATGATTATGAATTTGAAAGATTGCAGAGAAGGTGAAAATCGTTTTTCAAAAAGGAAAGTAAGTTTCCAACACAAAGAAAAAAAAAGTTGCAAAATGAACTTCACACTCAGTGCAAGAAGAAAATCCCTGTCGAGACTCGACTACATAAAGCAGAAGGAAGAGCACATTCAACAGTAACAGGAATCGCAGTCGTACCGTGGGAATTGAAATCGGCGAGAACTTCTTTAGATTCGTCGATTGGAGAGCGAAACTTGGCGAGGTTCCGGCGACGGAAACGAGAATAGGAGAATGCGTTAGCTCCGATGGTGATCGTGGCCAAGAGACCGGCGACCTCAACGAGCAATGTGAGTATGTTCATTGTCGCCGATGATGATGATGACCGGCACTTTCTATTTCCAACCGGCGCGCACAAAGATAAACAGAACGGGTTAATGGAAGAAGAGCCCACTAAGGGCCCATCGAATCAGCGTGACGTGAAGTGGTTGGTGGTGATCCTTCGTTCCCAACCTTATCGTCTTCGTGTGGGTGGCTTAGCTACAAAATCCGTGTACGTCTCTCTGTACCCTCATACGACGCCGTATTACCGGTTCTCTTCTTTGCAAGTGCAGAACCATACATCAAGTTACCGGTTTATACATCTCTTCTTTTAGCAAGCTAAAGTTTCCAACAAAAGGCAAAACTAAAGCTAAAGCTAATGAGAACGAATCGATTTCACACCCCAAGCACACGCAATCTAGGACAAGAGAGACAGACATTACATTGTTAAACCGCAGGGAGAGATTACGATTGAAAGTACATGTCCTCTATAGAACATAGTTCAGATTGAAAGTACGATTAGTTAGTACTCTGAGCCAGTGTCCTAATTTGCAAGAGATTTTGGTTTTTGTTTAGTGCATCATACAACAAATGTTTCGGTTAATAAAAGGAGTTTTGTTCCTAAAGTCACACAGTTATGTCACTTGTATATATGTTTCACGCCAGTATGCCTGAAGGTATTGATGTATAACTTATTATCTACATGAAATATGTATAAGAGGATACGTATGAATATCGAACTTATGAATGTGATTCATGGGTGAAGAAAGCTGGTCCAAGAAGAGCATGTACTGTTCATGAGTTATGACTATATATTGAAACAGGGTTTTCATTTTGAAAAAGAACAAAGGGACCAAAGATGGGTTTCAGGGAACTAAGATGTGGGAGGTGTGAAACGCGAACATTTGTTCTTCCTTGCGCTGCTTTTGCTGAGGCCACAGACACAGGTCTCCAGCAGCTGATAGTCCTCTTGCCAGAACAAGAGTGAGGCTTTCTCAGGCTGCTCTATGAGTTTCTTAGAAGCCAAGAAACCAGCGATAGTCCAAGTCTGGTAAAGCCTTGATTGCTTCCCCACGAACCTCCCGCTACTTGTGTCATAATACTCAGGCCACGCATCTTCCTTGAGCCTTTTCTCCGCTACAGCAACTGCTTTCTTCGCCAGTTCCAGCTTCCCCATCTTAATACAAGCCAGTGTGAACTATCAAAAATCCAGGCATTAAAAAGGGTTTTCGGAATTCTTCAATCTGAAAAAAAAGATAAAGAAACAGCTACTTAAGAGATGATGTATGTTTGTTTGTACCTGCCAGAGAAGAGTTGGCCAGGATCCGCCATTATGATATGACCAAGGCCTGCAATGGCAAAGTATGAAATCAGAGATCTGCTGATTTCCCAAAACACAAGAAGTACATAGTTTGAAGGGGCTCACGTGTTCTTTGGATCAGAGCCAGTGATTATTCGCCATTCGTCTTGCTCCAGAGCCGGAAAACAGATCTTGAGAGGCATGTTTGCAACAAGATCGTCCCATTTCTCTTCGATCAAGGTCATGACTCCTTCGTTCTGTTCTTGGTTTCCCAGAGACGATATAACAGCCCAGAGGTTTCCCAGTGTGAAGAATCTAAAATCCATGTGAGCAGGCTGGAGGTTTCCTATGAAGTAACCGCCTTTATTAGGGATCCAGTCGACGAGCCAAGAAGGGATCTGATCTGGATATATGTTGAACTTGTTGGTTGCATCTGCTGAATACTCCTCAGTGTTGTAACGATAAATCTCGTTTATTTTCTTGATGTCGACCCAATAGTACTCTCTGATATGGAACGATAAAGCGCTTAGACGGTTGTTGACGGCAGAAACTAAGTTCTTGGTTCCATCATTCACGGTAAGCATCTCTCTAGCACAGCGGAGAGCTGAGTAGAACAATGCCTGCAAAAAGAATAGAAAAGAGAAATCATGATCGTTAATTATCAGTTGTGAAAAAGCAAAACCTTAGCTACTATCTAAAATCTGCAATGCGAAATAGTAAGTTTTTGTTGACTTTACTTGGATTTCAAGTGGATGGCCATGAATGCCCATTCTTCGATCAATCATGCATGATCCGTCAGTCACAAGAAGAGTCGGGAACATGTCAAAACCGTCAGCTAGACATAGCTTAAGTATCAGCTTGATCCCTGTCTGAACATCGATTCTCTCTTGCAACGTGTAATCGCCGGTGAGCTTCCCGTAAGCTCTCAGCAATATGATCCACCACAAGCCTTTGCCAAAAAAGATTAACAGCCTCGGTAAGAAACATGCTTCAATCACATTATCATTGCGACACTTGAGTGAAAAGTTCGCAACTCTCAATAACAGAATGTGATTCAGCAGTGGATCGTCGAGGGTGTTTGTTTCTTCAAGATAAGTGATTCAACTATGGAAGTGAAACTTAAAAATTGAGCATAAGGAGTTTACCAGAGTCAACAGGGCTAACACGGCCAATAGCTGATTCGCCAAAATCTGCATCTAAAAACTCCTCAAACGAGCCATCGTTTCCTTCAAGTGGCACAGACTTCACTTTAAAACTCGCTGGCATTAGCCCTGGGCCAGGGCTATGACAGTCCACTGTTTTCTCCCAACTCTAGATTCAAACAACATAAAGTTCGATTAGGAAACTTTGCATAGATTAGTAAATCAAATACTTTACAAGTAGCATCCAAAAGAATTAAAGCTATTGGAATAGAAATCAGACGCATCTAAAGGAAGATCTTAGTGTCATAACTCGACATTTCTATTGCTCAGCACTGATTAAAACTAACTATATATCAAGTAAGCGGTAAATTTTTTGGGAGATTTGAACAAATGAAAACACTTTTCTAAGAAGCAGAAACCAACATAGTAGACAGGCAAGGAGAGGCAAATCTTTAGACCAAGTAAACGAAACTCGGGAGAATATCATTATCACAAATTTTAGCAACTTATTTATGGCAAAAGCAATCAAACTTTTGGGTCAAACCAAGGAGACATACCTGGAACTGCAACGTACAGGCGAGAGATTTCTCCAAATCTTGCCTTTCTCCATTAGGCAACAAAATTCAGTAAATAGACTAGATAAACTTCCCTAGAATGAGAAATCAAATTCCAATGGCAAATAATGAGCATGCAACCAAATCTCTAATTTTCCAAGCAAATTAACACAATATCGACCGAAAGCTCTAATTTTTTTTTAATATAGACATTTGTCTAAACGGACTGATTTGGGCAAAATCATTCAAATGACAGCTCAAGAACATGAACATCTAAACAAAAATGTTCAATAAAAATGTTACCTGCAACTGCAGCGTATGAAGGAGAAAGTTTCTTACAATCTCCCCTTCTCCATCAAGCAAGAACGCATACGCCGAAGGAACAAAGTCACGAATAAACACCTGATCGTAGTTCAGAGTCTGCTTATCCCCTGGATCACTAGCCGCTATCGTCCCCACAGGGTGCCCGCAGTAATTCACCACTGCACCACGAAGCAGCTTCCAGGCCTCTTTCTCAGCCTCGCTCCGATCCATAACATGTTCTCTTTCGCTTTTAACACCCACATTTCCATATTTAGCATCTTCTCCTCCATTACCGCTTTCCTTTCTCGGTATCTCTTCAGTTTTTCCGAGCTCCTTGAAAACCAGTGGCTTCACAAAGATGCTCTCGAAGCTCTTGTCATTTACATTAGAACCCAACGAAGAAGTCGAGCGGTTCCTAAAATCGGAAGCTACACGGGGAATGACTAAAACACCCCTGCCTCTTCCTCTACTACCTCTAGCTCTTAAACCCCTAGATCCTCCTCCCCAGCTACTGGAATCGGAATCACAAAAAGCCTTCCGATCCAGAACAACCCGACGACGGCATTGAATACCAGATCTAATACTTCTGGAATCAATCTTACTACACTGTAGTTTCGACGAATTGTTCAATTTGCCCGAGGTCGGTGGAGAAAACCCGAAGAGCGAGGAACTTCTAAAACTAATCAGAAATCTACAACATGGTTTCATCGCAGAGACACAGATACAGCTCATGCTGCTCATCATTCTCCAGGAATCGATAAATTATGATTGCAAGCCTAATAAAACTCCAAGAGAAACCAAACTATACAAACAAACCAGTCAGCTTTTTCACAAATTCGTGATCGACGTAGAAATTGGGGAATGTCTGAACTAGGTCGAGGAGAAATCGGGATTCGTGGGTAACAAATACTTAGATCGGAATACTTACAAGGAAGAGAAGAAGATCAAGAATGAGTTTTACAGGGTAATAAATGAATGAAGATATTTTGTAACTTGTCTGGATGTTTTGGTGAAGATGGAATCTGAGAGAGACTTCATTCAAAAGATTACTTAAAAAGAAAAGCTCCGTGGCGAAAATGTAAAACCATCGAAATGTCGACGCAAGTGCACTTCATTGTTTTTTCCTCGCTTATATTATAGATTACGAAAATAGCCTCCCTTACGTGTCTCTTTTGTTAGCAGTTGATTCGGGGTATAAATGACATTCCCAATTTTATTCCTGAACTGTATGAATGGATCAGATGGGCCGGCGGTGGAGCCCAGTAGATTTATTAATACATAAACGTGGAGAAACTACATAAAGACAATCAATCTTATTGTTCACCCCTTGATGCAATGCTAATAACGGAATTACCCTTTGGAAGCCTAACCTTTGCTCCTTGCACAACTAGATTACTATTGGCTGAGTTCTACGTGGCAGAACTTTATACGCAGAAAATAAAAGTCGTTTCTGTCTGAAATTTATTCTGTGCAAGCGCGTCGCCGTGGTCAATTCCGGTCTGCTTTCGTCTGGCGGTAAGCAAGGATCTTTTGTTTTGTCACACGATCACACAAACATAATTTACCCACGCGCTGTGTCTTAGCGCGTTATATTCAAGCGCATACCAGGATTCAGGGTTCCAGTTATATAGCCCATTTACCTACAGAACTAAGGCCCATTTTATCCATATAAACTAACAGTAATCAAACATTTTTATATATGGGTTTTAGTAGATGCTTTTTCAAATTTACTAATAAGTAATTATCTTTAAGGTACATTAGACCCAGTTTAAATAAAGAAGAAAACTTAAGTATAAATAAGCCCATTTTCAGCCTATAATAATTAGACCACGTGTTTCCGACCCACAACTAACTAACCCATTTAAATCCAAAGAAGGGCTTCAACAAAATAGAGAATAACAACAACAAAAATAATACTTGTGTTTCAGGTTTTTGTCTAATGTGTGAGCAAAAATTAAATTGATTTCTTTGTCCTTGTTACTTAACATATATGAATCTGAATACATTTTTACCAAAATAAATTTTATTCTTGCTTTATAATTTCATCAGGCTTAAGAGCACAACATGTAAACTAGTTATTTTTCTAACTATAGGAACTTGAAATTAGAAACATAGACTAAAATCTCTTTTAAAAGAGAAGAGTGATCAACTAAGTGAACTACTCACGTTGGAATGGCAAAAAAAGGAGAAGTTAAAAATTATTTGGGGAAGAACATATAAAAATTGTCTCGGCTTTTTTGTATTATTTGGGGAGGAACATATAAAAAAAGGAGAAGTTAAAAATTGCAAAACTAAAAGAATAGATAATTATCGTAGTGTTCATATTAGATGCCTAACCACGATCGAGAAATGAAGCATGTGGGTTTAATACTAAACGTTTGCTTCTGAATAACCTAGAAAGAGATTGCAGCATGTCACTATATAACGTGCTTCAGCTTGTCTTGTTAATATTAGCTAATACGATCTTATCTACAATCCCATACTGTTGCTTTGGGAATCTTTAGATTAAAAGAACAGTAGTAATCTTATGGATAGGAAGGGTCTCTTTTATAATTTAGTAGTTTAACTAGCAGGTTGCAACTTGCAAGACTCGCAACCAAACACTAAATATGCAATAATCTGGAAACATAAAAAGTTAAAACACGCGTTGATCTAATGTACAGATATGTATATGCCATGCATCACGCATATTACTTTTAAACATTTGAATGGTCTAATCCAATATGTGGAGCACACTAAACCTGTTTAAATCATTTTAAAGTATGAAGATCGAATGAATTTTGCATAAACATATATAAAAGTAATTAAAAACGTGTAGTTAATCGTATAAAACCAAAATATGCCCTATTAAAATACGATGGAATATTGTCTTCATTATTAAGCTAAACCTCATAGTAAAAGCTCACAAAACATATAATCCTTACATATTTAATAACGAGCTGATATAATGCAGAATTGTGAAATTGTTTTCTAATTGATTGTAAACGAAAATTTTGAATAAAGATAACCACAAAGACAGAGTAACAACCAAGTGGTTGCTAAGGAATGGCAAATTTCAAGGCAGGTATCAATCAACTTACGACGGGACATACAAAACATAAACATCTTTTTATGTCCAAAGGTACCACGGAAACCCATAACCAGATATTCTTCCTGATTTGGTAATAATACGAAATATCAAGAAAAACAAGTTAATTCATGTGTCGTATCAGCTACATGATTTAGGTAGTCGTTAATGTGCTTAACATTGGGGTTGCGTCTCGATCCATTGTTATAGATTCTCTAAAAACGATAAGTAAATTGATTTTTTTTTTAAATGTACCACGTGTATGGTTTTTGGATAGTGCTTAAAGACTTTTGTGGCTGAAAATGGTTTATGCCCATAAAAAGGAAAAAAAGCAAACGACGTTAAAAGCAATTGAATGTATTATCTGTTTTAATACGATTTCATAGTCACTCGTTTTCGGGGTTTTTGGTTTATATTTTTATCATTTTCTAAATGATATGTATTATTGGAACTTTCCTACGCTATGCAGTCAGATTCTACGTCCGTCTATAAACGGGATATTAGGAATAAGACCATAAGATCATTCGCATATTATATTTATTGTCATACCCAAAAAAAAATCTTATTTAAGTTATAAGCATCTTCTCTATGTAGAAAAAGTGAAGAAATAACCAAAAAAAGTGAATCTCCAAATACAATGTATTTCGCTGGTTTCGGATTGGAGATATGGTATTGTTAATGTATGTAATAAACGGTGGGGCCCAAAGAAAGCCACGTTGACGCCGACGTGTAAGTCTCTGGACGCGTTGACCTTGACCATTCAAAAGACTATTGGGTCGGTCCTTCTTTGTGCTTGTCTTCCCCAACAATGGAATATTATCCACCCTATCGAATCACCGAGTACCACGTGGCGCACGGGTAAGTCCCATCCCATGTATCAGAATCTGTCTTCTGTTTTCTTTTCCTCCGTCTTGTCTCTTCTGAATAAACCTCAACACAAGTTTGAATAGAAGAGTTTTTTTTTCTTTCCAACGAAGGTGATCACATTTCCACGTTTGAATTGAGAAAAATACAATCTCACACCGTTAGTATTTTTTGTTTTTATATAAATATCTTTGCGTTGCATCTTTACGTAAAACATTATGGAATTTATTGTCAATTTTAAAATTTTATTTACCATAAAGAAAAAAAAATGGCCTCCATAAGAATTAAAATGAGATCAAAAGTAGCTGGACATATAGAAGTTAGGGAATTTGAGTTGTGTTCCCTTTTGCAACTGTTATAATATTAACAAGTTAAATCTTGTGGAGGCCATTTTTACCGTTCGTGCATCCATTCGGTGAAATTTTACGTACCAATCGAATTTCTGAAAAGAATTCAGTAAGATATGTTTTCCAACGTAACATATATGGTAGTTTAATCCGAGTTTGGTAAAATCAACAAGTTAGCCTCCGTTAAACTATTGGGATATCAATCCAAGTCCCACATTGGAAGATTAGACAATAATAGTTTAATATATAAGTAATATCCAATTTTGATTAGTATGAGGCCTTTTGGAAGGAGTTCAAAGACAAATCCGTGCGGACTTTGCTACTTAAGCTCAAAGCGGACAATATCATACTAATAAGAGAGTTGGATATGAGTTTAAAAAAACCTAACAATTGATATCAGAGCCAATGTTCAGATTAAGTGGACTTTGGGAAGTAGATTGGGCCTACTTGTTCATTGTGGGAGAGTCTTCAAGGTGACCTTGTGATTAAGGGTGCTTGGGTACAAGATGGTACAAGATGGTTGCCAGCAGAAGGTTAAAAGCAAAAGGCGTGTATGGTCCTTGGTTTGAAGGAAGATTATTGGGATATCAATCCAAGTCCCACATCGAAAGATTAGATAATAATATTCTAATATATAAATAATATCCAACTCTGATTAGTATGAGACCTTTTGGGAGAAGCCCAAAAACAAATATCATACTAATAAGAAAATTGAACATGAACTTAAAAAAACCTAACATAAACTACTCACGTTTTGTAAGATAATGATGAGAATCGTTCTTGGTAGAGAGTAGAGTCAATTTTCAATCTTGGAGTTATCGATTTTGAATAAAGTTTGAGAAAGATATTGCCGAGGAAAGACATCTTCAGATTTTGGGACCACTCTCTCGGTCTTGGGTATGGCTTTTTAGACGTCGGCCACACAACACCGCCAACGATTTTTCATTCTCTCAGCCGCCGCCACCTTTTTAAGTCATCACTATTTAATCACGTGCCTTTTCTCTTCTCTGTCACGTGCCAATTCCATGAGATGTGCAACATATATATCTTATGTAATACGTGTTTTATATTTTGAGATTATAAGATGTTATATTCTCAAATGGGAAAAAGTGAGGAAAGCCGTATTATTATTGCTTATAGAAGGATCAAGTTGGTGTATACAAAGACAGCGACTTCAACTATAGTTCTCTATCTCTCTTTTTTTTTTGTTTGACGGATGACAATTAATGTGTGGTCTACAAAAAAAAAAAAAAAATTGGGAATTAGAGCTTATACGGTAATCAAACATATATGTCAACTGGATTTAATGTCAAAGATCATTGATAATCAACTTGATTCCTATCAGTCTCGTTTAACAAAACTCATTTATTTCCAACATAAAAAAATGTGTAATTATTTACCGCTACAAAATGATGTGTCAAACCAAGTGCGTGTGGTTCAGCTGGTAGAAAACTTGCCATATGGATGAAGCCGTGAAGGTTAGAAATCGAGTTTCACCATTTATATATAAAGTCATTTTTATTTTTATTTCTCTTGGCCATTATAAATGCGTCGAATGACAAGAATATTCGAATTCTATGAGCATCGATGATTAATATGGATTTTGGTGTATGATATCCATATCCATGTTTATAAAAAAAATGATGTGATCCATTTTTAATTGTATTGCTTTTTTTTCATTTTCTTTTGGGTGTGTGTGTCTGTATCTTCGCTAGTTGGTATGGCACTCACCAGCGAGCTACTTGCGACAAAAAACAATTCTACTGTTTTCTATAATATGTTTAAGTAAAAAGAAATATTGCGTAATCTTATTCATTTATTTGATGTTCTTCAACGCAAGAATTAAAAATAAATTTACAACTTCATCCCTACGATTTTCTCTTCATAGCATTGATTTGTAAAGTAGGGTTTTTCAATCATTTAACAAATTTACTTATTATTTTAATTTTAAAGAATGTCATCTTGGTAAATATTGTTGTTTCCTGCATATATACATTCCATTTCAATTGTTGAGTTTATAATGTTTTCAGAAATGTATCATAAGATTTTAAGACGAATTTACCCCTGTATAAAATAATCTGAGTTTTTAACAGAACTGAGTGAGAAGTGAGAACAGAGGAGAAGAGGGAATGAGGGATACAGAAGTTATAGTAGAAGACATGGTGTTGCTGACGTGTTGCAGAGTAAGGATATGGTTTTGTCTGGATAATGGTGTAACGGTCCGTACAATAATGCGGTTTCCAATTATTAATTAAGGCTTTTGGACATATTTAGTGGTGGGTTATCATCACTTAGCATATATCTTAACAAACACTTAGCTTTTTAATGAATAACCCCCCCTTTGTCCACCTTAAACTGAAAGCCTAGATCATAGCCAATGAGATTTTGCCACGTGGTTGTGAGAATAAAACGTTCCATTTTTAAATGTCTACTTTTGAACCCCAGAGAAAGGCTTTCACACACACTAGTTCCTTTTATTTCCCATATACATGCCCTATAGACACATATAGTTCCTACAAAGTAACATTACTTGAATTATCCATTTTATAGTACAAAAGTCATTATTATATATCCTTTAAAATATTTTTTATGATGTGCTTGTTTTGTTTGTTTGTGTCATATCTTGGGTTAAATATTAAACATGGTGGAACCAATTATGAGCTTCGTCGTCGAAATATTAATAGTTAAATGAATAATGGTTTATATTATGCTTCCATTGGGGAAATCACTCAATCTACTGTGTGAAAACAGTTTCAGTTATTATACTCCCACTGGAAGAATTCTTCGTTTTCTTTAAATAAATCATAAAAGTTTCATTGGCCAAATATATGGATTAATCTACAAAAATATCATTACAATCCCAAGAGAACAAAACAAACCAATCAAATTTAGCGATTTGTCAAAACGCCATAATATATGATCAAGCCTGGCATAAAAAAAGCTGATCATATATATCCTAGTATAAAATATCGTAAACACATTGCCTTGTCTTTAATTATTCCATAAACAAATTCCTTTCACACGTATACTTCGTGTTTAATTAAGTACTTTAACAATTCTATTTTATTTGTATCTATATTCAGAAATTGCCATTATTGTTGAACTGTTGTTGCTGCTGTAAAAACCAGAAGTCTTCATCACTTTCTCCAATGTTCCATAAACTGTCCGAAGAAGAAGCAGCTCCGTTAATATTTTCAAACCAGTTAAGGCTACTCTGCTCCTGCATAGCCGGAAAATCTTCTTCTAACAATCCACTGTAATCGAAATAATTCTCCGGTAGCATTTCTGGACCCACCACCAAGTTCTGATCCGGATAATAACTGTTCCCCACTTGACCCGAATAATATTCCGGGTTCGGGTTTGGAGCGCTATAGTACTCGGTTAAGTCTGACACCGGAGACACTGCCACGCTGGAATTTTCCGGCGTTATATAATCGTTGTTGCTCATTACACCAAATTGTTGTCCCATGCTGCTGTTGTTGTAATCATACGTCATGAATTGATTGTTAGAGGTTGTGATGCAAGATGACGTGGCGGCTGATCCTGTCGTGGTGGTGGTGGTGGCTGCGGCTGAGGCTGAGGCTGAGGCTGAGGCTGAGGCTGAGGCGGATTGGATCCTCTCGACGAGCCGAGGCATCCACAAATACTTCATTGTGTCTTTGAACTGTTGGCTGTTTACATCGCATTTAAGCTGCTTTGCATGTTTTTGCACTCGCGTTCTCCAGTAGTTCTTGATCTCATTGTCTGTTCTTCCCGGTAAATATTGTGCGATTTTTGACCATCTGTTCATGAATAAACACAAATTAAATCAACTGTTGTTATTATATATTCACAATCAAACTATTATTTTTCTGTCGTCTATTAATTACTACTATTCATTAGGGCATCGCCGGCGTATCGCTATATCAACATCGACAAACAATATCGATAATATTTTCTCCGTTGTGAGATGATTAATATCGCTATTTTTTGTTTTTCCTTTCACGATACGTATCATAACATATATTTTGACGCAAGGGAAAATATATTTAAAATTTAGATACTTTTCATAATATAAAAGAAGTGTAGCTTATGGAACGATATAAGACTACGTGGAGCATACGTACCGATTGCCCCAACGGGAATGAAGTTCGAGGATCAAGAGTTGTTCTTCGAGGGTAATATTTCCACGGCGAACGTCAGGGCGGAGATAGTTTAACCACCGTAGCCTACAGCTTTTACCGGTGCGTTGGAGTCCTGTTTCATTGGTAAAAGTATATATGATGATTAATATACCGGTCGATCGTGTATACGTATAGTATGATGATTTCATACGGAAGAAACTCATTTAAATAAACGCTTAATATTTGGTAAAGTTATATCAAATTCCCCAACAAAATAAAAATGGACCGTACTATGATGCAAAATGCAAATTGTCCTAAAGGGTCTTTTTCTTCAGCAAGCTTTCTTCCATTGAGTTAGTGCTCTTCCCATATAGATGATGATCATTAATTCGCATTAGTTCTTCCTTTTTTCACCCTTTTTAATAACTAAATTTGGATATTTTATAGGAAAATTGAGATGCTTGATAATTGAATCCATTGCAAAAATCTCACTCAAATGATCGATTGTACTTTATTCATTGGAATTAAATTATATTTTAAAATAGGAAGAAGACGAGAAAAAACAACAAAGAGACATGAGAGGTATGCACTTTCTGATTCATACCTATGAAGGGTCTTTTCATCTATGCATATAAGGGAAATAAACCATTTCCGAAAATTTGAAAAAACAAAAAACTCTCTTTAAAATAGTAAAGGTAGGCAATCTAAGGGGAAAAAGAAAAAAAAAAACACAATCACACATGGTGATTGAAACATGAAAAGGATTGAACGTAAAGTGATAAATAATCAATTATGTTATGGACTTGTCTTTTGGCTCCTTTAGCCAAAAAGATGCACACAGAATTAGAAAATACATATACATACAGTTATAGGTGAAGTGAATCATACCAGCGCAACGAGAAAGAGAATTCCATCGACCTTCTCCGTGAGTAGCAATGTAATTGATGAGTTTAAAATCTTCTTCAGCGGTCCATGGACCTCTCTTCAAGTCCATTTCGTCTTCCATGTTGTTGTTCTTCAAGCTTCTTCCTTTCTCATCCATTGATGATGCACACAAAAGAGACCCACAAAGGAATTCTTGAGTAAAAAGAATGAGACTTTCTACCTTTTTCTATGTGGTTTTGTGAAGGGGGGAGAGAGAGAGAGAAATTGATATTTTTTGGAGTTATGTGTAGATAGAGAAAGGATGAGTTTTGAATGCACAAGAAAAAGAGAAGTTGTGGGTTTTATAGAAGAGAAAAGATGATAGTTTCCAATTTTTCTTTTTATTTTTAAAATTATTTGGAACATGTGCGATGGAGGGAATAGACAGCCGTAATATATGAACTGTGTCTTTATTGAGTTTGTAATTATTTACTATCTTAAATACTACTTCAATTCGCACACAAAAAAAAAATACTACTTCAATTATGTTTGTAAACTTTCATTGTGTTAAAAAAACAGAACAGCATTAATCTATTAAAAGTAATTTTCAGCATCCCTTTTGTAATTGTAAAATAAAATTATTTGATTTAAATCAGTTTGTTAACAATTATTTAATAATTTTGATATTGTGCTATTTATATGACATATTTGTCAGATTGTAGTGTTCATTTTATCAGCTTAGCCTATACACATCACTCTATGATTTTGTTTCGCTCTTAAAAATATGAAATCTGTTGTTAACAAACAAATTCATAACATTTAATGGTAAAGTTAGATTTTGTTCAGTATTCCGTAGTATCCTTATTACATATCATAAAAATGAAAACCTAAGTTACAAAAAAATCATTTATCTTTATTTTTTATAGGATTTTGTCTCTAAGAAGAAAACTCGATTTTTGCCAATTTTGTATTTGAAATTAGTAACTTTTAAAAATTTGTATCATGTCATAAAATATTAATTGATTTTGTATTCTTTATAATTTTAATAATAAAAGTCTAGACTAAAAAAAATCTACATGCTGCGAACGAGTTTTTAGTTATTTTTGTTACTTGATTTTTTGCAAAAACACGCTCTAGTCTTTAATTAATTAATACTAGAAGTCTAGAAGTAGGGAAAAGATGCCGTCCAGTTAAAATATCAGTTATTTAGGACTCCGGAAGGAATAATAATGTAAAGAGTTAATTATATCACTTAGCTCTTAATTAAGCACTGAGTTTTTAAAGTTGACCCGCTGACTTTATATCTCTGTGTGTGATAAATCTGTTTCCGTTTTCTGTTTTCTATTGATAATAAATTTGTGTTTTTGTTTCCTTTTATGGGTTTCTTTCAAACAAGTTGCAAATAATATATACTCTACAGCTTCTCCTGTTTCCATTTTAATTTCTCCACTTCCCCTTATTTATTCCCGTTCTTTTCTGACCACAAAAAGTCCAAATTCATTTACGCAAGAGGCATTTACATATTTTGTTTTATAGTCATCAAATTTTTGAACTGAATGTTTTTTTTTTAACTTTGATTTTGAACTGAAGTTTAGACAATTTTCAGAGCTTATAGTACTTGATGTGTTTCATATTACTTGTTTAGGTTCTTTTACACAAATTACATTTTTTATTATTATTCATTAATATACTATTTTTTGACATAAGTAATTAATAAATTAAAAAAATAAAGATAAAAACTGAAAAATTGATTATAAGAGTGTAGTCTTGTAAACGTAAAACATAAATAATAAAATTATATATACAAAATGGCAAATGTTATAAAATAAAATTTTAACTATAAAACAATAAATAATATGAAACATAAGAAGTAATTATATATTCTATTCTTTTTTAAAAATGAAATATTTTGAATCTTATATCAATATTAATTATATCTCTTATCGATCATTTTTTATTTTGAAAAAAAAATCTATAACTAACAATGATAACTGCATAAAGTATATTTGAAAACGAATATATATATATATATATATATATATATATATATTTCAAATATACTTTATGTAGTTATATATATATATTAATAATTAGTTACATTTTTTTAGTTTATTATAATTATATTTTTAACATGTTTAATATATATCAGAATCATTTTTCAAAAACATGGAAATGTAAAATTTTGATGAATAACATGCATGTATAGTAAAAATAGTAGAATCACAGTTTCATACATGCATAAACAAACAGTATAACATTAATCACCTACGTAATTTTCTATCGTGTATATGATCTTAATTTGATTATAATGTGTAGGTGTCAAAAGACAAAGGTAGAAATGTCTGGGTATCATACGTCCTGTCGATATCTTTTTCTTTCAAGTTCTGTAAATATCAAAAGGACAAGTTGATATATGACTTCAACATAATAGCGAACTTTGGTATGATCTCACTTAAGTACTTTTAAAGCTCTCAAGCCTTCATGCACGATTTCAATTGGATGACTACTCAAATTTCCTACAATTTAATAGAAATTATGACATACATATATATCCGGCTGCCCACAGGATCTAGAATACACCCTAGATAATATCTAAGTAAATATACAAAGTTTTTTAGTTAAAGCATTTACAAAGTTCCATATACACGTCATTTATGTTTGCTGCATATACATATGTGATATGTACGTTATATTTGAAACATTTTAAAATTATTTATTGTCAAGTGCTGTTTGTGTTTCAGTCGTGATTCTTCATATCATGATTTTTTATTTTTGAACATTATCATAATATGATACTACTTCTATATTATTCAAGAATTAAGTATATGTAAAAGCTTCTAAATATTTAGAAATCAATAGTATTGTATAATTGAACCTTTGAGAATATTATGGAGAAAGTTTTTTTTGTCTATCTTGTTATAATTGTTCTGATTGGTTACTTGTGAAATGGTGGAATGGTGGAAAAATCCAAAAACGCAAGAATTTTACCAATTAAAAAAACTTGCGAAAAAACGCAAAAATGCAAAATCTGCGGAACTGCGTTTTTGCTTACAGAAAATACAAAAATCTTTATTAAGCGAAAAAACGTGTTTGGAGTATATTATTTGCGGAATCAATATTTATATTATTCAATGATATTTTATTATTTAAATAAATACAAATAAATAATTTAGTGTTACAAAAAATTATTTAATGATAAAGTTATATCTATTATTTAAAGTTTGTAATATATTTTTTTATGAAAAATAAATTATTAAAAAAGTTACAATTAAAATTATATCATTTTATAATAATTGATTGAATTATTAATATTTTATTTTTTTATAATATATAGTAAAAAGCAGAATATTTTCAATAAGTATATTCTGTAATTCCGCCATAATTTATCCAATCGTATTAAAAATAAAGTTCTGCAATTCCGCAATAAATTATTCCACAATTCATTTTTTCCGCTATTCCGTAATTCTGCGATATAAAAAATGTGTTACCAATATCTGATACATGTTTGATCCTTGCGTGAGATTTTATAGTGCGATTTATTTTGAGATAAACGAGAAAATTAAAATGAATTATAAATACTATTAACTAAAAGAAATCCTAAGAATATTGTCTGAAATTCGTTTTATAATAAAGATATATGGTTAGAACCATGACTGTCGTTTATTACCAAAACGATAATGAGCATCGGGTTCATAATAATCTCATTAATTAGTAGAGCAGACCTTTTAGTACACTACTAACAAGAAAAGTCGAGATTATCAAGTTTGGGTGCTATTTTGGTGCTTCGGGCGATTGATGTTTGTTTGTTATTTTGAGTAGTATAAAATGGTTAACAAAACTCGACATGTTTGAATGACTTTTTCTTTTATCTTTTACTGTAGCATGGCTTATTCCAACAAACGTAGTATATATAGGACCACTCTCTAAATACCCCACGCTCAAAGCAACTACACTAATGGCTGTAATTAATAATTAAGATATCACCTTTTGTACATTTAAATGCAAAATTTAAACCTACTACGAAACGACGCCGAACTATTTAATAATGCCATCAACTTGTCAGTCAACTTGGCAATATATCTTAGCTCTTTTTTTTTATTTTATCAATTATCATCCTCTAAGGCATAACAAGCGGTTTATCAATTCCTGCTCGTAAGAAATAAAAATTATTCTGGATAGTGGAGACCAAAAAACAAAATCAAATAAGAATATCTACGTTTATGCACATTCTGCATTTGATGGCTTATCGCATCTAAACAATATTGCAATCAAAAGGTAATTTTTTAGATGGCACGGACATCACGTGTTATCACTATAAAGTGAGTGAAGTGTAAAAGATTGATTTGATACACACACTCACAATTATAAAACACAAAATATAATAGATGTGTATGTAGAAATAATTGTTCGTAGCTCCACACATGTCTTTCTTTTAGGAAACCACATCCTTATATCAAAAATTGGTCTTTAAAACTTCATAAACAGAAAAAAGATTATACAACAAAACAGTTCTACAGTTTTCGTTTTATAATTCTAGTATTCAAAAATATGAAAACCTTTTAGTTAATTGGAATTTTTTTTGAAGATCCTAAAATACTGTAGTTTTTCAATTTACAGCCAATGTTTTGCAAGTTTCAAAAGTTTGGAAGACACTATGAATATCTAAAATTATTACGATATTAAGAAGTTTTCTGTTACGCTATTAATGGTCTAATATATGATTATTTTAAATGTTTTCTCGTGAGTTTTTGTTTAAGTATAAATTGGTTATACATAATATCATTCTTTAGATCTTTGATGTATGTTTTATAGTGGTATTATTTAAAAACTTGATATATTAAATCTAAAATACTACGCGATCTATATTTTACTATAGCGTTACTTCATTAGCGTAGAACTCTAATGGTCTAGAAAAGTAAATAAAAAAGCTCAACTTTCGTTTTTTTCTCGGTCTCCGATTTGGGGTAAGTCGAAACGGGAAACTGTAAAGAACCTTTTAAAGTCTAAATAATAGTATTATTTATCAAAGAATTATCGTAGCCAAGACACGTGGCCACGTACATCTGAGATAAATCTTTTGCTTACAAGACTTGCAAGTCTTGAACTCTAATTATGATTGATTGGTCGATATCATAATCTGATTAATGAAAAATAATTAAATAAAAGTGGTAATAATGTGTACTTGGTTTTCATAAGTTATGTGATTAGGCCAAATTGTGAAACAATAAACAATGTGCCAAAGAATATTTGTGGGCATCATTAGTGGGCACAAATCCGAAGGAACCAGCTATAACCACACACGCACACGCTCGCATACATCCATGTATCCATGTATACCATGTATACCATGTATACAGGTACTTC